ATCTGTTTTAAAAAGGTGCCACTGCCAACGTCAGAAAAGTTAAATGGTGTCACAGAATCACCTCTGTCCCATTCTTAAGAGACCCAAAGTGCATGGGTGAATTGGACACTAATCCATCACTGCACAGTTCTTCTGTCCAGCAGGTGTTTTCCTGCTTTTTCTAATGCCTTTTCTCTCTTTTATTTCTCTCTCTCTCTCCACTCATTCTAGAAATAATGAAGCATTAGTTTGCCCCTTTTTCTTGTCAACCATTACTTGTTTATTTGACCCAAGAAACATTTAAGCAAGGATAAGAGAAGAAAACCACTTCATTCCAGCACCAGTGTTTGTGAAAACTGGAAAACAACTGAAAACAATGGCAGCACATCACTGTTGAAGTGTCCAGGTTATTTTGATGCAGACAGACAATCAGGACACCGAGTCCTGTGTTTAGCTAACCGTGATATATTTATTTAAATTAATGTTTGATATATAGTTTAGAAAATATCTTGATTTATATAACAAAATATTTTAATGGTAAACACAAATGTTTAAATTTTATTAAACTAACCAAATAGAGATCCACAGGGAAATATTAACTGAAGATTGCAATATGCTCTTAAAGCCTGAAAGTTAACAAAGTCTTCAATTTCAAATGTAAATTTGAGCAGTCCTTAATCTGGTTCAAGGAGTTGATAACATATTCTCTCACCTGAAATGATTATCCAGTTAGGAGACAGGCATTTTGAATTTCTGAATGCTTTAAAGGACTTTCATTTGGAAAAAAAAAGTACTAAGGATGCTGGTATTTTATCCATGGTGTAGGTGACTATCAAACTTCTCAGACCAAACCACTTACCTCATAAAAATAAATACAAGTTTTGTATAACTATATTCCTTATTCACTCTTGGTCATAACATAGTCTAATTGGTATGAAAAAGAGAGTTTCTCCTGTTGTTTATCATTTGATCAATTCTGTATGGCCAAAATCCAGGCCCAAATATTTCAGGAGTAAAATGATCATAAATTTCAATAGAATGTTTGTGTGTGTCACCAATAAAATTACTGAAATTGGTACACCTATATTTCTGCTTTTATATACAATAGTCAACACATAATTTTAACAGATTGTAAGAGCTTCTCTTGTCCTAAAGATACTCTGTCTTATGATTTGCAGCATGCATAGCTCAGCCAGGAGAGGAAAGCTGAAAGACCACCATGTATAATAGCAGAGAGAATGTTGACCATCTTGACAAAATATGTTAACAGAACGTATATGAAATAAGAATTTACAGTGTAGTCTCTGCACCTGTGTTCATCTAGAAAATGTTTTCTAATGACAAAGGCTTTCAGCACTCTACACCCAGAGTAATTCCAGTCAGCTCAGGAAAATCTAGGCTGAGCCATGACACAAATATGCTCATAGGCTGCTGAAATGACAACATTGGGAAAAAATCTAGAAAACTGACAGTAGGATAGTTTAATTAACCTTACTCAACATATTGATAACTGATTTTGATCCTTACTTGAATGAAACAATCCAAATCTACCCTTTTCTCTGCAATGGATAACTATTTTCGCCACCCTGGAAGAGTGGTTAAACTGTTTCAGAAAAGCAGTATAACTGGACTCATGTTTAGTTTGTAGCAGAGGGATATGACAAACTTTTCTGAAGGTACTGCGTGAGTGCCAAGGATTAATGATATTTGATTCTGCAGAGATGCTTTAGAAACAATTGTCCCTTAACCTCTCTAATATTCTTTTTTACTGAATTTTTAAATGCATGCAATTTTAATACTCAAAAATTGCATACTGTTTTAGGATTAAATGGTAAGGGCTTGTTTTTTCAAAGAGTATCTTAATCTATCATGGATTTCAGTGGGATTTAGTAGTTAATAATAATTTTTAAATATTATAGAGACATATTTCACTCATTTTTACAAGTTATTCAGATTTCACCACTGGTGTTACTACCAACTGATTTTCTGCCCACTGTTTATTCTGCCACATATTAATAAAGACAACAATGTGTGAGAGAAAAACTTTTAAGACAACAAGAACTCTGCAATTTTTTCTACTCAATGTGATTTTAGGTTGCGTGCCATTGCATTTATGTATTCGTGTATCATGTTTAACCTGTCAATGCAATAAACCCAACTTTTTCCTTATAGAATGTCATGTCACTTGCTGAAAATTCTCACATAGAGGATCACACTATACCAAACTTATTGATATCTCAAAAATGTTATTAAACAGAACATGCATATTTGAGGTGATATAATATACTCTATTCTCAAAAGTGGTGACAGGAAATTCCTTTTTCTAAATATACACCAATATATATTTGTCACTTAGCTTTTGGATATTGGCTGCTATGTATTTGTGAGACACAGGATTTAACAAGGATCCACCCTTCTAGAAAGAATAAATCCTTCTAAGGTCATGGTCCCTATATCCTTCTGACAGGTCTGCCCAACAAATACTAGGGAAAAAATAAAATCCAGGGGAGTATGATAATTCTAATTTCACACTTTGATATCAAAAATATATTAGCTACAACAAAATGTAAGAAATGCAAATATGTCATTAAGCAACATAATTAAAGGTTTTCTTCAGTGCAGTCTTGCTATGTTTATTCAATGAAGTGTAATGAATTGCAAGATACACAGTAAAACTAAACCCTCACTGATTTATAACAACTTTCAGTTACTAAATAACTATTATGGAATACATCATAAATTATAAATAAATGCAGCATTTTTCTATTTCTTTTGCTTTAAAGAAAAAATCAATTTTGTATTTTTATTGTATGGCTTTATTCAGTTGTTGATTAACATAGAAAATCTCCGTGGAAGGTATTTTTGATGGTATATGCATGTGTTCAAGTGAATAGTTTGAATTTTCATTTTTCTTTTGTATTTTAAAGTCTTGCACAAACAATTGATGCATCCTCACAACATCCCTGTGAGGTAGGTAGTTCAGCTGTTTAAGAAAAAGAAAAAAACCCTTGAGAAATTCCCTCTGTTTCACTAATTCAGCAAAGTCAAAACAGTAACAACAACAAGGCCATTGCACTTCTTACTCTGATTTGGGTCATGAAAATGTACTGCCTCTCTCATGTCTCAGTAGCTTCTGTATAAATTCTAAAATATTTCATATGAACATCACCTTAGTCATTGCCAACAGAGTGAGATATTTTTCATGTGAAATGAGTAGGATACAGTAATTGTCCTGTGTACATGTAAATTTCGTTGAATCATCTCATCCACTAGATAAATAGTAAGAAATAGACTTCTTGCATGAAATATTTAATATTTAAAAATATAACCTTTTAAGGTTATAAATACAGTATATAATTATATACTTTAAGAATAAAAATGTATGTAATGGTTACATGAATTTAAAAAGTGGGTGAGTGTACTCATCTGAGCAATTAAAAAACATGCTGATGCACATCTACCTTACATATTTTAAATAAAAATATGCTAAAATAAAGTTCATTGATCTGCTAGTAAAATTTTATAATGGGTGTATTCATCCCCTGTCATGGTAGATGGTGGGTGACATAAAAAAGCACAGCAACAGCAGAATGTTTTTATATAAATTGCATGCACAATCTGATTTCTTACTTGATTATCAAAGGAACAAATATATTCATTAAAGAAGCCAACTCATTTACAAGACAAAGTGAGTCTCACTCTAGCTCCATGTCAATATAAACAATTTGCAACTGATTACATCCATCAAGTTTAATATAAACCATAGTAATCTGAATAGTGTAATCAGATGGAACAAGATTTAATAACATACAAACCAAAGTTAATGTTTCTCTGATTGCTTCCATTAACTGCATAACTATCCAAAGTATTAGTTTTACATATACATTATGTAACTTAGTATTAGAAAAGTTAAAAATACACAATTCAGTACATTATATAGAGGACTGTATTTATCAGAAGTTTATACATATTGCTAGTTTTTGAAATTTTTTTCCTTCTTAAAACATAGTTTACCATATATCAATTAAAAAAGAGCACTTCACATATTCAAATTATCATTATCCTATCAGTATGTTCTCTCTGCAATCTAGGTGCATTTAAAAATAAATAAATAAAATTGTATTTTGATGAAACACTCTTTTACCACTAGCACTTTAAGACTACAGACAGCACATAAAGCAACAAATTCCTTAAAAGCAAATCTTATCTTTCTTCATATAAATTCAAAAACCCAGCAAACAATGTGCAGAGTAGTAAGAATGGCAAGAAAAAACTTATTTAAGTGCAAAAGCAACCTCTGGTAAACTTCAAAATGGTTAACACTCAATACATATCTTGTTTGTAAAGCTGGAATACTGACAGTTTATTTCCCTTTTATTTACCCAGTTATTGCAGCATGTATAAACCAGTAAGAATAATTGTATTTTATATACAACTAAACAACTCAAATTCAGAAGACATGAAGATGGTTTGTAAAATTATGTTTTCATCCTGTGAAATTTAAAGTTACATTTTCTTACAAAAACTTGTTTGAGAGCTCAAGCAGAACTTTGAAGAAAAGGATATGTATATATAGAGTCATAAAAATTTTTCCAATCACTTCCTAAAGTGAGTATAACATGTTATGGACAAATAAAAAAACCAATTAAAATTGGCATGGGATGGGTAGTTTGGAAAAGACAACTTTTGTGTTTTTCATGTTCAGTGAAAAAAATAGATGCATGGCAAACTAACATTTTTAAACTGATAAATGTTATGGAAAAATAATGAGGCAACAGAAATAAACACAAATTTTTCATTGCTGAGTTTTTTTTAAATGACTGATTTACCTTAAGGGCAATTTTAAGACCAAAGCAGATCACTATTGTATCAGAGTATATAAAGCTTCCCCCGGTTGCACACAATAGGGCTTTTCTTATTAAAGTCTGGAGAGTTGACACTGACCCTGATGCTCTCATTGTTAGTAGGATGCTGTTAGTAGTAGCAGTTGCAAACATAGGGGTTTGCCAGTAACAACTCACAATTTGTGCATAGTTGAGTCTTCGAAACTGAGCAAATTTGCTCTCAAAATCTTGCCAGCGCTTGCTGAGCTGTATCAGGGTTGGCTCCACTGCTTTTGCAGCCCCATCCTTAGACAGGCGTTCAGCCTGCCTGTGCACCGCATGCAGATCTTCCTTCTTCTTCTCCAATTCTCCACCAATCTCCTAGTGAGCAAAACCAATACAGGGCCCAGGACAGTTAGCTAACTAGATCAATCAACTTAAAATTAGCAAAATACTTCCGTCAGAAAATCCATTTCCATTTTATTGTCACAAGTAAAATTTACAGCTTATTTTCATATTATTCATATCTTATTTTACATTTAAACAAAACAAAAATAACTGAAATTGAAGAAGCTTCTTGGGATGGGCTGTAGAGATCCTAAGAGCTGCTACACTCTGAAACTGTTAGCAGAGGGCAACAGTTCCCATGTTCAGATTCTTGCTAGTACACTGGGATGGGCAACAGGAGAAATTAATTTCTCAGTAAGAGTCAGCATATTCAGGACAAATAGTTTTTGAACAGCTTACAAATATAGTATTATATAGGTCTTTAATGTGCTAGTTAACTCCTATTTTACTCCGTGGGAAACTCAACAGAGAATGAAGCAAAGAAAGACGATGTAAAATAAATCAGGAAAACCTTTGACAGTATGTAAATAAATCTATAGAGTTTGACAGTGACATATGAACATGTTCTGATGAAAATGAATGTGCTAACATGAGATAGAGGTCATCCATATATTGGTAAGTCATTTGTTCATCTGGAACAAAGATACATAAAATCAATTACAATTTTTACTAGAAAACATTTGATGCTTCTTAATACATTGTGCACTTTCTTTATTATTGACAAAACATTATATTTAGTGTGTTTCAAATTATTTATATATCATTCTGTATAGGAAACAAATAGAAAATATAGTACAACAAAGAAATGTCACTTTGAACACAGATAATTAGGGTTTGCTTTACTATAAATAGAAATAAAGAACTGAACATATAATTGTCTATAGCTATAAGATAGGATTGTTTGTTGCATTTGCTGTCTGTTCTACAGATAAACTACCACTCCAAAAGATCTATCATTGCCAACCCAAAACAACATTACCTTTAGCTTCTGCTCATCTTTGTGGTCTGGCAGACCGGCTAACTTTTTCTCAATGTCATCCAGCCACGTCATTAGGTCATCAGCCTGCCTCTTGTACTGATACCATTGATGAGAAATCTCTAAAGCCTTTTTTCTTCTTTGAGCTCTCAAGTCCTGTTCACAGTGCAGACATTATTAGAATATGAATTAAAGGCTTATAAAATATGAACTGGCATTGTGCACACTGAAGGGAGAAAAGTGTACAAAACTGCTAATTTCTTAATTAAATGTTGATATTTAAAGCAAGCATATGAGGAAGTGAACATATTTGCATCAGTTTAAAAAAATTTTTTTGTTAGTTTGTTTAAAAAGAGGTTACCTATTTCAGTGTTGTTCACATGTTGAGTAAACCACTGAGACAGTCACCAATATTCAGAGAAGTTAAGACTCTTACATAAATGTCAATATTTTATATAAAACACTTCTGCTCAGAATACTTACTGGACAGATGGAAACACAGCCCACTTAGTATCTAGCCAAAAGTGGGACTTCTGTATTTTGTGGACTCCTGTGAATTTCTAGCCTGCATGAAAACTCTGTAGCTATTCAAATGAAAATCACTGTAATGCAGAAATGTTTGCAAAGACAGGTTTTCTTTATCTAAATGTAATACCACATACATAACAAATGCCTTGTGATTATAATTCTGCTTTAAAAAGGATTAAAACTTTTCTTTAGCAGGAAGGTATAAAATGTTTGGTTTTTTCCCTTAGAGATGTTATAAAATATACATTTGCTTTAACTGCTTAACTTCACTCATGCAGAATTCAGAAAATATTTTAATTACTATAATGTCTTATTATGAAGTAAATAAAATAATTACTGGTATATTTTATATAAAAATACTCAGATTAATTTTCCTCAACCATTCCTTGAATTTTTTTCACCAGGGTGAATGCCTTAACTGACTCACCCAAAGGAAAATCTATCACTGTACCATAAAAAACAGCCAGGGAGGATCTGGTCAATAGCACAGTGCAATAAACACTGTTCTTGTTTCTCCAACATAAAAATTATGAATTGCTTCCATTTAGCTTGGAACAGTCAAAGATCCACCTAACAGATTTCAAGCTTCTTTTAAATGTGGATAAAACAACAGTATATCCTAGCTATCCTTCTCCTGAATTCAAACAGACTTGCAAAATTGTAAGAATTAGAATTAAATCCACAGGAGAGGAAAGACCATGCAAAAAAATAAGTAAAATAAAATGCAACATGCCATGTTCCCCAAACCAAAGATAACTTAATCAAAATTATCCAAAGAAAGAAAGATTCTGCTTGCTGACGACATAAAAACTCTCTTACAGTAGCCGGAGCCTACAGCTCCAGGTAGGTGACCAAGGTGATTCTCTAATTGTAAGATTCTGTCTTTCATCACTTTTATTTGCCATAGAAAGATGACACTTCCAGTTATATCTGTTAGCTGGTCCACATGGCATGGAAACACACCAGGTGCATTTCTAGGAACAATATCACACAGTTTTACCTCTTGGATTCTGTCAACTCAGAATGTTCATATGCAACTCTGGGTTTCAGCCTCTCAGCTGCTATGTCTATTGGTAATACCAGCTATCCTATTCTAGAGAGGCTGGAGCCACTCTTCCAATAGGAGTCTAAGTATTTTACTGAAGGAGAAACAATTTATTCATGGCCAGAAGTGTGTTATTCCATGGAGAATATAAGTTTGCAGGACCTGATTCTATCTAAGGACTTGACTGTTGATGAAGGAATATAAAAGACACATTATATGTTAAAAAAGGTATTATCAAAGAAATCAGTGCTGTCCAATTGGCAGTCACACAGTTGTAATGCTGAGGACAAAACAATACTTCTCGAGCTGAAGGCTGTAAAATGCTTTTTGCAATGCATCAGGAGAACTGTATAAGAAAAGACATCTATAGCCAAATAGTTTGAAATTACTCATCTCTAAATAGTAAGGACAATTCATTTAGCAAAAAGATGCCCTGAAATGAAAAAAAAGTGGGTTTAATAGCATGTGCTTACAACTGTAGCTCCTATACCTTGAGGGCATTATGTTTAGTCCGCAACAGCTGCTGTTTTGTCTTTATTTCCTCACGTTTTTTCTCATCTGTGACTCCCTTTTGAAGCCTGTCGCCCCTTTGCAGCAATTCTTTCACTGTGCTCTCATCCTCTTCACTCTGATTTAAAAGAAATAACCAATATAATGTGCATTTTAATCTAACTATTACTTAAGTACTAGTAGGTACAGACTATGCTAAAGTAATCATGTAGCAGCCACTTGCAGTTGTATACTGATGATCAGGTAACTTTTACTTGCTTTCTACAACGTAGAAATATGTAGAGGGATAAAAGAAAGACAACACCTGCAAATCTACATATTTTTGGTATTAGATCTTATGCAGCATCCAGGATAACAGTATAAAAACAGAGGCAAATGCCTGAAATATATTTTACTTTCAAACAAAAGGAATAGTTATATACAAAATATTCTAAATCTCTGTCAGTAGAGATTGAAATTGCCAGTATGCTGGCAGACCATGCAATTACTGACCATTCTGTGTATCACATTGAAAATCAGCTGTTCTGACTGGGCAAATGCTATCACTAAGAATTTTTTACGCAGAAGCCACCTACAAATCTATGAATCTTTGAAGCTGGATCTATGTCACAGCTTCTGGCAGTGTCTTGAACCACTCCAAGCATTTGATGCAAAGAAAAGGAACCAAAAATGCTCAGGTAGTGGAAACTGCCCCATCAAACTTGATTCACTTTGAATTTAACACTACATACATATGCTAAATTCTGCATGCAGCACATGGAGCCTAAAATTTTATTTTTCCCGAATAAAAGAAAAAACAGCCAGTTAAGATTCCTTCCAGCACTGATATGAAACAGAAACCTTTGAAGAATTCCCTAAAAGTAAAATAACATTGAGTCTTTATATTGGGAGCAAACAAATATAAATTTGATCTTGCAAGGACTCAAGAAGAGAGCGTCCAAAGATGAAACTCCCTTTTTGCCCAGCCAAACAATGTCATCTCCTTGAAAATCAGTCTGGAGAACACACGCCACAATTGCAATAGTAGCAAAGCACTGCAGTATTTTACTCCTCTTTTTCCTTTCCTCCTCCAGCAAATATGAATAAATGGTTTTATGACTTGCAATGATAAAACTTAAGGAATAAAGCTTACCACAGCCACAAAATCTATTTACATTAAATGCTATAAGCAGATTGGTTAATAAAAAATTGGCAAGTGGCATTTTTTTCATGACCATTTATTTTTAGTGAATGTATTCTTTTAATATAGTTCCCATTTTGTTACATCATTCTGACTTTTTCTGGTCTATTATGCTACTACAGATATTTTAATATCCATTCCTTGTTCTGTAATACTGCTGGTAGTAGTACATGGATAACATTCATGGTCTGCTTAGTGTTTTCAGAAGGAAAAAGAAATGCTTTTCTGATAAATTAAAAAATAAGTTAGCACAAAAAAATTTTAGTTAGTGCTAATTTGTGACTTTTGACTTTATAATATATTAGCATAGAAAAATTTTGCCTGGGTTATATCCAAAGATCCTAACACAAATATGGGTTTCTGATTTTCACTCAGATTTTTTCATCTCCCTGCTTATTTTGCTCAGACTTCCATTTCAACCAAATTACCATATCTTTATTGAAGTCCTCCTCTTTCAGATTCACTCCCTGCTGAATTTCAACCTCCAGTGGTTCAAGCATTTTTTGTATATCGAAGTCAAATTGCTCCAATTCCTTCAAAGGAATGAAGGGCTAAAATGGAGAAATACAAAGATTATTTATTTAAAGCACACATTTCATAGTTTTATTAGAAACAAATAAAAAGAGATATCTGTGCTACTCCCTATTTCTAAAACAATGGTAGACTTTCCATCATGTTGAAAAATATCTACAGCATACTCAAAATACCCAAAGATACAAATAAAGATACAAATTTATGTAGAATTTCCATGTAAGTAAACCAAAGAATTTTAAGGTGAGTGAAAATTAAAAAAAAAAAAACCAACAAAAACATTCTCACATTTGTGTGTAAGAACAAGTCCAAATAAATAGTATTTTTTCTAAAAAAAAACCAGAAAAAGCTTACACTAATTGGTCAAATCTGATTTTTGGAAATTATTCATACAGACACAAGAAGTCCATTCAGTTGAAACAATCCAATACTATTATTAATTGAGAAAATTTTAATGTTAATCTGGTTCAGTTTTGACATCATTTTTCTCTCACATACAACAGTAGAAGTGTTAGGTGAATGCTACAAAACAAAAGACAGAAAATCTTTCTGTTAGATATTCTCCTAGCAGTATTTCAAAACATATTGGGAAAAAAATCAGCAAAAGTTCAGCTTTTGTTTCAAAAAGCCTCAACAAAAATTCAGGATGAAAAAACAAAACCAAACAAACAAAACAGACTCAATTCCTCCAAAATAAATCACAGTATAATTATGGTGCTTTAGTTTAGTATTCAGTTTTGAACTCTCCAAGAGGTGCTACTTGTTAACAACAATGCACTGCTTTTTGTCAAGCTGACATGAGTGCCTGTGAATGTATATGTACATTTATTATTTACAATATATAGCCTATTTATTAATTGCATCACAAATTATCAACAGAAAGTGCTTCTTCCTTCAAAGCTTTAAAGGCAAGAAGAAAAAAGAAAATCTCAGTGGTTCTTGCACAAACTTTATACTTAAAGGTAATTTATGCTTTTTGATGGTCTAGAAACTCTTGGATGTGCAAGTGTCTTGCTAAAGACATAAGCACATTGTATCCTAACTAGTTCTCCTTTACTCTTTCCTCTGGAAAAATTACTTATTAATATATTAGTTATTATATTATTTATTATGTAATGAAGACAGCAACAATAAAAATTAATCAGTTAAAGCATGAGACAGGATGTAAAATGAAATATCTTCTCAGATGACCTGGAAGAATCAGAGTAAAAAGCCTTAATTGTATCTGGTTGATTATTTTACCAACAAAGATTTTGCACATTTACAAACATTAATGGAAATATAATAATGTAAAATATTTATAGAGAATAATACTGTGCTCACAAATTTTCATTAAGAGGCTCAGAATTACACTCATCATGCACTTCAGCTGAGTTAGAAATAATAGAAAACGACACAGTAATTTCTTCTCAAATGCTCTGAAGAATATTTTCTAAGGTACTTAAATGTCATTAAAAGACAAGCCAACTAATAAAATTAGAATATAAAATCTATAGTCTCTGAAAAAGGCTAAAAACAATAACAAAGAAGAAAGTGGAAAGAAAAATACCAAATGAGTTCCAGCAATTAAATGATGTTTAAAGACTACTTCAAAATGTTAAGTCGCCTTTCAGTATACTATGAACATTTTGTTAATTCTCGACATGACAATTATATACTACAATTCACTGACTTAATGTATTATTTCTTATTTACTTCACTGTTGTACCGATTATTGTTAATATTTTATTAAAAAAACCTAATTTGAAGGCAGATGAGTAATTATTGAAAATAGGTTATGAGAGCTTTCGATCCTCTTGAATTTATGTTTTAATTTTTCACAGAGTGAATAATTTTACATGAATATGGGGGGGGGGAAAGAAAAAACATTTAGGAAGCATATCACCCCATAATAATAATAATTTTCCAGCTCATTAAGCCAAAGTCATAAAGAATGTACAATTGCTTACATTATACAGGTAGAAAAAATAAAGTACCCAGTAATTTGGTCCTTAATCCAAATTCATATAGCAAGTCCACTGACTTGCTATATGAATTTGGATTAAGGACCAAATAGTCAATAATTCAGAGTGGTTTTTACCTCTCTATCTGATTCAATACTTATAATAATAAGTACCCTTTGTGAATAATTTTCTCCCTGTGCATTTTCCAAGGTCCTGGAAAAGGTCCCCTAAATTCTAATTTACCATTATAATTTGTGTGCTGTAGTAATTCCTCTCATCTTGCTGGGCACTTCTCTAAATCCTAGTGTGGTTCTGCCAATTCCAGCCCACCTTGCCCTCAGAAATGGAATAAAACCTGAGAGAGAAGGCTGCAGGTGGAAGACATTTGCAGGCTGTGTTCTGAAGACACTGCATCTTGATAAGAATCTTTTGTCCCTTCTTTGAGTGAGCCCACTGAACCCCCAATAAGCCATCTACAGGCAGTCCCATTTTTCCCTAGGACAAGCAATAATTTCATAGGATCCCACCAAAGGCTGCATCAACTCTGACAGTTTACAATAACTTGGAAGTGCAAAGTAAAAGTGAGATGGAAATCCAGACTGCAGATAGCAGATGTTCAGAGCAAAAACATCAGACAACACAGTTCTTTGCAAAGATGTCCTCAGTCTACAGCTTGCATATGTCGAAGAAGTAGGTAAGAACCTGAAATGGCTGCAATACTACTGATGGCTACTAGGAAAAAAAATGTTACCTTTTTTTCAGAAGACATTATTTTGCTTCAGAAATGAAACCTAAATAAACGCAAATATCCACAGAGATATGCTGGTTAGGCAGGATACTGAGCTCTGCACAGATCCCAACAACTCATGGAAACCATTTCTCTTTGCTTATGCTTTTTGCCAAGCTTATTTCCTGCTTTGCCATGGATCTCTGTGCATTTTTTTCCAGTGTTTGTACAGTGACCAGCAGTAATAGTTTGGATCAGGATCTGGGCATTCCCATTATCCTCTATACCAACCCTCATGGCTGTCTCACTTAATCTGCTGAATAGCTCTTCAGAATAAAGCTGAAGAATAAAGGCAGCAAAATACCATGGAGAAAGTAGGTGGCTTATATCCTTCTTCATTCCAAATCAGTAGGCACAACTTGGCTAAAAATTGCCTAATCCACACTGAATTCAGATTTAGCAGTTATGCTAGTTCTACAGACGAGTAACTGAAGTAAAATTGATATAACCTCTACCTATTTCTATCTCCAGCATTGGTGAATCCCAATGTTAGTCATAGGAAAAGACTAACTTCACTTGAAGAAAAATTAGCTCTCAAAACCAAATCTATATGAAAAAAGGCTACTCATACTTTGTGAAGTTGGAGACTTAGTAATTCTCAGATGTTCATCTTTTGTAAGATAATGACATCATCATTGTTATATTCATGTAAATTCAGTGAATACTTCCAATTGTGAAACACTGAAATAATACCTTAATGCCAAAATCCCCAAATCGTCACACTTAATTAAAAAAGAAATCCTTAGTTTCTACATTGTTTTCCTTTTAAAGCTTAGTGTTGTGAGGAACTATAGCCTTATGCTGTTGCAATTGTGCACCATTGCAAACCACCATTTTTTATGCAAACACGAGCACCGTTTTTTATGCATCTCCTTTATGGAAGCAAGCCCTCCTACCTTCACACTCTTAATTCTCTGTGATACAGCTGCAAATCGCTGGTTGAGCTCTGAGAGTTTGGGCTCCACCACTTTCCTGCAGTGGTCCCCACGGTTTGCCATCAAGTCTCTGGCCTGGTCACGCACAGAGTCCACCTTGGGGTGAATGTCATTCAGCTCAGCCTTTAAGCGCTACAGTCCGTGAGCAAGAGACAGGGCTTGAAGTTAGTAATAAATGCAGAGAGAGAGAAAGAGAGAGAGAGAGAGAAAGTGTGCAAAGGAATAGGGAGCAAAACCACAAAGCAAATTCAGATAATTATGCATGAGTGTGTAAATCCAGTAGAAATACCTTGGATAACGTTCGCACTCGTATCTCTCAAATTTATAGCAGGAATGTATCTAAAGGTCTGTTTTAGTATCCCCTGGCTGAAAGTAATGGGGATCATTATTTCTAGGCAGATTCTTATCTGCAATAATATTGCAGCATATTTCAGGATGCACTAAATTATTCTATGTTCCTAAAGCTAGGAAGAGCTGCTGATTCATGTATTATAGAACTGGATGTGCAATTGTTGCTTTCAATACTGCTCAGGGTCATAGTTTAGACACGTAAAAATTACCAAATTTAAAAAAAAAAGGTTCTAATTTTTCTAATTTTGTCTACAAATCAGTCACAAATTACAAAAAAAAAAAAAAAAAAAAGAAGAAAAAAAAAACTGAGGGCAAAAACCTTTATCCTCTGCAATATTAATCTTAACAGTAGATCCCAGAACAGGCAGAGGCCAAAAATAGATAGCAAGGCATTTGGGAATCAGAAATACAGCTGGGCATTAAGAATTACATTTCACTGTCTGCATCAACTACCTTTGTGCAATGCAAACATAAATATAGGTATTGATAATTTTACTTTGTATCTGACAGTGGCACAATTGTTCATTCATCTACAAAAACCAGTCTCATAATCCTGCTGAGATCAATGAGGCATTGATTTATGCCCTAGAATTTGTAAAATTTTTCTGCAGTAAACGGCATCATTATGTCAGTGTCAGCAATACAATTCTGATTTTGATTTGCAAAGTCTACTCAGATATTACGAAATAACCATGGAGTTCATTACAAAGTAAAATTTCACATTGACTTCAGAAGAAAAAGAAAAGTCCCTTAAGATAATAATTTGATGTTGTTCTTAAGGAAGGTATTTTAAATGAGATATTTTAACATACACGTTCATATTACAAGATAATTTTTCATCATTTGGTCAAATGAAACAATTGGCCAACTAAAACCAAGATCTCTGATGCTACAGCTAGTTCAACATATAAAATTCTTGTCTGTGTTGCTGATCTGGCCTCAGTGTAAGCAATGTTTGTAGAATTAAGACAATCATAAGACAGAAATATCATACATATTGGAAAAATATCACAGAAAAACAGAAATACAATTAAAAATAAAGGGGACAGAAAATAAAAATATTTTTTTCAAACAAAATAAAATCTTGAGTTAAAGGAGTATTTTCCAGCAGACATGTGTTTAATAAGCTGCTGTTTTATCAACAGGAAGTTTCCAAGAATTATAATAACAATCTGGTTTTATTTCTGCAGGGATTTAATTTTGGTATTACAGAGCAAATTTATTAAGTAATCTACAAGTTGCCAGAGGGTAGCTTTAGCACAGAAAAAAGAATTTTAATCCATTTTTAATACCTTTTGAAATATGCTAGTTGTGATACAGTCCTTTTTAGAATAAAATTAATGCTTTCCAGTAAATCACATTTTTTTACCTTAAGAATTTCCTCTTTTTGCTGGGGTTTTTGTTTGTCAGATTCATCCAACAGTATTTCAGCACGATACATCCAAGTAGTGACATTAGCTACATTCTGATCAAAAGCCTCCATGTGCTTTTGATATTCCTGTGTGTGGAAAAGGTAAATACTGCATACAAAAAATGTAATCAGAACTGAAATAACAGCTGTAGTTATGCCAAGTGTGGCAAACATGCACACATTATGACAGGATGAAAACTTGTTTATTTTTCACAGTAACTTCTTGTTTTGTGAAGGATAGAATCTGCTGTTTGATTCCTTCACTTTGCATGTTAAGTTTCTTTAAAAAGACATTCTAGGAGAGAGAGAGAAGCTTGCAAAGTGACAGGCAGCAGGATGACAAAATCACAGCAAGACGCAGGTGTCGGCAGCTCAGCGAGGTGCTGAGAGGAACAGGGAGCTGTGAGCCAGGCCTACAGGAGCTGCAAAGGAGCATTTCCCAAGAACAAGGTACAGAATTCATTTTGGAAAGCCAGTCAATTGACTGAAACTCAGATGGCCACAAGGATGCACTTGCAAAATCACAGTCAAGACTGGGAGCTTTGTATCTAAACCTCCTGTGGACATTTCATGTAACTTCTCTGTTTTGACATTCTTCTCTTTAAAAGCTATTCAAGTTGATATACTGATAAATCTTAATTTCTCTGCTTCATTTAAAACTTTATCTTTTCAGGTGAGCTCACTAGAAAGTGGCCTGCGCATATCCCACACAATAAATATGTAGACCACATACCCAAAAACAAAGGTATTACTAGTTCTTCTGGCACCCAAATGTATCTACCTGTATTTTACACTGTTCTAAATGGGTAGAAACCCCTCAATTACCTCTCTTAGACCTTTTTATCATGTGTTTTAGCAAATGTTAACCACAGAATCCAAAGCAGGGAAAGAGAGAATGTACAGGAATACATAACTGTATCAACCTGTAAACTCCATTATATGCTTCTTACAATCAGTTCCACATTAAATCTGTGTACCTACATGACTCTGAATGAAATGCTGAAGTTTTCCAGATACTTTACTCAGCTGAGGAAGCCCTGTAGTGATGATGTATATTTATTGCCAAAGTATTCCTAAAGCAGTCATACAGACTCTAGTGGAGTTCCAACACATCAAGCCCTGAAAAGTCATGACAAAGGCCAACATACCCTTAAAAATCACTTCTGTTTCTCTGGGGTGAAATTGCATTCCCATGCTCTCAGGAACAGAAAGAGCATGCAAGATTTCCCAAAGCATTCTTACAGTCCAGTTGTTAAGACCCTTCTGCAGTTAAGGGTTCATGCTGTCACCTCTTCATGACAGAATGAATAAAGTTATGTGACTATCTGGAGTTTGAGGCAGCTGGGGATGAGGTTTCTGAATCTGTACAAAATGTGTATTAGGGGTTTTACTGTCTATTACACTTAATCCAGTCCCCTTAAGGAATTATCCCCACTTAAATGTGCCCTATAACATTATGCAAAGGAGGATCATGAAGTTCTGAAAGACCAAATCAGATCCCTTCAGCACATCATGTGTGCACTCTGAGAAGAGCTTATGATTTAGTTGCCTCTAAAATGAATTAAAACTCACACACACCAGAACTACCCTATCGACCAAACCAACTTGCAAGTGGAAACTTCTCTCCCACTTGTACTGTTCCAAACAGAAATTCTAATGCAGCCAAAAGTAGCTGATGTTGTTGGTATCAATGCTAAGACTTTCTCAGCTTACTTGACTATTATTTTTACTTGACTACTGAAGTAATCTCTGTCCTTTAAACTGCATTTGATTTATTAGGAAAAAAAAAAAACAAACCAAAACCAATGCAAGAACTGTTGAGACAGACAGGGTTGCAAACTGCTAACGATCAAGATTCCACTTGGTAATCAATGAGATTTCCAAAACATACACAGTGTACTAAGCAACAATCAATCTGATTGCCTGTGTACCTGTGTATTCAATAAGCACAGTCCAAGGCACCAGAAAAAGCACTTCTGTAAGGCTGGGCATGTACAGCTGGAAACTAACATTTCCTCTGCGTGAAGAAATGCATTTTCCTTACCAGTAAGAGATTGAACCATTCCTCAGCACGTGAAGTTACCGCTTTCCAGTTGCTGTTCAGCAGGCTGAGTTTATCATCCACAAGACTTTCCTTTCCTTTCATCACTGCCTTCAAATTCTCTCCTAAGTCACTGATGCTCTTAAGCTGGCCCTGGCGTTTCTCAATCTCCTTCCGTGTTGCCTACATGAGCAGAACAAGAAATAAAATTTCTGGGAATTAGAAATTACCCACACTAAGAACATGAAATGTTAAATCAGGCAGCAAGTTTATAAAAGAACGCACAGTCTTGCTTCCTATAGGAAGGAAAGGCATTCTGTAAAGAGCAGCAAATAGAAAGCAAATTGTTTCTCTTGAGCTCTGATAAAATTGAATATATTCTTCATCTTCTTGCAATAGCCTAATTTTCAAAAAATGCAAATTATCTTTCAGTGTTCAAAATATAGTTTCAATACTTAATTATTAAAAATGAATCAACATTTCATAATATTTATATGGAGATGTTAAAGTTAATTTTCATATAATAAAATTAGCTAGTTATCAAATGGTACATAAAGCTTACATAATAATTGGGACAATAATACACCATCATGATGACACCTTAAGACGGAAAACTCCATCAAATATAGTCTAGTAAATATTTTATTACTTTAATATTTGTAATTGCAATCTTTTTCAGAAGAAAGCATGATATTTTCTTCTGTTAATCTTGTTTCCTAATTGTAGAAATGCATATTTTCATTACCTTCACTTGAGATTTCAATCTGCAAACCAAAATACTAAAAATAAGCTATAGCCCATAGCATTTCTAAGCCTGATTGACTACAACACATATGCTGTGCTTTAAAGTCAGATTTCCAGCATCTCTTCCCACTGTTATCTTACCTTATAGATCTGATGTGTAAGGTTACATAATTTACTTATTTTTCATGTCTTAATATTCACTGCAACATACAAGATGTCTAACAAAAGGAACAAATCCCAACATATTTAGACAACATGTAAAAAAAGCAGGTGTTTAAATACTAAACAGTGAGATGACACAGTGCAAAGTACAGCAGTCTTACTGAATACTCAAGGAAAGGCACAACTCCTTACACCTAATTTCACATATAAGTGTTTTTATGAGAGAAATTTATTTGAGATCCACAGCACCTGATAGCAATGATCTAGGCATATAAATCTCTGCTTATAAAATAAAACTGCAAGCACAAAGTGTTCCAAGATGAACACAAACAGAACTTAGTAGAGAAGGAAGAAGCACTGGTCTTCAGAGACATGGATGTCTCACAGAAACCTAAATACAGTAAAATAAAAAAAGCTCTTCAAACAAATGGCAAAACCAATACTTCCATCTCAGGATGAATGCTGTTATGCAGTAGAACCTCACCTTTATGACCTCCACACTATCATATCTCTCATGGTCACAGATCAGTATTATTTTGTGGATAGTGTATTGACAGTGAAAGCAGAATGTTCATTTTTCAATAAAGACAGTATAAAATTTTTCTTTTTGGTAAAATAGAACCTTAACAGTACCTTCAACTTATTCAGTGTGTCATGTTTAAAGCAGCAGCTCACTTCCTATGCTTAACAAAATTCAGGATCTCATTTTGCAATGTTATTTCACAGAAAAAACTTTTAAACTAGTATTTCATGCAAGTATGAGCAATTTTCCCCATGCTATCAATTTTCTAAAATACACAGGATATGTAATAGAAGCAAGGCATGATTGATGCAAATTATTAGAAATATACTATATAATTATAGAATTTGAAAAGGAGAGTTTAAAATTTCAGCAGGTCCTTGTCAGATTAAAAGAAAAACATGCCCTCTTCTAGTGCTGTTTTATTTGTTTCACAGTAGGTGCAAAGTGTCATCATGAAAAAAGAATAACACAAAGGATATAATTTACCCTCAACTGAAGATGGAAAATTTTGATCAGGTTTCTTTCATTTTCTAAACTATTTTCTTTCATTTGGAAAAGACTCTCTGAATTGTATTTACCATGGGTTGTGGTTTCTTTTGTATTTTACACTTATGAAAATGATGACCAATCTTGGGGTATATAAATAAATATTAATCCCAACTAGTAAACAGATGGACCAAACAATTAAATGCCTGTTAAACAAAACTGTTACCCAAAAACCACATGTGTAATTCCCTATGTGTAAGAAACACATTATTTCCTTTCAAAATATAGAATTACTGTAAACTAAAGACTTAATGCACCTCTGGGCAATATGGATTCTAACTCCCTCGTGTAATTGCAAGTAAGACACATGAATCACACTTCCTGTCATTGTCTTAAAAAACATTGTGGCCCTCAACAAAACACTGAAGGGACAAAAGCATCTTCCTCAATACTTTAAATCTCCATTATTACAAGTTCTGAATACAACTGAAAAACTAGCAGGGTCTGTAAAGTCAGTGGGATTCCCCTCTGCATTATCAGTTACGACTTCCTCTGTAGGTTATGAAGTGCCCCAGGTAAACTGACTTGCTTTCACAACTTCAATAAGACCTTTTTGGTTTGTTGTTTTATTTGGCATCTCTTCATTATATCCCTAAGAATTTCCCATTTTTCTTTCCAGTATTACTAGAAAGTAATAGTCTACACATACTTTGCTCACTGCAATATAACAGCACTGTTAAATTCTCTGTAAGAAAAAAATCAAAAGTATTACTATTAATTCAACAACATTACATGAAACAAAGAAGTATGTGTCATGATGCCAGGATTTAACTAAGATTATTTCAGTAAAAGTCAGGGAGTGGCTTTTAAATTCTCCTAATTTTTAAAGAGGAATTTCCACACAGTCTTGCTGGATTTATGCTCCTTTCTGGTTGCCATAACATGAAATTGCATTCCAGCTGTGTGGTTTATTTGAAAACATATATAAAAGTTGTAGAATTTAAATTACAGAATTAATAGAATTAGCTTTGCAAGTTAAAAATTACATTTTAAACATGTAAAACCTTAAAAAATCTCCAAACCCCCAAGTCCCAAACACTACCACAATGTGTACAAGATGAAACATCAACAAATAAAGTGGTTAAACTCTTCCCAGAAGGACTAAGCAATTTATATATTTTGATTTTGTGTGCTTATCAGGGTGAAACTTTGTTACATAAATAAAATACAGAAATATAGCAGTTGTGAAGAAGCTATTTTTCTGATATAATTATGGCATCTTGGGGAAACAAAAACATGTAAACAAAAGATTGAACTAAAAATCCTAACACTGAGCATTCACTTACAGCTGTGAAAATTTATCAACAATGTTGAACAACTCCAAAACAGTTTTTATTCTTCGACTGTTTATCATTATAATGAAGTTGTTACATTATTTTTTTTTCTTTTAAAACTAGTACATTTATTTATAAAACAAACTCTCATCCAAGTGTGTATTACCTGCTGGAATAGAAAGGCTCCATAAATCCTTCCAGGAAAGATATCTCCATTAAAATATGTATACAAATTACACAGATTATATTAAGGATATATATATAGAGAACTTCTCCACATATGGCACTATTTAAGATCACATCTACTACCAGATACAAGAGTTAAGATGATGTGAATTTCTCCGCAATCAAATATCAGTCATTCAATTAGACGAAATTTTGAAGGGAGTCTTTGGAAGAAGCTCCTGTACGTCTACTTTTCTGAAGTACCAGTTATGGCTATTTGGTACAAAATACCACAATGGAAATTTCCTGACCCAAACAATTAATTTGTGTTTCATGGCGGAAATGTTTCCTTTGCTTTTTAAGGAACTGTTATTCTTTTCTCACTCATGGTCATAAGAAAAATGTTGGCCACCTGCTTTAATCAAAACTGGGGATTACACCACCATGGAACTCCAGGGCTTCAACATTTCAAGGAGAAATGGCATCTAGGTTCCTGGCATCCAGGAAATCAAAGCAATCAGACAGACCCTGGTGCAACTCTGCATGCAGAGCATGTCTCAGGTGATTATTTTCTAATCCCATTCCCAGAAACATCAGAATGGAAAGAGGAAGAATCTGAGCTTCCCTTGTGCCAGTTTCATTCATCAGAACCTCAGGAAAGGAGTTGCAGTACAAAATAAAAGTTCTGTTTAAAAAAACAGCTTTGGATAGGTTGAAATCTCTGCCAAAGGGAGACCATGCTGCAGCGTGTAGGGATGAGCTTTGCTGAGAATTTATAAGTGGTTTGTAGCTGCATACAGTAGGTAATATTTTCCCTACTTTACATATGGATCCATAGGATGACAGGATGAATCATGTTACAACAAATAATTGCAGTTCCCTGTGCAGATATTTACATTTTGAGTGGTGTTTGCAGTCCTGTCTCTGATCCCATTGTGCTGTGACATACTTTTTATCTTTCAGTTTACTAAAATATACTTACAGGTTTTTTTACAAAACAGTTACAACTGTTTTGTTTTCTTGTTTCTTTTTTTTTTTTTTTTTATGGTTTTGGTTTACTGCGATGATTTTTATACATTCATCCCATCATCAAATACCAACTAGGAATTAATTGTGTTTGTAAACAGAAGTTACATAGAAATGGGTTTCTTGGTGTTTTTGTGGATTTTATTTTTTTGTTTTGGGTTTTTAAATTATTATTGCAATATTTTGTTGGTTTGGTTTGTTGTTCTGAAGATGTGGTAAAAAGAACTTCTGAGCTATATTTTATAATGATAAAACGACTATGTACCAAGATGAACTAATGATGTTTTTTTCCAAACAAACCAGAATTGTAATAAAATGCAAGGGATAGTATATTTAGTCATGATGGTCATTAACATATGCAGACTAAAAAACACAACAACAATGAATGAGTGAAGAAAACTTCTCTGTGCCTTTACACTGCCTGTGATCTTTGGATTACTTGAAAATACTCTGCAATTAGAATCTTTCTAAAAGAAATTTGGTGGCTCAGCTCTCACAGGTGGGATTGCAGAATTAATCAGAAGCTGACATTATGGTCTTCTCAGTGGTTGATTATACATATTTATTTGTTTATTTACAGCACATCTTTTATTTTTTATTGCATTTTGGTCAGTGACTATGAATCAGTTGACACAATTTACAGTTTGTCTTCTTCTATGGATATTACTGACAGGAAATATGCTGCTAAATGTAATTCTAAGTACTTCAAGTCAACTTTATACTCACTGGTATTACACACTGTGTTAAAAAATCAGATTAAAGCATTGGCAGTGTCATACTGCTGATAGTAGGGAGTGATACAGAATTTTTCTGGTAATACCATCTGCCATTTCCTTTTTAAGAACATGATTTTCTGGCAATCTAATTCTTATCAGTCCAGTTTCTGATTAAAAGACAAATAAACCCTGCAGTTTTTAATGTCTTCAGTGATAAATATGTTCACTAAATCAGAATTCTAATTATAAACGGATTTCTAATATACGATGTTTAATGACTATCTTTCCACCCGCGTGTCATTTTTCTTATCTATTATAAACAGAGCTGAATTCAAATGGAAAGATTTAACTTGTCTCTACTGAGCAGAAAGGCAGGATTTACAGTCTTCAGTATATTGCCCATCTCATTTCACATAACTCAGCCAAGTTTTTGTTCCATTCCTTGAAAAATTCTACACAGGAACAAATACCACATTTCCCTTGATGTCCAGATTAATGGCATCTTTCATTAGCTTATTTTCCTTTTCAAGATGGACATTCCTTTTTACTTCAAGGTGTTTATACCTTGAAGACAACGTTCAGATGTATGATTTCTTTTATTGTCAACTCTATAATTATCTTTGTAACCCTCTGAGTAATCTTCACTTTTAAGAAGACTTGGGTGCTGAAAATGAATTAGAAATAAGTGCACTAATAAATATAACTGCTTCCTTGTCCTGTAAAAAAAAAAGATTATTAGCTCTCTGCTTAGATATATTGACAGCAGCACACATCTAATTTTCAGTTCATTTGCACTATTGAATTCTCCTCTCTCTATCTCTCTCTCTTCATTTTCCATCTTTGTTTTTCCGCAGACTTTTGTCACAATGGGAATCTGCTGGGCTTAATTCATCTCCCAGTGCATTTCATTAGATTGGATACTGTCTTTGGCAGCCTACTTACCCAGGAAGTCCAAAGCCCAAAGCTGTGACATTAATCAGCTACTGTGAGGCTCTGGTTCTGGGGACTAAATTATTGATGTACAATTTTGTGTGATGCCTCAATGAAATCCACATAGGAGCAGCAGCATCGTACGTATTTATGAAGTCCCCACAAGAATTTTAAAGTGTCCAGGATAAAATGCAGCACTGTCTCCTAGTGGGAGCAGATTCTTTAGGAAAAAGCACAATCCACATAATTTCTATAAATATTTACACTTGTAAATCTAGGCTTTGCCACATATACTACCTGTTGGATTGTTCCACATTAGAAGTCTGCTTACATATATGTGAATATTTGCTTATATTTCCTAAAAGGCAATATTAAAATGGAATTTCGAAAGCCACTCAATATATACGTATTTTGCCAAGAGGCAGCTGCTCTCACCCAAAGTTGTTTGTTCTTTTTTTAGTGATGAACTGACTGGAGGGGAAGAGCTGACGTACTACATGAGTTTGGATTGTAATGAAGGCTTTGGGGAGTATTTGAAACCAAAATATCCTTTTTACCAGTTTTTCCTTCAAAACTTTATGTATCAATTCCCTGTGAGAATTCACAGTACTCAACAGCACTCTTTAAGATTAGAAGGCAGAATGGTTCCTGTCTGATATATTTTTTTTCATGTTAATAGTTCTGATTTTAATTAGCTCTTTTTACTTTTTTAATTGTCTTCAGATAAGGAATACATTGTACTTTTTGTAGCAAGCTTAAGACACAACAAAGGCTTCCCACTGTGCAGGTGCACTAATCATCAGGTTTTTGGTCCTAATTATGCAACTTCAGAATCACTAATGTTTGTATCTAACAATAAAGTGATATTAAGGACAAATCTTTCTCTTTAAACCCCTGAGAAACTACATACATCTGTATGTATGTAAGCATGCATGTATGTATGTCAGGAACATGAAGTGCATGTTTCTGTTTCAGTAGAACTGTACTGTGTAGTCACCACCGAAGATTATTTTTATTTTACCGAGTGAATGGCCTAACTACCTAGCAGGTCAGTTTGGGGATGTTAAAACATGAAGATTTTCTAATTTGTCTCTTAAATATATGACATTTATCCTTTGTTATGGGTGTTAGAGAGTCACTGGAAAGCTGCCCAGCAGAAAATAAGTTGGGGGTGCTGGTTGACAGGTATGAACGTGAGCCAGGTGTGCCCAATGGCACCTGGCCTGGATCAGCAATAGTGTGGCAGCAGGACCAGGGCAGGGATTGTCCCCCTGTGCTCGGCACTGGTGAGGCCACACCTCAAATCCTGTGTCCAGTTTTGGGCCTCTCACTGCAGGAAAGGCACTGAGGGGCTGGACTGAGTGCAGAGAAGGGCAGCAGAGCTGGGGAAGGGTCTGGAAGGTCAGTCATGTAAGAAGCAGCTGAGGGAGCTGGGGGTGTTCAAACTGGATATTTAAGCACTGGAATGGGATGTCCAGGGAAGTGGCAGATTCACCATCCCTGGAAATGTTGATGAAACAACTGGACACGGCACTTAGTGCTTGGTTAATTGCCATGGTGGTGTTCGGCCAAAGGTGGAACTCCAGAACCTTGGTCTTTCCAGCCTTCACGATTCTATGATTCTAAGATCACAATATCAGTCCAGAGAAATGAGAGGAACTGTGCAAAATTTACTGCAGGAAAAGCAGAAAGTGAAAATGAGAAAACATCAGGCAACGATAGGAGAGAACAATGGGGGTTGCAGTGATTTAGTTTTTGATTTGAAAGTGAAAACTGCATTAGTCAGGCAGTAATTTTAGTTAGTTTTGGACATCACTTTTAGGGACAGATGATCAAAAAAAAGAGCTCTAAACCTAACAAAAGATGTGTAGACTGTGGGTTTTTTAATTGTTGTTGTTGTTATTCTAGTATTTGGTTTGCAAATCATCATTGCATTTTAAGGCTAAAGACACTTTATCAAGCTCAGAAACTTGAAAGGATTAGTTAGAACCAAAAAAAAACCCAATCCACAAAATAAATTTTACTCAAGTGCCTTGAATCTTCATTGCCGTTAAAAAATCAGGAAGATTGCTTGTGTATAATTCATTATAATTCCTATAATGCATAGTGAAACTAGTAAAATCTTTAGAGGATTTCTCCCATTAAACAAAGCAGAAGTGGTTTTGGTCTTTTTCCCAAACCTCCAATACTGTTTAAGGGGATTTTTTTTTGTTTCGAAATTATATAGAAACACTTGTTTAAAATGCTGCTGGCTGCACCCAGTTACTTGAAATTTTGAAGCTTTGGATAATGCCGACCATAGTGTTCTCTAAAATGCAGATTTTTGTTGTGTGAATAATGATTACTTGGTTTGTTTATGACCTCAGCTAGATTGGATTTCTATTACATGTGCAGAAACTGAAATAGATTAGCTACTGCTGAGTAATAAAGTGCCAATTTTTAGCATCACACAGAAATACTCTGTTTATACAGACATCTTGCATTCCTCAGCTCCTGTAAAATGTTTATTTAAACTGTGATTTAGAGGAAAATTTTGATTTAGGCTTTGAGTTTTAACCTGAAAGATGAGTTCAGGGTGAAGTCTCATGAAAGTAGAAAGCCCTCGGAATGCAAAGGAATGAGCTATAAATCTAAGAGTAAGAAAACAAATATCCTGGCTGCTATGTGAACACGTAGAACATATAGTGTTCTGGCATCTTTAATCTTTCATCTACTGTTTAATACCTTTCTAACCATCAGTAGAACGGTGTAAGAGATCTCTACTTATGTGGATACTGGGTGGTTGATTTATAGTACTCTAAAAAATTAAATTCTAACTTTAAATTCATCTCAGTGAAGATTAATGCAACGTGAAGGTGAATTGTGCTATTGATCTCTGAAGAGACAAGAAGGTTTAAACTTTTCTGAGCACTAACGTTAATGCGAGATAATGCCAAAACATTCACAAAGTTCCACTAACTAAAACGCCACAATTGTTAATTCTTTTTCTTTATCATGAAAGAAATCTACCTTTCTGCAATATTCACATGTGTGTGTTGAATTGTTACCTTGCCCCAGGCAATTTCGGCATCCAAATTGCTCGGCATCCCCTGCGCCGCGGATCTCTTTGTCAGTTCCGCGTCAGTCGCTGCGAGCCACTCTGTCAGGGCATTGATCTCCTTCCGCAGCTTCCGGGACAATTTCAAGCATTTCTCTAACTCCTGCTTTTTTTCTGTCACCTGCAGAAAGAATAATTGTGATTATTAACCCTTCAGTGTAGCAGGTCTGATGGCTTTCATATGACATTCTCCGTAGGCCACCTTTCTATAAAATCTAGACTTGGGGTTCCACAGGTGAAGTTGCACTTTTAGTACAGGTAGGTCTTGATTTTTTTCCTCTCAGTATCAGTAATTTTGCTGCTAGAATGCAAACACTTACAAGAAAATTATGTGCAAAAATATGCATTGAATGTGAACTACTAACAGTGCTCCACCTCCTCCTCCTCTGTTTTGAAGTTGTGCATACCAAATTAATTTAGAACAACTGAACTAACAGTTTTTCCTAGAGACAAAAAATAGATGTTGAAACCGTTCAAAGGGCATATTTTAATATAGGTGGCCATGTAGGAACTGGTATTCCTCAATGTTTTTTTCTGTGTAGCTAAGCTGCATGGAAGAAAAGACATACCAGCCAAAAAAAGCCTGAAAACTTGAAACACAATGTCACTGAATAATGTCAAACCAAAGCAGCACATTTAACTGTAAGGTTTTAATTTTCTGAATGCTTTGGATGTAAAGTACTCGGGATGACCTCTGCTTTAAAGCTCTTTTAAACTTGGTACATGGTACCTGGAAAGAAGGCTGAGTATTTACGTTGCCTTGACTGTCTCACACGCATTTTGAAAGAACAGGGCAAATACAGCATTTCTTGCAAGCCCTGAGACTCCTCAGGGAGAAGAAGAAAAGGTTTTACTTAATTAGCAGAGAAAGTAGAAGAGTAAATTAAGAGAACTTAGTTAGGGAAACTACACTACAATAGACAAGAGGCAACTGGAAGCAGAAAATAACAATTAATAAATTATGCTGTGATGAAGTTCAAAAAAACCCAATCAGAGATGGAGGATTAAAAGTGTCCCATAGATCACTAATATTAAAAAGAAGTTCCTAATTAGCTTGAATGTCAAATAGTAATCCCATTAAGACTGCAGCCGCTGATTTTTATTTAAGCATTTTAAAATAGAAAAAAACTTTCTACAGTGGTAGAGAACTGCATCTACTAAAACTATTTTCTACTTTGCCATTAGGAACAAGTAGTGGTACAATGATCAAATGGATTCGTAGATCAGCTGCCAAGGAGAATCTGAGATTTTAAAATGTAACAGGATGTTACAAGGTTAGGTACATGGCTTTTGCTATCCCTGAGTAAGGAGATGAGATTTGCCTAGGGAATAACCTATACAGTGTCCTGATAATTTATTATCACTCTGTAAAAGCTTACTACTGAAATCTCATAACATTTTTCACTGAATATGCTTTATGTGCTTTCTTGCATGCCAAATTTATTAAATGAGACCACAGAACTTACAGTCAGGCCAAGAGGTAAATCCCTGGGAAGGACCATAAAACTCAGCTTTTTAGAGCTCTATTCACACATGGAGCCAGGTTTTCCCCCTCTTCTTCTGAAGAGTGTAATAACAATTGTAAATAACATTACTTAGCAGCAATACAATGCAAAGTGCACTATCCTGAGCCTGAGTGCCTGTTTAAGAATTTTAAACACTTGGTATATTACAAAATGAAGTTACTGATACTTGTCAAAACAGAGAGAGAATAGTTTGTTCCTATATACATCTTTAACCTGTGTTTATTATATAAATAATAAAATATCACCATACACATTGCATCTATCCAGAGGTTACTGATTAACCAGTTTGTTAGTACTTCAAATGTAAAGTATTTTCTACAAAAAATAGGAAACAGTGCCCTCTAAAGGCCTTCTGGGTCAGAAAATGTGATCGTGAGTTACTTCATTTATGAGGGGGCCTTTTGAAACAGTACCTACAAAATCACACAGGTGAACCTATGCTTGAAGACATTTTTTTCCCTCAGACCATAAATTTCAGTCCTGAGACTTACAATTAGTTATAAATATTGTTATTTTTCTCTTAAAATGTTTTTGTGTCCATGCAATAATTAGTGCTGATAATGGCTATTCAATTCCTTTATTTCTATATATCTGGGCTTCTGTGACTTTCTCTTAAACTGTTAATTACCATGCTGAGTAAAATTAAATGTGAGAAATTCCACCTAGGGCAGCAGAGCTAAGCCCAGCACTGCACATTTTTGAGACACATCAATTTGCAATATGGCTCACTTCAAGTCACTAATGGCTCCCTAATGGTACATTTTTATCCCTTCATTAGATAAGAGAGGCTTCCTACAATAATAGCACCTGTTTGCTGTTAATTTAAACATAATGCAGGAATAAATGCCACAGTTTTTTCTAAAATAATGGAGAGCTCAAACATATTATCCAGTCCCAAAGGACAGCTATCTGCACCTACTGAAGCTGACTCCAGTTTTCCTGACACTCAAAAGATTGATGTCTCTTAATACCTTTACTTTCTAGCAAGAGAGAACTGCTTAAATTCAGATTCCCTAATGAGTATTATCTCTGTCAAAAGTAACAGAACTCTTATTGCTTTATCATACTGTAGTAACCAAGGTTTGAGTCTCATTATCTGTTTAAACCACATACTGGCTCTCAGGATTACCATGGGCTCATTTTCCTAGCTATTAATAATTTATTATTTGAATAATTTATAATTTTAAAATTAAGAATTTGCTTCCTGTCCCGTTTTGTGTTTTTCAAGTGCATGAATTTTAGAAATAAACAGACAGGTATTATTTGTCATTCACAATTTTCATTCATCCAGTCACAGCACCAAACTCAATCTCATCCTACAGTTTTTATAAGTTCTTTCAGAAGTTCTAATGAGGGCAAGAGAAACTAAACAGAGTAATGAAGGATATGTGTTAACTGAATTATTTAAATGAAGTCTTCTTTAGGATAATGCCACAATGTCTCTTCTGACTCTAGTTAATATTGGTTAGGTCCCTGTCCATCCTACTCTGTTTAGGTTTTGCACAAGTGCCTCTTGAGGAAAGCTCCAGTGACAAGAGGTTTTTTGAACAACAGATTTTTGAACAGCAAGAAATGGAAATTATATATTTTAAGATCTATACAGTCAGAGGCAGTAGTAATTTAAAAGGTAGATTTTTCTCTTTTATGAAGCAGACCTATAAGTAAAACTTGATCTAAGTAATTTCCTAATCTGAAGTGATTCTTTGAGGCATCAGAATGAAACAACATCCCCCATCCGAACTCTAAAAAAAAATGAACTAGCGGGAAAAAAAATACATTATTAAGAAACCAAAATTTTGAATTGCAATAGAGGAATTTTTTTCTTTTTTTAGGTTGTTGTTTTTTTTTCTTCAGAGCAACTGAATAGCCATGCGGGCGATTGCCTTTGCCTCCACTCCTTCTCTCCCACTGGAACAACCTTGAAAGGACCCAGTAAAAAATCCCATTTACTTACCACACCAAGATTACTTTTCACTTTGCCAGTACATGGTTTTATATTAAAAACACAGAACTTACCTTTGCACCTAATTCATTATATTGCAGCTTCAAAGCTGTAAGCCTTTCATCCAGTTCCTTTGGGTTCTCAGTCTGCTGCTTCTGAACAATCTGCCTCCCAGTTTTTATCACTGTTTCCACTTCAGACTTCACCTCACTCAGGTTTTTATATAATTTCTAATCAAAAAGAAATATTAAAGTGAAACACCACCATTAAAACAAGAAAAATAGAAAAGACCATTGGAAGTGTTCAGAATCCAAATTCAGAACAGTCCATCTTTACAAACAGTGACCTCAACCTCACTAAAGACTAATTAACTAAATTAATAACTAATTTTAGTGATAGAAATGTTATACATGAGAAAGTACACATCATTATTAATTGGTTTCGTCTGTGACAGATGTTGTTTTAAAACTTAGAGAATGCAGTATTAAAACAACCACAGGTATCTTCTGTCAACTCATACAGAATGCTGGATGTATTTGAACAACAAATACCCATTAGTTTTTAAAATCTGACATTTTTTCATACTGCTAAATCTAGAGACTGGAAGGATAGAGGATTACCCTACATTTATTAAGTGTCATACTCTAAAATATTTAGCTAATAAAAGTAACAAAATGTGTTGGACCTACAATTACTACTTTATTTACTTAGAGTAGTATATATGTAGTCTAATTCCTTTCTAGTTGCTTAATATGATAATAAATTCTTCATTCCTGAAAAGTGGCCAGCAAATTAGGAAGCTGTTGTATGATGCACATAAATTATCGAAATTCTGAATATATACTACAATTTGATTTTGAAAAACAGGAGGAACATTATGAGAATCCTATTAGTTAAAGATGCTCTAAAATCACTATAAGTTTTCCACAAAATACATCAGGGCTGCAAAGTCAGCTGCTGAGTGAAGACATATTAATTCAGTACAGGGCTTCTAACTACCACATCATTCTAATAAAAATTCCATTCTCACAAGAATATGAATTAAGGTGCAAATTTTTTCTTCTTTCATCTAAGAAAAATGAAAGATGTAAAGCAATAACATTGACTTGTCCCATGCTCATTTTTAAAATTTAAATTCTTTCTACATTTACATCTGAAGGAGGTTGGGAAGGGGAAACCTTCAGGCATGTCATTGCCCCAGTAAAAACAAGATCCACAGAAAAACCCCAACAAACAAACCAAACATAGCTGGAAAAAAAAAAAAAACAATCAAAGCCACAAAACCCCAACCCCCCCCCAAAAAAAAGAAAACCAAAAAAACCCCCCAAAACCCCCAGAAAACCTCCAAAAACCCCAAAAAAACCCAGCTACCTTTGCTGTTATAATCTTCTATTTATGATCATCATCAAGAATGAGGTGTTTAGCTTTATTTATTTAAGGGGAGCAGGATTATAGTGATATTAAAGCGATATGTACAGATTTTCCTCATATTCTTTAGGACATATTCAGGTCACCTTTTGCTCTTGAACTGAGAGAAAGCCACCTCATGGAAGTTTTAATGTATGGTTTTCCATTTCTCTTTGTGTTTCCTGGTTAAAATAGATTTGTGTTCCGTACCATCTCTTTTGGTTATGTAATAGAGTTCCTTGACTATGGAATGTTGCAGAAAATAGAGCCAATATGGGGAGATAAATTCAATTGCCGGACAAGAACTGGGAATTAGAAAGGGACCCTAACTGGCATTCTCATTCTTTCATAGTGAAAGTGCACATCTAGAGTTCTGAAGGGAAATTTTATTATTTTTCTGGATTTTTTGTTTGTTTGGGTTTTGGATTTTTTTTTTTTTTTTTTTTGTGTAACAGATACTTTGTTTCCTATCTTCATTAAGGACAGTAATCTCTAATTTTTAGCTTTCTCTGCATAGAGCCAGAAGAAAGACAGCATCCTGAATATTCACCATGCAATGATCCAGCTGTGATTGTACTACTTCCTGCTCAACACTCTTCATCTCCAGCTTGGGCACCTGCAATTTCACCTCATCTAGAATTCTTTTGCATTCTTGGAGGCGCTGTTCAAAGTTGGCTGGCTTCTGGAACAAGCGGAACTTCACGGACACATCCTGCAGCTTTTTCTGAAAAGAAAACATGAGCAAGAAGAAAGTGTGAAATCAAACCAAATCAATGCTGAAGACAAGTCAGCATTGTCACAGAATACTTGGAATACATTGTCAATCAGCAATTTCTTATTAAAAGAATATAAAACTTTTGGAGAAAATGCCAGTGGCAGAGAATCCTGGGTCTGCATTGGGGGATAAAAATTCTTCCATCATCCATGGTACTGAATGGAGCAGAGCCTGAGGTTAAAGAGCCTGTGTACACACATAAAGAAAGGGAGAAATTTTATATTTTTCAATATGTAAAATGTTCAGGGGTGTGGGGAGAAGTAAAATTTAATGATTTAAAGATAAGCCATCCACATGGGAGAGTGAATGCTCTTCAACTCTATCAGTTGCTGCTTCTTTGTATGAGGAAGGAAACTTTTGGTCCTTCAAAGAAACCTAAATAATGTGGCTTGGCAGTAAGTAGGTCTAGCACAAACTCCAAGATTTAGAGTATAAAATTGATTTATATTTCAATTAAAAAAAAGCCTAAGCTAGAATAAAAAGAATGCAATTTGAAAGCAGAAAAAAATCTGTGACTAGTTTGGTCTCTAATTTCACCATTTTCACAATTTTCTATCTTTGTGCACTAATTAGACTGCTTGCTCACATGATTCCCTAGCTTAGGGGAAGGGGAAATAATTAAAAATAAAGAAAAGGAATTTTAATTACCTACTTGAAAAATAAAAAAATTTCTCTATAGAAGTAAAGAGTGAAGTATTATTGAATAAGTTTTTCAACTCACTTGGGAACAAAAAAATAAAAGAACAAATGTCACTAAGAAATAGCTAAGTAATTAAATAGGAACTTGGCATTTGCAAACACATTCCCAATTTTTTTTATCTTCAAATCCTGGAAACTTAACTCCACTATAGTGTGTCCTGTGCCATACAGATTTGAGAAAAAAACTGTAACAAGGCTTAGAATCAATCTATACATTGGTAAAAAGCCTTCCCACATCTATCAGATTTCTGAAAATGAGGCAGAAATCATGAGCATAAGACAACCTGGAGTACCACAGAAAAGTGTGTAAATATCCAGCAGCTCCTCCCAACAACTTTCCTCTTTAAACACTTTTCAATAAATTCAGATCCAATGAGATAAGAAATCTTTCTGTCTACGAGTAAGTGGACAAATGAATAAAAGTAGTGAACAAGGGTAGGAATAAGCGGCCTTATTTTTGTTCAGTGTGTTTGCATACACTAAATTTGTATGTAATTTGTTTTTAACTCTCTCCAGTCTGAGGAAGGCCAAATCCTTTGAGAATCTTGCATTGCTACATCTGTACCAGTAACCATTTGTGTTGGTCAACACATTAAAATTTATTTAGAAAGAGAGAGAATTATAATATTAATAGTGGTGAAAACTAAAGCCATCTGTGAAGAGTCACTCAAGAACTGAAAAGTACTGAGGATCTGTATGGGGGAAAAGAACCTTGATATACAAGCAGGATCTAATTTATCTTTTAGCACTCTCACTTAAGTTCTCTCAGATAACCACAACAGCTATTTATATATTTATATTTATCACCAACAGTTTTAAAATAATATTATATCAATGCTTAAAAGCAGCAAAATAATCAAAGTTGGTATTTGAAACAATTTGGAACATAAAGAAACCAAAAATGTTTTGTACCTGTCACAGCATAAAAGTCATGTATAAAGACATTTTGTACCTGAAGAATGTGTTCATTTCTACTCACTTTGTTTCGAAAAGACATTTTTAAAATAGAAAATTTATAATTAATTACAGGAAAATGAAAGGCCTTTATCTGAAAGTCTCATTCTGCTTTAACATATTTGTCATTCTAGAAAAGAGACAATTGAGACAATTGCATTCAAAAAGTTGTCCAGAAAAACCGTTCAGTACTGAATTGCAAAAAATAACTGTTCATTAGAAAAGATTTTACATTCATGTGACAATTCTCAGCCTGTTAGGACTAACTAGGTGCTATACCACTATGGCAGAAATAGATTTTTATTTTCCTAGTCATACTTTTCCCCTTAAATTTAAAAATCAGAACTCAACTCTCAGCCAATAATAATCTAAAAAGCCAGGATAAATTTGGCTGCCATTAACAGTTGCTGCAAAATCTCAATGCATTCATTTATTTTCATAGTTTATGCCCGAGTAATTGAATAATAGAATAAATATGTCAAATTAAAAAGATTACTTAGTGAAAAAAAAGAGGAAATTATTTATAAGTGGGAATGATATTCAGAAAATAGTAAGTGAAGACTGATTTCCTGAAATGTGTTTTATCACTAAAGGTAGCATAATGATGGGAAGAGATTCAACAGAGTTCAGTGGCCTAAAATCAAATATAGTCATAAATATATGTACCAAAGGGCTCAGCTTCTACCTGCTTTGGTAGTTGATAGTAGTAAATTACTACTTTTTTGTTTATATTTTATCTAATGTTAGCAAAGCATTGTCTCAAGATGACCTCCACCAATTTTTCAAAACTCAGACTGGTGCACATAATCAACAAGAGAAATCTTACAAAGAAAAGAAAAATGTCTGCAGAGAGGTGGACTGATAAAAAAGGCACCCAGAAAGGGTTGTGCTTTCTTGCATGTTGTTGAATTCACAAACATTTATTTACACAGTCATCTGATGCCTGCCTTTCACTGATGAAATATGGGCAACTTCACAGCTGCCATGGAGACCATCAGAAGGTGAGTTAGTATGAAGAAAGGCTGAAAACTGAGGAAACATAAATATTCTCAACAAAGAAATCTATTCCTATATATAATATGAAACATTAAAAAAAATTAAATGTGTTAATTTCAAATAATTAACCACTAAAAAGCAATTAATGATACTCATAATATAAAATTAAAACCCAAATTGAGGTGCCTAGAAATACTTGACAGAGGTGGATCAAAAAATGGCAATAATTAAATTGCCCTTCTAACGAACTATGAAAATTTGTTTTGGCACCTACAAACAAAAGCCAACAAAACAACAAAAAGCAAACCAGTAAAATAATCAAGAACCTATTATTAATGGGTAAAAAAAATGGGTATTTCTCACTGTTGTTTATTCAGTCTTCTTAATTTTTAAGGTCTGTGTCTATTAAGCTAGGTGAAATAATGCATAATCTAACATTTTAAACTGATGTCTGAATTGAACAGCTTAGCATAATTTGTATTTCAAACGCAGCTCTACTAAAGATTTCCAAATATTTTAACCTATTTTTGACAGTAAATATTTTCCAATACCTCAAAGCTTACATCAAAAAAGCCCCACTGTAATTTTATCTGTTGAAACTTCAGCACATTCAAAGCACCCCCTATCACATGGTGTCCCTACCAGTTGGTTACATCAGTCCTGCACTCTTTAGAACTGCTGCCAATGATACAGGATGGGTGGAATAAAAAATGAGCAGGAAGAAGATATGGAAGGTATGCTTTACCCACTCTGATTTTCCTGGTTAGAAAGGAGCATCCAAAGCAGGAGAAATACCTTAAGAACACTTAAAGGTAGAGTAATAGTACCACTCATACTAATTTGAACAAGAGAAGGAAAAAATGGTAGAAATAAAATTTGCCCACCTGTGCCACATCAATTTGGGAAAGCACTCTTTTGGCTGCATCCTTACCGCGGTTTCGTTTCTTCATTTCTTCCAAACTAATCTCGTGGCTTGTTAACTCAGATTGTATTTTCTGTTGGAAAACAAAGACAGCAATCAGCAATCAGGTTTGAGGGAAAATTGCACACTATTCAAATTATTTGGACCAGTTGATTTTGAACCACGTTGGACAGCAGTTCCAGCCTCAGAGCCCTGCCAGCAGCACGAGGGAGGAGCCCCTGCCCCTCTGCTCAGTCCTGTGTCCAGCTCTGCCCTTCTCAGGGCACGAGAAACATGGAGCTCTTGGAGCAGCTCCAGCAGAGGGTGACAAGGGATGGTTAAGGGACTGAATGTGGAATTATTTTTTTCTGTAGGAAAACAACAGTTTTCATTGGTAAGAATAGTAAAAATTAATCATAGGGGAAAAAAAAGAAAAGTTATTTGCCTCAATATTCTTGATTCTTCTGATTTTCAAGTATCACCAGGCAAGTTGAGGGAAAACTGATCAAGTATCCTGCGAGTATAACATCACCTTCGTCTTAGAGAGCTGTGCTATATGTAAAACAGCACAGAATTTTTGGCATACTACTGACCAGAATCTATATCCAATATCAGTCTTGTGTAGCTAAAGGCACAACAACACACAGTTCATTATCACACAACTACTACTAATAATACTATATTATTGACTTCGTGTATTTTCTAACACATATTTCTTGCTATGTTTGTTTGCAAAATCAGAGTGTGATCCAAAAAAAAAAAAAAATCAGCTTTTCTTTGGTTCACCATTAATCAACCTCACAAGACAAAATTAACTTAACCAGCATTGGCTAGTGCAATGTAATGGAAAAGAAGTCCCAGAAAATATCTTCCTGATACTTCAGGAAGATTGACATAAAATTATGTTTAAATTGTTAGAAAATAAGAAATTCCTATTAGCAGAATTTCTAGACAGCACCACTGAAAAGAATTATCCTATGAAATAAGGACACAAAGCCATGTTCCCATCATGAGACGCATTTGAGGCCATTACTCCTGCATTAAAAAATGATTTTAATTTAATCTTTTTTTTTTAATGGCATATAGTATTTTTGAGCTGCCCTGAAGACCAGCTATAATTCAAAATATATGTACATAAACTTATCTTACACCACAGTAACTTTAATAGTAAAAATTAATATACGTGTATTTTTATTCACATTTTCATAGGTTATTAAGTACAAAGCTGGGTACACCATATGCTACTTACTTTATATGGCTATTACATTGTTATAATGACTTGTATGCCATTACAATCACTTATGCATTTCAACACTTAACTGAATGCAGGTTTTCACTAGTTATATTGAATATATCTTAAAGTAGATTTTGAGAGAAAAAGAAAGATGCATGAAAGAATTGTCTTTCCTAAGTTTAGTTGCAAGAATATATATATGACTCTAAATTACTCAGTACTATTTGGAGAATTAAAAAATTTTTCTAAAGCAAAGTATTTGTAAAAGCAAAATGACTAGCAGAAAGTCCCAAATTTAGATGATTTTTTTCTTCTAAAATTATCATAGCTATATATTTTTTATTTTTAATATTTTCAGTTCTCCTTGACAGGGCTATTTAATGAATGGCCAGAAACACCTGGAGTGAATAATATAACTTTTTAAAATATGATATTTAATTTTTGAGAAAACAAAAATGGTCTATTAAAAAATGATTCTATCAAGAAGAAGAGGAGTCTTATTTAATTGTTGAGCATTTATTTTGTCCTTGTCTAATTTTAAAATTTCCCCCTGAAGTGTGTCTGAATTGTAACAGGATTATCTTCCATTTTTGTGCCACACATCAACCAAACAGGTGATGATTTAGAAAGTATCTGAAGCCAAATAATTTTTTCATGCCTTGAATACTAGAACTGCATAAGAAAGGAAGAACCCACTCTGAATGCTAAAAAAAATACTATATAAAACCAAGCATTTCAACAGTTTGCTTCCCCACCTCATCAACGAACTTGTTTTTGGTTGCATTTTCCAATTGACTTTGTTCAACCTCAGAGTCACTCTGAAAAGCTCACAATTGAACAGTTCTTATCTGAATAAGTCAGAACAACACAGCACAGATAAGAGTAGTGTTTAAGCAATTAGGCATTGTGGGACATTGCATAGAGGTTGTTCTATCTTACTATTTTAAATTGATCTGCAGGAGAGAGATGAAGTGTCATCTTCTCTGACATCAAAATGTGGAATTGGAGAGAACAAACATATTAGAGGAAAGATTAAAAGAAAAGTTAGCAATGCTTATAGCAAGGAAAGCCTTTTTCTCCTTTTTAGTTTTTATTTGCTACTGCTGCTCGCAGGCAGAAAAATTAAATCAGTCATTAACAGATAGAAAAGAATTTATAACACTTGTCTGTGATTTCCATCATCATTCAATTTTTAAATGATCACTTTGACTTTTGTTTCTCTTCTGACTCACCAATTTATTGCATTAACTATGTAACATCCATAAGAAAACACTATTTTTTCTTGCATTATCCTTATCTCTTCTTTTTTCAGTGGTTCCTGTCTATTTATTTTCTATTATTTTAATATAGAGCAAAACTTGTCTTCATTTAATTTCTAGTACATCAGAATAGAATGTACTGTGTGTTACCAAGCAATACTACTGTGCATAAATTATTGTGTCTTATAGGTTAGGGATTCTTATTTGCCATAACTGGCAATCTTTCAGAGAATTTGCAAAACTTTTGTCCGTATATGTGTAAAAGCATATAACACACATAGAAGTTGATTTTACAGCACAAATGACATATAGATAATTCTTAACTCAAACTGTATGCTTTGTTATGGACACTAACTTTCAAGAAATATTAACTGGAGAGTCCAAATGAGAAAAGAAAGGTAGAATAGGGTAGAACCATGACTGACAAGGCAATACTGAGCAAGTTGGATATGACAAATGCAGTTAAAACAGAGTGTTCAGATACTATGGAGATGTGTAGAGGGTGAAAACCTACATAGTAGAGAAATCTGCATAGATATTCAAACTTAATATATTAACAAAATGTAAGCTTTTGAATAAAACTTGTCAGCTCTTTCCTCTGACCACTGATCCACACATGGCTGAACAAAACAATCCTCACAATTTCCAGCAGAGGAAAGGAAAGTGTAGATAATTTTAATGCTTTCCTAAGTAGACAACTGTGAGTTCTTTGTCCCAAAATATTAGTCTGAAGGCAGTGAAGCACAGCATCATCTTGTCAAGTGACATCTTGAACAACTGAACCATCCTGCCATTGTATCATCCCATTAACTTTAGTTTTGAACAAAGTACAAAGATATTATAAAAACAGTATAATAGGCACCTTTACTTAGAAAACAGTCAGGCATGTAGTACTTAACTCTACAGAACTGAAAATATCCAAGGATTTTATTGCAAAAGTAGATTATTTTTGTACTTTTCAAAAACATAATATTAATTTATTCTCCACACCACAATTTATATAGTTGACTGGGGAGAACAACATACAAAGTGATTTGTCACATGCAGGTGAGACATGAAATAAGTTGATTTTCTTTCCCATAATGTAAAAATATTCATGTAGTCACTCAGACTAGGCATAAATACAAAGTAAAAATTTTCTCTTCCATCAAGAGTCATTGAATAAGAAAGCTATAAATAATTATTTGAAAAATACTTTGTCATACAAATGGAATATTTTCAGTACAGATTTATTTTTCTCCTGTCAGTTAAAGAATACTTTAAAAAAAGCCACCAACTGCAAGTTCTTGTGATGATGACTTAATTCTCTGTATTATTTTGGTAAGATAAGAAGTATGAAAAGTTCTTCCACCAGGATCATGAGATCAAGCAAATAATCTTTCCTTTTGCAATACTGCTTGAGATTTTAACTTGCTCGAGATTTTGTCATAATTGGGCCTTGATTAACCTGAACTGATTTATCTGTGTGGTTGCTGTTAGGGTTTTTGGCTGAAAACATCATCTTCAGCTGTACTCCAAATAATTCAGGTAGCATTGGCTTTCTAGCATTAAAGTCTCAGTGCCACATGGTGGAGTAAGAAGCACACAGAATTTACATTGAAAAAGTGATCCTAAGAACAGCACACATTGGACTCCTCTTTCTTTCTGTCAAGTTTCTGAATAAACTAAACTGATCATTTCACTTAAAAAAGAGGAACTAAATATAATTTTTTTTCTCAGATTAATTTCTGATCAGCTGAAACAAAGATCATTCCTCCTACAAATGCTTTAAATGAATTTGAAATTTTTGAAGCAAACACACAGAGCTCCCAAGCTCAGCAGCATTCTGATTATAAATTTCCCCCACGTGTTCCTTTAGAAATGCAACACATTTTGCTGAATGGGTTGCTAAATCCCTCAGCATGGAAAAACTGATCCCTGCCCAGAAAGCAGCATCACTGACTGGAAGATTCCCATTCCAGCTGTGCAGACACTGTTGTAGGTTCCTTACATGAATTAACTGTTTCCAGCTCCACAAAAGAATGGAGCCAGCAGAGCTCCACAGGAGATGTGGCCATTCAGGATCTGCCTGTTCTGCCACTGGAACAGGAGGAATGGCTGTCTATCTACACATATAAAAATGATTGTTTATTCCCTTTCCCTCTAAGGATTTTAAAGAGATTCACAACTGAACTTCAGAGAACTTCAATATTTGCTTTAGACCCATTCAGTTGTTAATTAAGTTTTTTTTTTCATTAGGTCTCACTGGCACCATAAAATGAAAACATGAAAGGAAAAAACTCAGCAGTCTCTATGCTTGTTTTCCCACAGTGGATATAATACCATCAGGTGAACCTAATATTAAACAATAAAATCTCCAGAAAAATAAAAAGTTCTACAAAGACACTGAGCTGAAATCTTCTTATGAAAGTGTGCTAATTAAGGTTGATTGGGTTTTGTTTTGCTTCAGTTCTTGAAGTTCTGAATTACTTCCTTTTACCCAGTCTGTAGTAATTCCCAATATGGTACCTGACAATGCACATAAATCAGATGGATCCATAGAACATGTGAAACATGTAAGGGTCCAAACACACCAGAAAAAAAAAAAAACACATTTTCATTTATTTTTTTTCTTATGTATTCACTTCATATAATTAGAAGATGAGAAATTAAAGTGATACATCTTAAAAAATGCTATTTTTATCTCTTTTAAAAAATTGCTTACATAATTCATATTCCTAAGAAGAAGAAAAATAACTCAAGAGGATCAACAGATAGCTAAAATTGTTCAGGATTCAAACTGAAGCATTTTTTTTTCTAAATCTGAAATTATACTGATATAAATTAGAACAAAATGAAGTAGGATAAAAATTATTTTCAAAATAAGACTGAATCCAGATGTGATCCCATTTTCCAAATATAGCATTTATAGTCCCAACATACACAAAAAAATATCTCTAAGCACACACACACAAAAAGCAACTGAAAGGTACACCCATCTACATGTTAATTCAAAAGATATAGTAACATTTAAAAAAATATTTTCAGGGCTGCATATATTCAGCTCTGAATATATTTAAGACTATCTAAGGTACTCTATACAAGATTATTATTTTTTACAATTATTTAGAACTCTACAAGCATGCCAAGAAACCCATTATTGGATATCTCTTATATCATTATAAAAGCACTCTTTTTCAACTTCCTTGTAGCTTTTTTCCCTGTTTAATTTCATAATCTGACTGCCTAAATTTAGATGGAATTAACAGAGAAATTGAGGCATATAACACTGTAGAGTGTTGATAGTTTTATTGCAGAGATGTTTTGTTTTACTTCATTCATATTCTTACCCTCTTAATGCTGCAGTAAAGCAGACCTTACAGAAGAAAGAAAGAGCAAAAATTATAATTAGATGTACATTTTTTATTTCAAAAGCTAAATAAACCATGTGTAAAGATTAGGAAAAGCTTTTTCCACTGAACTTCCATGAGCTGTAAAAATTAAAATATAAGTACATTGATGTGCACATTATGAAATAATTTTCAATGTTGTCTATGTTTCAATAATTAATAAATCATTAATAATCAACTTTGCAAAAGAGTCATGTAAGAGTAGTGAGGATGATGAGTTTCCTTTTTCTAGGAAGGGAGCTGGATTTTAAAGAACCATGTTGTTTATCCTTGCCCTTTAAAATTACTGCATAGTCTTCCATGACATTTACAGTCCTTTACATCTTCTATAAAGAAGATCTTCTGATCATCTTCTGATATAAATCAGAAGGAAAATGTGACTTTTCTAGGAGAATAGCTTAAACTTCTCAAAGTAATCCCACACAAAATTTGCTTGCACTTTCACGCTGATCATGTTGCAAATCCTCTTTAATGAGAGGCCGAGGGACAACCAAACACTCTTTGGTTAATTAAGAAAACTAGTAAACATGTAAGCCAACCTGTGTCTAACTTACCAGTGCTTCCTGAGGGACCTGTGCTGCATCCACCCTGTCTGCAGTGTAGGCTGATAGCTGCTTGTCAATGGCAGTCAGAGACTCCTGGATCAGGCGCAGGGTTTTGTCAGTCTCCTGTGCAGACTGAATACTCTGCTCAAGACTTTTCTGTCTTCTCACGGCCTAGAAACAATGACAATGTTATCAGCATTCAAAGTAATAATGCATAAAATACATTTTTTTCCACACTTTTTTTTCCCAACAAAGTTCAGGCAAAGAATCAGACACAGTTCCTGACTTGTGCCCATCCACCTTTTTGTAGGATAAATTGCGCATCTTTCTGCCACACATTCAGTTTTCTCCTTAAGAAACAAACAACACTCAGATTGCACAGACAAGTACTAAAAAAGCAAAGGATCCCCAAATAAAACCAAAGTGTAAATTGAAGATTTCTATTCAGAGTGGAAGATGGCAAAGCTGCACAAGCAAACCATCCTGACAGTGCTGCCTTTCTTTCTGAGGCAGAGAGGTCCTCCTGATCTTGTTATATAATTCAAGAGACTTTGTTTACTGAGAATAGGGTTACTGTCATCACAATCCTATCCAAAGCAATCCACCTCAGTAAGTGAGAGGGATAAAGACTCTGTTGAGCTGGATTTCTCTTATATGAAGCATAAATAGCTGTTTGGAAGAGACAATGCCTACTTTCTTCCTCCCGTGGGAAAAAAAAAATTAGAAGTTGAATCTTGCTTCTGCTCCACCAGCAGTGCCACCACAGTTTTTTACACAATCCTTTTTTGGAGAAGGATGTTTTCCTTTCAAAGGAGCTCAGTTTATGGTTTAACAAATCAGGACAATAAATTCTCCATCCAAGTTGTCCTTACAAGACACATATATTAAACACTTCACATAAATGAGTCAACTTTAAATAGTATTTGCAACACTTTAATAAGGCATTTATTGGGTAACAAATAACCTGGCACATTCTTCCATCTGTCATTGTGTCTACCCACAGACACATATTTTATTTGGACCCCAGCTACTGCCTCACAGAGTTTCTGCCTTATACATAGCGCACAATAATTACCAAAAACTTCAAATACAGCACATTTTTTTCTGTGTACAAGTCCAGCCATATTGCTGCCCACAGAATAAGATGACTAACTTAATTTGACATGAATCAAAGGTGAAAGCAAGCACCCTTTAAATAATATTTCTAGATATCCTGCCATTTTTCAAGTCAAATCACACTTTTTCTTTCTGGTAAACCAGCTATACTTTAATTTGATTTCATACCCATTACAACACTCTTGCCTTGAACAAAAATATCTCTCAGCAATTCAGTGAGAATTTTTGATATATGTGCACCATCTTCACACAGCTCAGATTCTCACAGAGCTCTACCTACAACAAATGAAGAAGATGATTTCTTGTGAGCATTCTTGCTAGCTGTTTGACTTAGTTAAAGGATAGGAATCCAACCAGCATTTTCTATATTTGCTTTTGTAAGCTGCTTTGCGCTATTTCAAAACAACTGATCAGATAATCTTGTATCACTGCAAGTTCCAGGAACCTTCCCTGGAACTGAGCAGCTTTGCATACCAGACTCATGCCGTCAGTGTTGATGGGAGCACCTAAACCACCAAGGTATTATTACCCTAGTGCAGTATTAAGGTTTGCTACTTAAATGACTTTTACCTTCATCTGATTTGAGATTTTAACATAAAAACCTTCTCAGCCTGTTCAAAGCAGTGAGTTTAAAAACCACAGCTTCCATTTACCTTGGCACTACTTGCTGCTGATTTGTGAGGCTGGTCAGGACACAGACTCCCTACCAATCCATTTGCCTCACTATGGGGTGGATTTAAAGACACATTAGATCAGAAACAGGATAAGTTGCTTTCTGCACCTAATGGCTAAGGTCATCCTCCTGGAAGCATGGAAGAACCATGGAAGAACTTCCCTGCTTTTACTGGTCTCTGTGGTTCACTGTTGGACTAACACACTGCAGAATCCATTCCTCGTGAGGGCTGCAGCACCCTTATGTGCAGAGAAGCTCACCATTTAAAATATGACTCCTATAAAGTTCCATTCTTATGAGTTATCCAAATAAGTGTCTGCACTTTCTGGAGAATGCAAAATACTGGACACAAATTTGTTGTTATATCTAGCTGATGAACTAGTTTTGTACCAACACCTGAAGCTTTGTACCTCTGTTAAGTGCTGTCCCATGCCAACTACTCTCTAGAATTAGAGATTTTTTTAAAGTACAGATACATTTGCTGCCATCCGGAGAAGCAGAGTGCATTCGTGCAATGAAGTACCAGAATGCATGCAAATTCCCAAAGACCTAAAATACTATAAAGAATAAGTGGTGATTGAAAAATTGTCATCTTTGTGCTGATATCATCAGAAACTATGCATATTAAAATCCTGTTTTAGAGTACAACTGGAAAAAATAAATTATTCTCAAACTTATTTATAAAATAATATCAAATAAATCAAATATGATCAAATATTATTGAATATCAGATAAGCTTAAGAAAAAAATAAAACCAATCCTCACCTGAGTCTAACTGAATTTTCACACTTGCATTTCAAGCAATATAAAGTCATATAAATATATATTTATGCATGTGATGTGTTTATGTGCATACAACACACACATAAAGACAAAAAATTCCCTCTTATTGTCCTCAGAGGGAATTTGATTCCAGCCTGAGAACCTGTGGGATATTTTGCCTCTTCCAAATGAGCTGAAAGTACATCTTTTCCCAAAGCTGTGAATGGTTTAAGTGAATGAATGGATGATGTCAGACCAAGATATGAATGCAGCAGCTGAAGAGAGGAATTATTTTGGCAATGGGAGAAGAGACACAGCACAGCCGAATTTTGGGAAACAGTACCTTCAGAGTTGTGGTGATTTTCTCAGTAGGTGCTACTTACACTTTTTTTGTCTGTATTTGTCTTACTGGAAACTGACCCTGCCTTGCATGTTCATCTAAAGTCAAGCTCATACCTGACCTCATTGAATTCCCACAACAAATGGATTGAAAATCTGTACAGTGATCTTATAAAAGGCATGATGCACCACTACCCAACAGTTGATTCAAAGATCTAATCTTTTTCACTAAGTAGGTCCCTGGTACTACCACTGGCATTGCAGAATATAGAATAAATGCAATCAAAGGGAATGCCACAATACTGAGAAGCCGCCTTCTTCTCTTTCAGTAGAAAAGAGTTGTTGGTGGGCACAAGCATTAAAATGCTTCACAAAAAGGAGTCATCCTTCTACACACTTACATCTGTGGACCTGAGCTTCAATTTTATCCGTCCAATTCACATCTGTCTGTGGGCCTACTTTTTAAAGACATGTGAGAGTTCAGAGCTGAAATGTTGAATATTTATAATATAAAAATATTTTAATTTATGATGTTCTGGCTGGTTCAAATTGTTTACTTTTTTCCTGAAATGTTATGGGTTTTCTATTCCATTGTGGAAAAAGAAAATAGATAGCTTAACACTGTAGTTAAATGTGTCTGAGGACATAACAAGAAGTTCCAGCTTTGCTATCAGATCATAGTCAATAAAGCTGAAGGCTTTAGGCTCTAAAGAGAAGTGGCTGACAGTTAATTTCTAAATAGAAAATCTCAGGAAAATAAACAACAGTGTAATTATTTCTGAGCCAGCAAAATGTTGACAGCTGTCAAGGAAAACTAATTCAAAGAAGAAAAAAAATCCACTCTTAGGCACTATCAGAATAAAAGAGAAATGAAAAAAATTGAATTTTTTTTTTTTTTTATTTAAGTCTCTACAGGTTTTTTATAGATTTTTAGTGCCTTGATGATAAACACAGCACTTTTAATGATATGATGTCCTGCATAAACCAATTTACAATTTACCAAAGGTCAAAGGTAAGTGCAGGAAATAGCAACACTGCATATTATCTATGTTAAATGCAGAATTAATTGAAAGATCAGAGTTAATTCTTTCATGGAATTCTATAAGTAATATTTATAGATATTGCCACATTTTCCTTAAATAACACATTTCATCTATATAATGCACCAGTTACACCTGAAGTTACCAAAATGTCGGTTAGTTTTAAGGTTAATAACAAATAATGTTGAGGCAATACTCAGTAGTTGGACTGTTGAAGAATAACAGAGGAAAATATTTTGAAAATTAAAGTATATTTACTACAGGGTACATCTATCTAAAAAGCAGAAATAAATTCATTGATTATCTTATAAGTTACAGATCATGGAAAGGGGTCTATTAAGAAAGGCAGAAATGTTAGCTTATTGAGTGGGGTTTTTTGTCTCAGTTATACTCTCATGTTACTGAGAAATGTTGCCACAGGAAAAGTTTAAAAGTTAGGAAACTTTAAAATTCCTTCCTAACTGGTTTAAATTACTTTAAAATTTAGCCTGACTTGGTGATATAACGGTTGTGACTGAGATACATCACAACTTCTCTGTACCCTTTACATCAAACTCCAAACACGTTAATCTCCACTTAATCTCAGAGTGGATTAATGTTTGTGCTTAGACTTTAATTAGGAACACTGTTTTTTTTTTTTTTTACTTCAAAACATTATTATTGGACCCATGAATTTTTAACACCCTCCAAACTAGAACTAAATTTTCTGCAAGTTCTAGGAGCATTATCCAGTGTGCTTATTGAGTAAATGGCTACAAATATTTTACCTCCCAGTCATTAAGTGACATTCAGCTTTGATCAACTCAATTCCAAAACAGCAAACTCTACCAAAGACTTTTTTATCTCTTTATGTTATCACTACCAGCAGATAATGCCTCAGAACTTGTAAAAGCAGCCTTCTTAGCAGCCTTCAAAGCAATTATGTGGACATGGGGTATGAAATATTCTTTCTCCTCTGGAGAGGAGAGTAAAACAGAAATATTGTGTCAAATGATGAATGTGTGCTCTTTGAAAGAAACTAAAGATAGTCTTCAGGGGAGTCCTAAAATAAATTAAGAGACAGGACACAATAATATAATTGAGTCTAGTGTAAAGCCCATGTGAACAATAATGTTTTGTACAGTTTTTGCAAGAACAGTCTCAAGAATATCTGACTGACATTTCTGAAGCTTGCTGGACAGGATGTAAATTACTTTAAACATTGATAGTTGCCTGAATATTAGCTTCAAAGCCTTCAGTGTTTCTTAAATCCCATATACACATTTGTAAGTGAATCAGTCCTTGAAAAGTAAGGACATGGTATACCTTGCTATCAGTCAGCCCCAAATGTTCAAAAGCAAACTAAACACACTCACTCTTTATTAACTAAAGAAGATAAGGCACACAAACATGAAGCCATTATCTGCCTTTAAAAATGAATCTCCATCTCAGTAGCAAAGATGCATTGTCTTCAGCATCATTCATATAGAAGTAGGCTGGTTTAGTTGCTCTATTAGCAATGAATAAATATTTCACATATCAGTCTCTGCCCACATGAGCTTATTGTCTTGGTAATTACCGGCAAAATTATTCAAATACAAACAAGTAACATCACCACTTTAGGACTGTCAATTAGCCTGTCTGAAGAAGTGACCTTGAACATGAGCAGATTTGTGTTATGTGCCTGCAATATGTTTTTATGGAAGGAGAAAGCTGCTTGAATTTCAAGAGACTACAGAAACAGCACAGAAAATCCAGTATCAGGAACCTATGAAGAAAAAAGCATGTTTTTCCACTTCAGATTCAGATCTCACTATTAGTATTTAACTACTCAATATCTGATCAAGCTTTCAAAGAAGCTTTTAAAGAAGACTTCCATCCCAATTTTTTTTCTACTTTTGAAAGAAACTGGATAGCAGGGAATACATTTCTAATATATTTTGCCTATATACTCATCCAAATTATTTTCAGAATTTCACACAACATCTTCATTATGTTGACAACTTCATTATTTTGACAACTAAATCTCTGCACTTTATGAATTTTGATTTAATATCTATGAATGATGACTGAATAGTATTCAACTACCACTCAAAAAGACTCTTAAAAGTGTTGTTCTCACACCCTGGAAGCCTTCTGCATATTCCTAGTCTTCTAGTCAGTAAAAAAATAACAAATATCAAGAAGCAGAATTCCAGAGCGTGTAACTGCTTTCAAACAGAAGTGACATGATAAAAAAAATATAAGAGCTACAAAAAGAGAAGGTATACAGAAATTTATATTTACTTTTCAGATACTATCCAGGTACGCAGAATTATGTGAATGCCTGCACTCAGAATTATGTGAATGCCTGCCTCAGAAGTACCACCAGGCTCTTTCCCTCCCCATCCTTCAAGTTTATTCTCAGAACAGCCAAGGACCCTCTTATAATTTTTATTGCAGTGTTTTTACTTCCACTGTTTTCAAAAACAAGTATATTTCTAGCACCAGGAAAGAAACAATTTTTTTTTTTCATTTTCATGGTAGATAGTCATCCTTCTAATACAGCTTCCTTCCAAAAATCTGCACTTGTGCATCATTTCTATCATTGTTACTGAGTCATTTCTGACAGTATTTGTAGCTTATCTTCAAGCATGTTCTGGTTACAGTCATAAAGGGGGTGTCTACATCCTTTGCTAGGTCTTTCCCTAATAATTCTTTCTGATCTTCACCAAAGTACTGAGCTGATATTTGCCTCATATTTATAGCATATTGCTAGATTTGGCTCTCCTTGTGCTACACATTTCTATATTGAAATGTCTTTTTAACCCTTTCATTTATACAAATACATTTATTTGTTGTTTAATAAACGATTTATCTATAACAGATATTCCTCATAATTGGTTTTAAAATAATTTTCTCCTTGCTATGAGTTATGTCAGAGAAGACATCTTAAATATGCAATAAAGATTAAATCCACTTAGAAGGTCACTCCAATTTGAAAATTTTGGGGTTACCCATTTTACTGGTTTAGGCTAGGACTGAGGTAATTTTCTTCACAGCAGCCTGTATGGTTCAGTGGTTTGTATTGGTGGCCAAAACAGCATTGATAATGCAGGGATGTTCCAGCCATGGCTGAGCAGGGCTTCCAGAGCAGCCAGGTCTTTTCCTTCTCGCTGTGCCCCTTCCAAGGACCAGGCTGGACTTTGAAAGGACACAGCCAGGACAGCCGACCTGAGCACCACACAGGGCCGTGCTCAACAACAAAAAGAGTTGAGGAAAAGTGTTTCCAAAATTGTCATTGCATGGGGACTGGTTGAACATCAGTCTCCTGGAGGTAATTTCTTCTGCATCACTTGCTTTTACCCTTTTTTCTTTCACTTATAAAACCATCCTAATCTCAATCTATGAGTTTTCTCGCTTTTGCCTTTTCTATAATCACCACTAAAGTACCAGGAGATGTGGAGCCTTGTGGTGCTTTGCTGCCTGCTGGAGTTAGCCCACCACACCCATGAAACCATTTATAATGTAAAATTGTGTTTGTTTTGGAATGGTGACCTATGCAGGAACTGCACAACCAAAATAACTCCTTTAATTTTTAAATGGTGTTAGACTGTCCTGTACTTAGCAGGATGATCACTAAATATACCTCCTGCTGAAGTTCTTCCCACCGACTGTTGAACCTCTCAAGTTTCTCATTGATCAGTTCATCCATGATCCCACCATCTGTCAAAGTCTGAGCCAGTTCCCGAATCTGATTGCGATTATCTTCTGGATGTCTCATTAAACGTTCCAAAGACTAAAAAAAGTCAAAAAAAGAAGTTTATTTTCCTTTTTGTAAATAAGGTTCTAAAAAGCAATCCCAATTTGCCTTAAAAATATAAGAAAGAAATTTCACATTTCATATACAATAAAAGTAGAGAAAAAAAGATGAAATACTTATGTTTCATGCCTGGACAATTAATGTTCTGTACTACATCTTATGAAACACAAGGATTTTTCATAGCAATAAATTTAATGCTTAATTTTAAAGATGTGGGCTATGCCTAAGGAGTTCAATGAGAGTACTTGTACCTTAATATAAAAATCCTGCTTGAGTATTCAAATGGATGAAATTCAACAGCAAAAAGGGATTATCAATGCAGTATTTCGTATTTTGATGCACTACAAGCATTAATTTAATATCTACTAATTTTAAAGGCTCTGTGAATAAAAATTAAAGAATAATAAACAAAGTTATGATGAAAACTTGTCCTCATTGAAGCTTTCAACATTTTTTTACTGGCTGAAGTGAGGGTTGGTTTTTTAAAGAATGTTTATTTTAGCATTACCAAAACTGTATATGAAACCCAGCACAGGACATTTAATTATTGTTTGATTTAGGTGGATCTGAATTCAAATCCTCATTTTTTAACTCTAGTAAGAAATTTGGACTTTGAAATATTCAGCGCCTTGTTCATGTGTAATGTGAGTTCATAGTTTGTTTAGAATTATATGAAATTTACAATTTATCAACACATATGACTGAGTTATTATTTAAGTCAGCACTTACATCTAAAGATTCAGAAATCTCTTCTGCACCTCCCTGGACATTTTCAGTTGCTTTCAGTTTCAGTTCAATCTCATTCAACCATTTATTTTCCGCATCTAAATATGACAATAATTCGCGCCAACATGCCCATACCTCCTGATGAAGAAAGGGTTTATTTAGATTGAAAATTGCACAGAAATTTTTCACTCATTAAAATACTGAAAACATTCATGCCTCTTCCCCAAAGCAGCAGGGTTGATATCTGAAGCTAATGGGACTATATGATTTTATTTGCCAGAACCCTTCTGATCCAATATATAATATAAAGCAGAAGAAAACCATAATTTTGATTAAACAGAGCAAAACCACAGAAAACAACATGAAAAAGTGAACTCTTCTGCAAAACACAACTTGAATCTTCATTTTCATGCATCATCTACTTTATATGTTTTCTGTAAAGTTTTCTTATATAAATATAAAAGTGAGCAGAATTTTTAAAGACCCATGTTAGAAATTAATGTCTCTATTATAAAAATGCACTTAGATTCCCTATATATTCTATATTTTAACTGCTTAAATCACAGGTTCATAAAACACCAGCTTTTAAGAATTCAGACTAAAATCTCTATGGAAATTAATTCTAAACCACATTTAGTGTAATTTATAGACCTTTTAAGTGCTAGAGTACTAAACATAATGTTGTGCAATGTTCTTATTCTCCTGAAATTAAATTATTGTCTAATATTTTATTTATACAGTGCCTGAAGATACTTAAATAAGCAGATAAAAATGGCACTTTATACACAAACAAAACATTTAAAGGTTCCATAAATAATATTTTTTCTTTTTTTTTTTTTTTTTCTGTTAGTACAAGTTAAAAGAATGTTATTGAAACGCATTACACTCTTGGCAGATCAGGTTTCCCAGAGGGCCATTCATCTCACTGAACTTTGCTCACATCAAATGAAGGTTATAGAGGGATATTAACATGCACCAACACATCATCAATGATCAGGGTAAATGCAGATTACCAGTATAGACTACACACCTAATTTTCCACAGTGAAAATTAGACAAGATAAATTTTACTCTGGTGCATTATCGTCCTGTATGAGGTTAGCTCTTGCAAATTATTCACCACCAAAATTTAACTCTTGGAACATTAACGACAAAAAATGATACCTAATTCATCGTTACTACTGTATAATGTAAAAATAGTCCCATGGCAAGAATTTGTAATGGAGTTTCAAAATGGCAGAGTCAACTCAAAATGTATGGGAAATATTCAGTTTGCCAGCAGAGCATGTGCTGTTGCCATGCTGAGATAACACCACCTGACCAGCTCCAGGGCCACCCAGTCAAAACCCATGGAAGAGAGAAGCTAGAGGAGATGATGAAGAGAACATCACAGGGCTGCTACAAAGCCAGATTCCTGGCTTGATCTCAGAAGGGATAACAACCTTTAGCAGCCATTGGCGTCTCTGACTAAGAGCTGTGTGTCAGTTTTCTGCAATACAACTCTCCAGAAGATATGATCCTGAAATAACTTTGTGTGTAGCTCATAACACGGGGTCTTTGGTAGACGGCTCATGAAGCAAGGGTAGCCTTGGGCTACCCACAATTCTATAATACAGCTGTGCTCTCCACCTTACTTCTTGCAGTTAGAAGGGCTATAAATACAAGGCTGACAAGATATCAAACCTCCAACGTCTTCCACTTTCCATTCAGCCTGCTGCAGAGTTGCTGGTAGCTGGTAATGAGAACATCAAGCTCCTTTTTCAAAGCCTCGTGAGCTGCAGGTGGAGCCTTGGCTATAAAGTTATTCACAGAATCTGTAATAAGCTTCACTTTCACTTCTTTCTGCAGGGCTTCCTCCTTTGCTCTCTGGAAAAGAAAAAAAGAGGTTTTAGTCCTGATTTAAGAAGGGAAATTATTTCTAGTAAATATCAGAATTCTCTGACAGAATTCTAGATGCAGAAAAAGCCACAAAAAACACTACAACAAAACAAAATACAACAGGAGACATTCAATTCCCAGACTTTGTGAAATAATCTTGAATGCATCCAAAAAACTTTTGCTTCATTTTGTTGCCAATACACAATACAATTTAACATCTCACCACCATCTAGCATTCTGGAGCTCTCAGACTAATGGAACTTTTCAGTACTTTTTTCTTCCTCCCAGAAGTGCTCCAAGCACCGTTAGCATCATAACTTATGAACCACAAATGACCAAAAGAAAACCCAAAAAAACTGTTGTGTTACAAATAAATGTATCCAGATTTGATGGCAAGATCACAAGAATGGCCAAAAAAACCCAACAAAAGATACTTCTTGCCACTATCATTGTCTTGAATTTAAAAAGAAAGTCAGAAAATATTTTTTCTCTAGTGTATATCCCACACTTTTGCTCCTCTCTTCCTTATTATGTGGTCTCATGAAAAAGATTTTCATGCTCTGCACTGTTTCCTCTGAGTGCTTTCTGGTGTCTATGACTAGAATCATATCACAACTGGAAACAGTGATGTTATAAAAAGTGTCATCTGTGCCTACAGGCCTCCACAGGAATTTACAATGAGAACTCCCTGCCCAGAAAACATCAAATCAAAAGCATATTCCTGACAATATTTCTTTTCCCTCTCTGGGTCTGCAAGTCCATGAATCAGAATAATTGTGATCAGGTTGCCACTGCTAGAGGAAGCTTACAAGGTTGCTCTTGACTTTCCTCTTCTCTAGCTGTGGGAAGAAATGGGCTGTAGAATGAACACAGCATTCTGATCCAGATTTTCTCTTTTGTGACATCATGAGAAATTATCTGGTTATTTCCTAGGTCAAGGTGCCAAAGTCTGAACACTCCTGTACTTCATCTGGGTGCAGACTATCTACTAGGAATCTATAATGGTGATTGTACATAAAACTATGAACTTCATCTGTTTTAATATGCAGTGCAATGCATAAAATTGAGTTTTGCTATTTAGTTACTAAAAAAGAACTGTATCTTCAAAGCAGATATTTACTTTAGATATTTGTCTCATTTACAAATGAGTTGTTCCATAAATTTCCTTATATTATGTGTATTCTGAGTAGAAGCAAATTATTTGTGTCAGTAAATAAAGAGATCATCAGTTGCATGGTCTGACACTCTCAAATAATGGACAAAAACCATGGAAAATTAACAACTTGAAAACAAAGTGTTCAATAGGTTGTCAAAGCTATATATATGATGACAATCAAGTTATAACCTGGCTTCCTGAATAGCACAAGCCAAACAATTCACCTCTAATAAGAATTACGCCCACATCCAGTGGCTTAGCAAGAGTGTATTGAAGCATGTATCACAAATTTGTTGTTTTGTCCAAAGGTCATGTTCATTCCACATGAAGGAAACATTATTAATTGAGATCAAAACATGCTGTTTCTATATTTCTATATTAAGGACATAATATTTACACATAGCACACACCAAGATGCATCCTAACATCTCAATTTTTTTTCTGCTCATTCAAATGCAAAGAGAAGACATAAAACTGACTTCACTCTACTGCTGATAACACCCAAATTTTAGGAATTATTCCTTAATTAAAAGAACATTAAAGCTACATCCAAATCAATATCCAGTAAAGAAAAGAGGAAAAAAAAGCAATGCAGTGTTGAAGAATATCAAATATCTTCTAGCATATTCCAAATAGAAATTACTTCAAAACACCTAGATCTGAAAAGGTATTTTCCTAAAAACAGAGTAGACTTTCTTTATAATTAGAGCTTCAAAAAAAAGTTTGAACACAGCTCAATTAGTTTATCTTTTACCTTCAGTTCCTCAACAGCTTTCTGTAACTCCTCAGGTGTTTTATACTCAAAATCTCTTTCCAGATATTCTTCCTCAGCTTGTGTTATCCACTCGTGCATCTCTGACAAATCCTTTCTGAGACTCACAGTCTTATCCAAACCACCTTTTAATGCAGCCTTCTTAGCATAGGCCTTTAAGAAAGAAAAGATCACATAGTACTTGAAGAAAAGCTACTGTACAAACTTGAAATCATTTTAGCCTGAAAAGGATCAAATTAAATCCCACAATAATAAAATTGTTGTTATTAGACAGATGTTAGTAGTAATTAGGTAGATAATAATGACAAACAATCAAAAAAGTATTACATTTGTATGCATCCTTTTTTTAGCAAATCATGGCCCTGCAGAATGAGTGCTGTAATGATACTAGAACAAGAATCTATACCATATGCTGAGGTGATCAGAAAACAACTGTGGAAAAGAACATCTCCCAGGGATTAGCTTCTGTGAAATGTAGAAAGAATAACCACAGGAGATTTTGAAAGCACATTCAAGGATGAAACCAAAGGCTCTTGAGCTATAAAGTCAGATGGCCTTTAACTAGTTCAAATGCAACTCACTGGAGAATAAAGCAATATGCATATCTATCTTCTGTTTATTAAGTCATTTAAGAATGTCTCCAAAAGGTGAATACCCTAAAAATAAGTAAAGAAAAAAGTCCAATCTCCTAGTGGAAGGAACTATTTATCTAAAAGGGAGAAGTATTATTACCAAATCACCTGGCAATCACTAAATGGGGGTCATATAATTGAATTATCCAGCTCCTGCATAGAACTAGAAATAATTTCGATCACCTCCATTCCAAACCATTCTCTGATTCTATTAATTGTGCATCAACCTTGTCAAAATTGTCCCTGATTATGCATTTATCATCTTTCAATAGAATTAAGAAGTTTGCATCAAAAATAGTAAGTTGCACTGGTGCTATTTCTCAGAATTGGGCTTCCAGAGTTTATTACTCCAATATTCTGCTCTGTGGTGCTGTTTCAGTAAACTTTATTTTTAGTAATATCAGGAGAAATTTTCTTAGTATTTGGTCTCCATTTCTGACATTTGTTACTCATCCTCGAGGACAGGCTGTTAAACATAAATGCTGTTCTACATAAAAACAAAACAAACTAGAGCAACAAGCAGCAAGTATAAAAGCAGAATTGTATTTGGCTCTTTAAAATTGTCTCTTCCTCAGTCCCAGAACCAGAAAAGAAGGTAATCTTTTATCGCCTGAAAAGAGTATCTGAATTGCCAATGACAATTGCCAACTGTCAACTCTCACAGTCGTATTAATTGCACGTATATCAACCCAAGCTGACTTTTCCAAATCTTCTCAAGAAACCTCCACAAACCAAATTGATTTTTGTATTTACTATTCATGTATTTTAATAGCTATTGCTGAAGAAGTTGAGTTAGAAATGCCCACTGAGACAGAATAATTTGTGCCTTGTGTTTAATTAAATTATTACAGACAGATTTTCAGGGAAGTCAGAACAGAACAGTGAAAGACTACTATACTTGTAAGGTAATACTTCAAATTTCTGTGAAAGAAGTGCAAAGGTATCCAGCTTATCAATATCACAAAGAGAAAAAAAAAGGAATTAAATACTCCATGGTAGTGAAAGGGGAAAGACTGCAAAACTGGATCAATAAAATGTCTTACAGATTTCAAAGATCAATTTTTTTTATGTTTATCAAAAAATATAGAGAGGCTATTTTTCACATGTAAAGTGAATAAAAAAAATTTAAGAAAATATTATACCTCATTAAAAGGTAACACTTTTACTTTTATGAAAATATACATCAAAAAGGTACACAACAGAAAAGGGCAAGTAGGAAAAATTTAAAGGTAATATAACATGAAAAAAAATTTTATTTGAACTGCCATAAAGAATGGGAATCCAAATGCCATCAGTGAAATAAGAGTAATTTCTAGCTTCCTTACTCTGTAAAATTATTTATTAATAATGTCTTTAACTAAAATAAAAGAACTGTCCTTTCCTGTTATGTCTCATTCTTTCAAATCTGTGTGACTACTGGAGACTAATTTATACACATGCATATGTGCACGTACTCTTAATTCTGAGTTATTCAATTATGAACCCTTCACTGCTTTAATGTCTTTTTTCATCAAGAGTAATGACATGCAATTTGAACAATGTACAAGAAAACATAAAACTAACTACAGAACTTGATTGTTTTGGCAAATACCTAAACAACATCTTCATAATTTTAGTTTACTAGAAGCCATAAATCATACTGCTGTTAGACCTAATATATTAGTATGTATCTTTGTTGTAAAAATAGGAAGGTATTGTGTTATAAATAAATATACTTTACATATACTGCTACAGGCTAAATTACACTCTGTAAAATATTAGTTGAATTAACACTTCTAAATTCTGTTTCATTTGCAAATGTATAGAAGGACAAATTCTGCCAATGAAAACCCTGATAATTAATTTTAAAAGAACCAGTCACAGCAGGAGATTTACCTGTTGGCAAATGTGGTCCCACTGAGCATTGAGATCCTTTAGCTCTGCCTCTATTCTGGAAGCAAATTCTGCCTCTGCTTCACTCTTCATTTTCTTCCCAGTTTCATTAACACTGTTCAAACTGGGCTGGATTGTCTGGATATCATTTACTAAAGCCTAAATGAAGAGCAGAAGTTTAGGCAAGCAGAATTCACACAAAGTTTCAGATATGATATCCCTATGAAAATGTGTCTGCATGAGATTCTGACTTGTCTGAGGTCCAGATCTCCAGTAAAATGAGGACAATCAACAGACTTATTTATGAGAAGAAATTAAAAAGGAATGAGCAGCTGTAATGTCACAAGCTGTTGTTTACCAAATAAAATAATTTTTAAGTGTTATGTATGCACTATAAATACATACATATATAATGTGTACATATCTCTTAAAATGCTTCCTTGCTGTTGATTGAAGACATGAGAAATACCTAGATCTTTTATGCACATTTCTGAAAGAACATTCCATTATAATGGTGAAAAATAACGATAATTCTTATTTAAATAATGGCTAAGAGAAAATATGAGAGAACTTGCAGTTCTATAAGATCACTCTGAATGCAGTATTTCATAGTATTTTCACATCCTGCCGGAACATCTACAGAACTTGTAAATTCCACTGAGCATATAGACAGGGGCCATCACAGATTACAAGATTCACTGCACTTACACACTCTGCTGGGACAGGAAGAATTTGTAAACCCTGTGATGGAAGTACCAGTACTTCATGATGCTTTAAAACTCTGCTGGGATACCATCCTGGAACTTGTAAATTTAGTGAAAAAAGAATGGATATAACTCACAATACCTGCAAGTTCTTTATGTGCAATCAGAAAAGATGGTAAATTAGATGAGTAACAGATACAGAAAAAAGATCTTTTGGCACAGATTATACAGATTTAAAAAAAATAAATGCAATGCTCAAAACTCAACAAAGTCAATTAACAGTTGACTTTAGAGGCTAGCTATATATATTATTTTCTGTATTTGTTGGTGTGATGCTACTATAAATACATTTTAAAAAAATCACTTCAATACCAGCCTCCTTCTGGTATTAAAATTTCCTTGTTATAACTGAATTTTTCTTCAAACCCAGGACATGAGAAAGGTTTGAATACATTGCAGAAGGCAATTCCCTTTCTACATGAATTTATTTTTAGGAACAGTAATAATTTGTGTAACTTTTGTATGAACTGAGCTCATAAAGAAGAGTTGAATAACTGCCAAGCAGGCAGGTAATACTCACTGTACATTGCTCAAGTTGCTTTTCCAGTGCTTCTGAGTCTCCAAGGGCAGGCCACTCTTCCTTCAGAAAAACATCCACTTCAGCCATCCACTTCTTCAGTGTTCTAGTGTCATTCTGTGCATTAAAAAGACATTTCATTGCATCACACAAAACCTGACTGGCAAGAGTGTAATTCAACCTGACACTACAACTAAAACTCATTGGAATGTAATTTCTACATTATTGAACTGTCTGAAAATACAAACATAGCAAACAAGTAAAACCAATTTTACCTGGGTATGTCATCAACACTTGAACCTGTACTTTGACCATTTCTGACCAAGTTTGATGTGTCTATGAGCAGACAACCTTTTGGCTCTCAAATTTGTACCTTCCAGATATCATTTGTGTTTAGATACTGCATGCTTGTTCATTGTTTCCCTCTATGGCTTCAGATTACTCATACTTGGCATTTAATTTGGGCTCACCCATCAAATGTTCTGTGCTTTCATTTAAACTCCAGATTCCTTTTGGAAGTTATATGCTCCAGTGACTATATTTCTAACAGAACACAGCACAGAAAAACACTCTTACTATTCAGAATGAAAAAAGCCAATGTAACTGAAAGAGATTCACTCCAGAAACTGAAATCATATAATGAGTTAATGAGTCATTTTGGTCTCTCAGTTACTGTTTCTAGCACTAGAACAGGATATATTACTTCCATAGCCTTCATTTAACTCTTGCAGTTAACAAACAAATCTTAACATCTAATACTTGAAAAGAGGGACTGCTACCGGTCCAGGCAACACTACATAGGTAATCCAATAACTTGAAAAGTAGAATGCGATTTACAAAATGCCACTTAAAATTACCTTGAAATGCCAACTTTGATAATTGGATGTACATATTAAAATAAAACACATATATGGCAAAAACTTCAGATGTAAATTATAAAGCATTTTTTCGTCAAACTATTTTCATCACAAATTAAATACATGTCGATATTACATGCTGAATGCAAAGCTGAATTAAAGCACAAAAAGGGATGCTAGAATAGAGATCGTGTCCTAAAAAGTATAAAAATATGCCTTAGTAACTATTATGAGACAAGTACCCAAAGGGAACATTTCCTTAATGTGAATGATATCCTTAAAAAACCCCCAGGCTAGCCTGGAAAATGAACTGAATTAATAAAATTAATCATACAAAAATTATCAGTATACTCCAGAATGGCAATTACCAAAACACTGTTGAAATATTTGCTGTGCATTCTATTATCCAACAGTAAAAATAGTTCAGAATCATATTTCATGATGAAACTTTAATACCTTTACAAGAATACTTTTCGTTCATTAATGTGGTAAAATATTTATCTGGTGGGATTTTCTTAAAAAGAGATTAGTCTCCTGCTACCAATGAAGATCAAATGTATGACTCACATTTTTAATCAGATTGTAAATGCATTTTGTTTATGAACACTAATTTCATCATATCCTATACTGAAGCATTCCACAAATTACAGCAGCTTAAACAATCATCTGGATGAGAAGTCATTCAAGAAGCTCAAAAGACAATAACTTTTATATTAGATGTGTACCAGAGGGCTTTCAGCAATAAATACAGGGAGCAAAATTTGTGTGCATCAACAGCTCAAGCTGCTTTGAATGTTTTACATGAGCATGGTCATGATGTTCAGGACCTTTTAATACCAGGGGAAAAGCTCTAAATTTGGTGGTGAGAGTGAAGATGGGAGGCAGAGGGGAAGAAAAAGACAAAAGCTTGAATTTCTTAAGCAAGTGTTCTGCTTTTTTGATGTGGCATTGTTTTCGGAGTGGGGTGGCATCTGTGAGGAGAGGACAGGTGCTGTTCTGTGCTGAACACAGACAGTTCCAGCTTCCCTCTGTGGAACCCGCATAGGTCATGGCTGATGCAGTGGTCAGCTAGAGATGCTCAGGGGCAATGTCGTTCAGAAAGGACAAAAATGTCAGACAGAGGACGAGAGGGAAAAAGTGAGAAACAGCCCTGCAAAATGTGAGAAGCAGCTTTACAGACACCCAGGTGAGGTTCTAATGCTGCCCTTCTAAATACCTGAAAAACACTTCTGCTTTCTGGAAAGCTGACAAGATACCACTATATTACAGGTGACTTTAATTATGTGAGTGAATTCATTAAAGTCAATATGGTACAGCTACTTCAGATGCATGAATAAGTGCTTCAGCTACATTGAAAAAGAAGTAGAGGATCATTATTTCCAATTTTTAATTAAATTAGAGTTTTTTGCTAATGAAACAACATAATAAGGAACAACCACAAAATCAGAATTCAAAGTCAAATCTGTACTCATCAGAATCGAGCAGACATTTAAACACATTTTTTGACATGTTTTGATATCTCACTTTGGTGTTACTTCCCACAAGCACCTAAATGTGCTCTGCCTTAGTCCCACAGCAACAAGCCACCAGGCATTAGCAGAGGCAGAAAAAGTGTGATGAACCTGGAATCTCTGGAGTTTGGTCATGCGGTCCTCCAGCTTCTGGCACTGCTCCGCCAGCTGTGCCGAGAGCTTCTTCCAGCGGCCCAGCACCACCTCCAGCTCGGAGCGGTAACTCCGGCCGACCTCCGCAGGGCCTTTCCTGGACAGCTCCTCCACAGTCGTGCTGAGATAGGTCAGCCCTTTCTGCTGCTCTTGCAGAGAACTTTGAAGAGCCTGTGAAAAAGAAGCAAGTGGAATTCACGTGCCAGGCAATTCCCTTCATTTTACAAACACAGGTGACACATAGAGGTCTCCTTTGCTAAAACATGCAATGGCATAACTTACTGAGCAATTTGGAATTGTTTTTCTCATACAAATTAGGAGGGTTTTTTTAGTTGAACTGAGAATATAACCAGAAGTATTTATGCTTGTTAATAGATGTGATCTATGTACATTTCATTAATTTGAGATAGGAATTTGCTATGGCCCTGTCATAGACATCTTTTATGGAAAATCCTTTCCTTAGGATTTTTCCTCCTGAGAAGCTGAGAGTCCTGAGGAACAAAATGTAAACAATGGTTATCTGCCTGCTCTGGAATGCAACAGGTGCATCTGTGATTGGCTCATGTTGGTTGTTTGTAATTAACGGCCAATCACAGTCAGCTGACTTGGACTCTCTGTCCGAGACAGAGCATTTGTTATAATTTCTTTTCTCTTCTTCACTAGCCTTCTGAGGAAATCCTTTCTTCTATTCTTTTAGTATAGTTTTAATGTAAAATATATCATAAAATAATAAGCTTTCTGAAACATGGAGTCAGATCCTCGTCTCTTCCCTCAACCTGAGACCCCTGTGAACATCGTCACATGGCCCTGATAATGACACTTTCAAAAGAACCAGAACATGGAGAAAAAAAATAAACTTAGATAACTGAATCTGTGATACAACATTTTATAACACCTCAAAACTTTTATAATTCTCAGTCCAAATTTACTTCATCTAGTTTTTTTTTTCTATATTCTACGTTTTATTTCTGAATATGCATCAAACAATATGTTCATTAGCCATCCGAGACTACAAACTGTCAGACATTGAGATATAGGGAAGGTTTGTAGCCACTGGCAAAAATTTGTCTACTTGTAAATTTGACAGGAAACCTGTCAAAAGACGTGCTGCATTTTGCAAATCAGAATCATTTTCATGTCAGCACTGGAAAATGAAATTACCTAAATCTATGTTTAACTACCAGAACTATCATCAAAGGATAGTTTTCCTTAACATTTTAAATATATTATAAAATTACTTTCAATGGTGAACACCATTTTAAACTCCTTAACTTCAGGAATCAATATAAGCGAGAAATTAACCACCATATCCTGAAGCCCTGGCCTAAAACCAAAATGAGCATTAATTACTCAAGATCCACAGGCTTCAGCAGATTTATGTACCAAAGTAGAGTTCTATTCTTCTAAATTTCTCATTTGAGACATTTTTGCTCACAGCTTGATCACTCACCTTGAACTCCCTGAGTCTCTGCTCCATGGTTTCATATTCAGCAATTGCAACCTGAGGCATGGAGAGTTTAGTTTCTGACTGCTGCATCCACATAAGTATAGTGTTCATTGTCTCCTTGTAGTGTGCAGGAGGCAAACTGTCAGAAACTACATTCAATGGGGAAAAAAAAAAGAGGGAAGGAAATAAAAGAAGGAAGAAGGAAATAAAACAATTTTTCGCTTCACTATTCGGTTTGCTGACAGAAGATGCTTGATAAAAGAAAAAGCCTTATTGAATTCTACAGCTGTTTTGCAAGACATTGCAACAGGCCCAGAGTTTATCAGAACTATAAAAAATAATTTTGGAAGCAAAATTGTTTTGAAAAACGAACACACTCCTTCTAATGTTTGAGATATCTCTACCATTTTATGAGTTTTGTGCCATTTGACTCCGTTATTATAGGTCAAAAGACAATTTATATGGCCAACACAACTATTTTAAATGTGTTGTTCAGAGATCAACAGATAAATCATTGTACTTAACCTACAATCTAATTTCAGAAATGTATTAAGAACTAAGTTTATGTGTTCAATGTTTCTGTACAAGCTAAATGTTCCATTTAAGACATCTGTTAAAAGCTTAGAAAATTAATCTTCCTTCTACAATAAAGTTGAATTTTATTGAACTGTGCTTATTGTGTCAATATTACAGCTACTGCAAATAGACAACATCTGGCACACACATAAGCAACTCATTAGCAGATAGATTCCCTCTCTCATCAACAACAGTTGCCTCTATGCTCACTGAAAAATGTGTAGACAAATAGCACAGCTGGTTGGAACTGAAACATTTCCAACTTGTTCATAATAATGAAGAATATAAAAGCTAAAAAAAAGTTGCACCCATTGTATTTCCTGTATCCTCCACAGTGTTCTCTGGTTTTTCACAAAGAAATGTACAGAAAAATAATAAAGCTGTCCAAAAAGTAGTTTTGACAAACAATCCAGTTAAAATTTTTAAGTGCAAGCTTGCTTACATCGTACAGCAGTGCTTGGCAGAATGTACCTCAGATTTTAATCTAATTTTTTAGTTGATCAACAGAATGCTACATGAAAAAAATAATTATATTTACAATCAGATATCATAGCAACTTCTCAAAATCAGAACAATCTCTCTTGCTAAGAATGCACATTGTATGGCAAACTTTCCTCATAAATGAATTGCCTGATGTGATTTATTAAATCTGGGGATTTACAAAAGATTTAACTTGGCAACAGGAAAGACAAGAAATTCTTCCCTTTTGAGGTATTTGTGATTCACAGAAATCAATAGTAAATTCTTGGAAATACAAACCCAAACATTTTCCATCTTACCCAGTAACATTTTAAACATTTTCTTTCCTTAGTGAAATTTGTATTGTCTTCGACGCATTTTATCCAAACAGCTTCTACTTTACAATTGAACATACATTTAAAGTCTTCACTCCAAAAAAATGGAGATATAATTTGAGTAGGTCAGATATGTTAAAGAATTATACAACTCTTAACTGTAGTTTTATTTAGAAATATGAAATGGATTTTGGTGTTGTGATGTAGTGTTTGACTTCTCTTAGTAATTTTTCCCTTTAAATGAAAAACAAATCTTATGATTAATGTATAACTTCAAGCATTTAAGTAAAAGAATAGCTGTTTTGGTAGTACTGAAGAGTACCTCAGAACAGATGAAAACTGCTATAGCAAACTCCACCAAATTGCATCAAATTCTAATCCTGTAACTTTGACAATAATAATAAAAATTTTAAAACCATCCAAACATTGCAAAACATTTCAATCATTACTCAATTGTAATGAGTTATGTTTCCTACTATTGGATAGACTAAATAAGAGTTCAATGGGATGACAAACATTGATTTAATCAAACTAGTGTCTTTACAATTTAGTTATTAAATATAAATTTGAAAAAACATTGTTAAATTGAGTGTAACCATAGTTTTCCCATTTCACTTTTCCAGATTACTACAGATTAGCAATAATAAAATACTTTTTGATTCTTTAAAATAGACAACGTGTGAGCATTTTCATCCACAAGGAAGCAGATTAACTTTTAGGATAGCACTTAAGAGCCTTTATTATTTTAGCAGCACATGAAGGAAATGGTAAAAATTTAGTCAAGCTCCCACAGTGGGATTCACATGACCCAGTAATAACTGTCTAAATAATCTAACTCATTTATGATCTCCCTGTGGGCAATATGAATCTCTAAAATCCCCATAGTAATAATATAAACCCACATTCAAGACTTGTTTAGATTTATCTTAAAATTTGCTTTGTGATAATAATATTTATGGACTAAAGTCCACACAATAAGCAAATCTCATTAATATGGATTCAGCTGTATGATCTAAAAAAAAAAAAAAATATTGGCAATGAGAAAGATCTAGGATGTCCTCAATATAGGCCTAGTTTAGATATAGCAAAACTAGGTCCATGGCAAAACTGTAACAAAATATCACCGACAGAAATCACAAAAGAGTTATTGTGAAATATCAGAATACACTTCCCATCCCAGAGGGGAAAAATGTGTTTGAATTAATCTATTCCACTTGTAGGGAATGCATTTTGGTGTCACTGACATTGTAAGCCCTGAGAACTGACAGGCAAATGCATTTGCACTTGCATATTTCTTTTAGAGAAAGTCCATACATGTGGAAACAAAATGCTCAAATAGCTAGCTAGGATTTGTTTCTAGTAAACAGGACTATCTAAATATGAAAAAATAGCTTTACACGTAAGTAAAATACTTTGTTTTTCCTCATTGCTCCCTTGGTTTTTGTGACCAGATTTTTCACTCAAAAATATTTTCCGAAGTCAGAAATGTAATGAGAATACAATTATCTCAACACTGATCAAATCACCCTGGATAGGGTGAAATGTGTTTCTCCTGCAGTCATTACAAATCCTACTGTTCATCACACCATCATGAAAGACAATAAATATAATCTATGGGGCCATTTTAGTAAAGACTTATTCCCTGAAATAAATTAAGAAGATTGAACTTCATGTATTTCCAATAAAAATCTCTTCAGTAGTAAAACCAGGCTGATGTTTTCACAACTTTATTTTAATTATTTTGTAATACAAATACTTGAACCAATTCATCAATAGGTCTTTATTAATAAAAGCTGTGATTTCCTTCTCTCACATTTTTAACCAGAAAGCCTCATAAGGAATCTCGTGTAATACTTGATCAATGCTATGCAAGTGATTTAAGACTTCCAATTCTCTTTGTTACAAAGCTCATGAAAGAAACAGAAGGGAACAATAGAATCACAAAGTGGTTTGGGTTGGAAGGAGCCTTGAAGATCATCCAGCTCCAAGCCCCATCATGGGCAGGGACACCTTCCACTAGATGAGGCTGCTCAAGCCCCATCCAACTGGCTTTGAACACTTCCACGGAAGCCCTTCTCCCATTCTACAGGACCTTTTGTAACAGTAAATGTATTTTAAAGACACAATTCTTTTTTAGGTGGGCTTGTTTTTCATCCATAAAAATATTCATTTTTACCACTGAAGAAAAGGACAAAATCACCTACAGAGTAGAGGACATTATCTCATACACATTCATTTCACAGGCTGCTTTGTCCTTTTGATCTTGATTTACATAAAAAATAATTACCAGAGGAAACGGATGGGGGGAAAAAAAAGAAAAGAAATTGCTTGCACGCTACTTATTAAAACAATAAATTCTCACACACATCTGAACTGCATCTTCAGCTTAAAAGACACATTTAAAGAAGGTTAAGCAAACTTTATCCCTCAAAATCAAAGACCAATGAATATTTTTACCACTAAATCATAGTTCAGGTCTTAAAGAAAACTTTTAGTTATGAAGTTTTCAAGATATTTGCCTAAATTTTTCCTTCCTCAAGTATAGAACGATTTGTGAAAGATTATTTTATGTATCATTATAATTTCACTGTCACTTATAACCCATTTCCAATGCACTTAAAGCATCAAAATAAGTTAGCAGTTCAAAGTTTTAACCAAAACAGAATAATTACAAACAAAGTCTAAATGGTCATTATACTGTTACAGTTACTGTAGTTTATTATCTTATAAAATTCTGCCAAGTTTGAATTGCATGAGCAGTATGTAATTCAACACTATAAAATATTGTATTTATGGATTAGAGAGAATAATAATGTGCATGTGAAATAATTTTAAACATGGCATGGGTAAATAAAAAGTCTAAAGAATATTTATATGATGCAGAAGGCAAAAGCTTTCTAAAGTACTTCCTGAAATAAACAGGAGAAACATAATTTGAATGCAGATGAATAATTTATCATTAATAATAACAACAGCAATGATGACAATGATGACTTCACCTTTGGGAATTACTGATTCTGCAAAGGTAGAATCAGAACTTGAAAGAAAAGCACAGTGCATAAATTCATGAAGCAGACAAAAATGGAAATATATATGACTTTTTCTTTGCCAACTCCACCTTGATACTTTTAATTTTACCTACGACAAAAGTCTTTTTTTAAGTTACTTGCTAAAAATCCAATTTCCCTCAGCAGAACATGCATCTCAGTGAGAACATGTATCTCCATCAAGGCCACGACTGGGTAGCAGCTCAATGCAGTGAGGCTGAGAAGCAGAAGCACCCTAATGGAATTCAGTTAAGCCTCAGAAGTAGAGGAGTGCTGGAATGAATCAGCTGCCACCCAGGAGGGAGTTTGAACCAGGGAATATTCACTTACCTGACACTGACTGCCAGCTCTCCCTGGGCTCAGGGGGAATGGGAGGCTGACCATGCTGCTCCCTAGAAATCTCTCTGATGCAGCAGCAGTTAATTTCAAGACAAGTAAATATAAAGTACAAAACCTCCTTTTTCACCAGGGCATTACAAAATCTAAGAACTTCCTTGGGAAATCAGGTTATTCATACCAGAATCATTGCCAGCACTGTCTGTTTCATTCCCTTGTGTAGATTACTGATCAGTTTTAAGCTCAGTCTGACCTTTAATTTTTCTATATAGCAATATTCTCTAAATGTGTTTGGGGAGAAGAGAGAGCTGGATTGCTGCATACATCATATTCAACATCAGATATGGACATACAGACATTCTGTAAAGTGCAAAAAATGGGGTTGTAGTTCTTAATATTTTATGAGATTGTTTCTCTTTCCTAACCAGCACCACAAAATAATGAAAAAAAACCTAATCAAATAGGTTTCAGAATTTAAATTAGGTTTTATAACTGGAAATGCTAATCAAGTCATGGAGAAAAACATGTAAGAAAATCTTAGTTAGTCTTTAGTATTACTTTATTGACAAATCTGCAGCAGAGAGAAACTACTAAGCACTCCTGAATGATTTTTTAAAAAAAAACTCCAAAACTAAGCTGCCACCACTTTCAAAAACCACAATCAAAACCTAACCAAACAAAAAATATTTGAGGGTGACAGTTTCCAAAATTAGAGAAAACTGTCTATGACGGAAAATTTCTCTTGAAAAACAGAACAGCTAAATACCCTTATTCATCAGAAAAGATAAAGAATCAATGGAAGATTGACAAAAAAATAAAAAAACCACCAAAAACAAAACCAGTCCGAAATAAACAAACCTTTTATGACAGTCAAAAAATATATCTTTTCAACTTAAAAATCAACCTTAACCATGAACCAAAAAAGAAAAATCGTTTTAAACACATGTAGGTTTTATTCATAGGAAAAAAAAAGGATAAAATATTATAACTGATCTGCAATACATCATTCAGTCCTCATGAGACTTTTCCATCTGTAGGAAATAATTAATTACAAATAATTTATGTAAATAAAAGATGGAAGCTCTACAGTACTCTAACAAAATTTCGATATTTTCTATTAAAGTAAGGCTAGAATAAAGACACAGGATATGGCCCATCTGCACAAAACAAGAGAAGCAGCAAAAACTGTCCAGAGCTCCATGCAATATTGATTAAATACTTCTGTTCTCCTGCACTACAGGAGACTCTCCCCAGCCTGGTCAGTGCTTCCAGCTCAGGACAGCTGTTCCTGCAGCTGGCCAGGGCACTGGAGGAGCAGATTGCAGCCCAGGCTGGGGAAGGAATTCCCAGGAAGAACTTCACTAAAGCCCATGGCATTACAGGTCAGGCACTGAACAGTATTTACCTTACTGAACCAATCAACTGGTTAATTCATGGCCTCTCACCACAGTAAAATTTGGTGTGGCAAACCAAACAACTATGGAAGTTTAGACAGGAGGAGAAATCATAAAGAAGCCAGCATTCATGCTATGTTTCTGTTGGAAGAATGGCAACTGATTTCAGCATATAAAATGTTTTTTACATCTTGCCTGTTTTTCATCCAGAATTTAGAGTAATGAAGAAACTTTATACTCCTTAAATGTTAAATTTCTACAATTTATTCTTTTATCATTTGTTACTAGACACTTGTATTTTATTTCTTCAGTTCTCCCATGCATCATCACCTCTTCAGTTTGCCTATCTGGACATATGTAAAATAATTACAACAGTGCAGTAATCTAGTATTGAAAAAAACAATATCCAAGATTCTCTGTGAAAGAATTTAGGAGGAATATTAGAAAATTCCACTAGAAGGAGCTAGCACTATGTCAAACTTCAAATCAGTACAATAATTTAGAGATATCAGTGATTGAAGAAGCAAATAATGTCTTTGTTTTTGGAAAAAGTTAAATTTGTATTCTTTTTTGTCTGATACTTTATTAATTTCATAAGCTAATACAGAAAGAGTAATTACAGATACGCTACGTATCAATAATTAGGAATAGTAAATTTTCTATTTTGGTATAGCATTTTGCCCCTTTTGAAAAATTAATTTTACTAAAAATATCACAAATAATGTTATAACTGGCAGTCATGTGTTCTGCCTTGCAAATAAGAAAGAGTTGGCCACATGACAAAAAACTAGATGTGCTAAGGTTTTATTCTCTTTTATAAGATTTATGGAGTTAAATTTCCATTCTGTAAAAATATAGACCAGATTCACTCCTGTAATTAAGCTTTCTTTCCTGTCTACTGACTTACAGGGATGGACTGCCTTGTCTTATAATCCAGATAAGCAAAGACAGTTTTATGGTGCCAAAAAATATCACTGAATCTGTCCATAAACACACTAACAAGAGGAAGTTTGATGGCAGAACTACGTTGAGTGGAAGCTTTGCTTCTGAATAGTGTACCTTCCCTTGATTTCTTAATAAAAAATATGGAAAGAACTGATAATATTTGAAAGACTAATTCAATTGCAAAAAAAGAGCACCTGAATTGCACTACTGGTTTAGTACCACAAAAGCAAATACAAAACTGGGAAAGCAAAATATAAACACCTATTCCATACTGCTAGTCAGGCAAATTGACTTCTTGTCAAGAACACTTACTGGTCTGTAGCTGCTTTTCTCTGGCATGCATGTCAGCAAATATTTGTTTGAAATGGCTGGTAAAAGCAGCAAGGTCAGCATCCAGAAACACTGGGGCTTGCTCTTTCTCTTTGAGCGCTTGACTTTGAGCCTTGAGCCGTTCAATCTGAGGCTGCAGGGTTGACATTCGAATTATTTCATCCTGCAAGTGCAAACAATAAAAAAATAAAAAAATCAAGATAGGAAACACAAGAAATGAAACCACTAGTGCTATGAAATCACCACTGTTTCAGTGCACATTGCACAACTATTTTGCTCTCAAATACATCAGTTACAATAACCATCAATTCAACATTTTAAACCTTTCCTCACAAATCAATACCTCTACTCCAAATAAAATTGTTGATTGAAATCACTGCTTAAAGCCACCTTAAAGTCACTTTCACATGACATTTTGCTCAAAGAAAATAAGAATGATTGCACATTAAATTTTCAATGCTAAGGAACATCTTTTTCATCTGAAGATGGGAAGAGAAAAACACCTCATGTACCATAATTCCAGACCTATGTCTGTTAGATTATGTACAGACTAAAATGAGGTAGAAAAGGAGAGATGAAGAAGCCCAGTGATTTCTAGCAGCCTCACAGTAACACATTAGAAGCTGAAGTTAAGATTAGGATAGCACAGAGCAGCTAGAAGGGACTTGCAGGGAACATCTATTCCAATGGCCTGACTACTTCAGGGCTGACAAGTTAAAGCACGTTGATAATGACATTTTCCAAATGGCTCCTACAGACAGGCTGGGGGCACCCACACCTCTCCAGGAATCCTTTTGGTTACACTCTCCAAACACCCTCCCAACTCCAGTCTAAACCTCCCCTGGCACAGCTTTGAACCATTCCCATGCATCCTGTGCCTGGAGAGCAGGGAGAAGAGATCAGCACCTCTCTCTTCACTGCCCTTCTCAGGAAGCTGTAGAGAACAATGAGGTTGTGCTATTATACCTTGTGTACACTGTGACATGTGCAACTACAGAATACAAAATAAATGAGCAAAGTAAGCCAAATGTACAGTTCACAGCAGAGATATTCAAAGAAAAATTTTCTGCACAAGAACAGAGATCTCCGTAGGCACAATGCCAGCCTGGAAATAACTGAAAATTGAAGTAATAGCATAAATCTCAATTTGGGTTTCAATATTTTCTGGTTGAGAGCTTCTGGAGTCATAGATTTCCTAAAGTCAAACTTCTACAAGTATATCATGCAATTTATAATGCAATACTACACTTCAATATATTGCTGTTAATCAGTATTTGCTTGTAAGCTCTCCACCCACAGAGCTGTCTACAGTAAGAGAGAGAAGCAAATTTCTATGGTGGTACAGCACATAAATAAAAACCATTAGGGAGACTTATAAGTGAATTGGTGTGACAGTTTTTTGTACAACTCCTGTGATCCTCTCATATTGTGACAGAAGAATATTCCTCCATTTGACTACACGACCCACACTGAATCAGAACACAGGGTATGTAAGAAGTAAAGTGGCCTGCAATGGCAGAATTTTGGACAATGTTCAGACACAGATCCTTAACAGAGGTGAAGAGCAACATTTTCTTAAGGAGCAACCAAAGACACAGATTTTTACATGAGAAAGAAATATGAAAAAGACCTTAGGCCCACAGTTCCCTCTAAGTGTCTAAGTGTCCTAATTACTAAATATTTGGGGCAGATTTTTAAAGACCCATATCCTGGGTTCTACTGCCTCTTTGTTTCTTTACCAGTCTTTCCTTTCCTCGAACAAATATTTTCAATAATTACTTTGTAAATCCAAGGAGTCCATTTATAATTTTTATAGTGAAACATTGTAGGTCATAACCTGTCCCGCCTATGAAGCACAGTATCATTAAAAAACTTGAACGATCTCTAACCTTGCATCTTTCTAACTGAGCTTTTACTGTAGCAGGATCTGTTGCTGGTGTGGGTTGTGTTCTCAGCCAGTTTTCTGCAGCAATTGCTGTCTGCTCCAGTTGCTGCAGCTGGGAGTAGAAGTCAATGATGTTATTTTGGTACTCCAGCCATGCCAGTCTTTCACTCAGCAACTGACAGAACTCAATCCAGCGGCTCTTCAGCTGCTCTGAGGCTTGTCTAATGTTGTCAGGATTCAGACCCTCTAGAAAAACAACAGAAGATGCTTAAAGATAAACAAGTTACAAAGAAAAGGGAAAAAATTAAGTAGGATAATTTAACAATTCAGTTTCTCTATTTGAGAGCTCATAAATCCAGTTAATGATTTATCACCGAATAACAGTTCTGAATCTACAGATGTTACACATTAGTGGGGAAAGCATATCAAAATATTTAAAGTTGCTGCCTGGGTAGTTTTGTTGCTATGGGAATGAATTATAAACTACATTAAAGTACAAGAATGGGAATAAAGCAAAAAGTAGAGATACAATACATAAAGCTAATTAAAACTGCGGTAAGAAATAACCTAATGCCTGACAGCTGGATTTTGAGAACTGTGCCTGGACTGAAATTAGATTTTAATGTACAAGACTGTTGCTGGCTTTTCTTCTATAAAATTGCAATTAATAGGAACTATATTCCACAGTTATTTAGAGGTTTCTAGTAATCCAACCCATATATTCTGCATTATACATTATTGTAAAAATATCATAAACACTGAGGAATAAACAAAGTACCAGATCAAATCTCCATCTAGGCCAGTCCTGAGTGTCCAACAATGACCATAGGGAGACAGTAAGAAGACAGCCAGGAAACCGTAGGTGATGCTTCTCTATGATTATTTTCAAAGTGATAGGTTTCCTTGATGTAGTTTCCCTATTCCTGTGTGTTGTTCAATAATCATGCTTACAATAAAGTTCATAAAATAAAACTAACTTCATTTATTGAAGACAAGGTAATTATTTAGAACAATTAAAAGGTAAAAGGAATTTTTTTCACTTTCTGTGAAGAAAGTAAAGCAATACATATGAAAGATAGGAAAATGTGTCTTAACATAATTCATAATCACTCTGTAATTTGAACTCAGAATGACTTCAAAATCATATTAACTTAATCATCTCATTTATTTTTCAGTGGAAGTTTAAATGTAATCCCTAATATTTTTTCAATTGTAATGACATGTAATGATTCACATGGCAATAGGGCCAACATTGTTTTCAAAATGAATAAAATTCTCAGATCACTGAGCAATGTCATATGCTTAAGAACACTTTTAATATCATCACACAGTCATACAATAGCCAACCAGTTAAACACAAGCTATGTTTTTATCAAAATAATAAAAATTAGAGTACTTTTCTTTAAAGCAAGTTTAAAAGCGAATTAGACAAAAGCCTTCTCTGCTCCACTTCTGCAATCTTTGATACACTACTGAATATGGGTTTTCTTGTTTGCAATCTGCACTCCAAATCTACAGGAAATTTTCTTTATCAGGATTAAAAATAGTGAAGTTCATGGCAATTTTGGAAGGTAGTACGTAGGAAATAGAGTACTAATTACAGCCAAATGCTGTAGTAAAAAGTAATAAAAAGTACTGTAATTTTTTATAATAAAATATTCTAAGAAATTGCTATAGTGTATGCTATATGGTAAATCACACTAAATGATAATTGGGGATCATGTCTGTTGTGGAGCATCACAGTGCTCTGGCAATTCCTGTTCTGGGTCCAGCTCAGGGCTATTTCATTCAGAGCTGCTTGGAAACAGCCCACTTGGAAACAGACTGTGCAGTAACCTGATAGCAGCTCTCTGGATATGCTTTTGCTCTGGGATGGTGCCCCAGCCAAACAAAGTGTACAGCATTTCAAAAAGCAAAACTATTGGAAAAATAGAAAGTTCAGTACTACTGGGAGGGTGGTGGTTAGAGCAGCTCCACATCCACAATATACTAAAAAAAACCTGAAGAGCACATTTTAAGGACTAATCAAGGATATAAAATGAACTTTGAAGTGTGAAGTGGTAAAAAAGGATTTTGACACATCTTAATAAAATCCAAAAGTGATCTTGTCTTCTGTGAGTGTGTGTGTGCATCTGGGGATTTGGTAGCATAACTCCATTTTCTAGAAATTTATTGTCTAATGAGCATGTGAAGAGGCCGAATAAACCTGAATGGCACAGCACATCTGAATAACAACAATCAGGGACAACAAGGCACTCAGATACTGACTCTTAACAACAGCAAGAACATGCATATGTATAGACAATAAGACTTTAACTCTGCTGTATTTTAACAATTGTTTCTGTTATGAGTTGGGTATAAAAATGCTGTAAATTCATAACAGAGAGCAGATTATGTTGCCATTGTGTTCATTATTATCTCTGAACCTGGAAGACATTGCTTGTGAGTTTGGCAGATGAGATATAAAAAGATCACTTTATTTATTCCTCCTTCCCCTTCTTTTCAGCTGCCAGAGTCTCCCAAGTACCCTTAGGCGAGATTATGATTACCAGAAGTGCAGTCATGGATTTTCCACATCTAATAATACTTTTCTCTGCAATATTTTCTTCTAGGATTCAGAGAGGACTGTATTTCAGATGGAAATCTAGATTCACTAAATCTACCTTTGTTATTTTTCTCATGGGTCCCTCTTCACATGACACATTTAAATATGTAAAAATAGCCACTATTATTCAATTTTGATAATTTTTTTTTATTTAACATCTAACCTTTGAGTCTAAATGTGAATCCAAAAATACATAGAGAAAGAAATGCTTTTACTCTTCATGTTCCTGAAATGGACAGTACCAAACTGCTTTATGCAGAGTCATGTTTGGCAAAATATTGCAGAGGTGCACTTTCATTAGGCAGAATATCCTACTGTAAGTAAGATAAAATCTCCATAACATGTGATTTTAAAACTTGTATTTTTCAGTCCATTCAGGTAAAGCAAAATTTTCCATCAGATGCTAGCATGTCATCTCCAGCAGGATGTAATAAAATGGATGTTACCTGCACTTGAGATCATTTGGGCAAGTCTGACCCACTGGGGAGAATGAAGAATTTCACAGAATCATGGAACTGTTAGGGTTGGAAGGGACTTCTGGAGATTACCCAGTCCAACCCCCGTACCAAGGCAGGGTCACCCAGAGCAGCTGGCACAGGAATGTGTCCAGGTGGGTTTGGAATGTCTCCAGTGAGGGAGCCTTCATGATTTCCCGGGCAGCACAGGGTTCCAGTGCTCTGCCACCCCCGGAGAAATTCTTCCTCTAGCTGAAGTGAAACTTTCTGAATTTTAATGTATTAATCCTTAATAATGTCCATTATTCCTTGGCCTATTTGAAACTTTCTTCTGTGATAAATACTTATTTCTTGACTAAGTAAGCACCTTTACCAAGACATACCAAAAGTGCACAAGCAGGCAAGGAAACAATATAAAACCCATTTTCTGGTAAAACATTATTTTATGAATAGTGGTTGGTTAATAACCTTTTCATGTTTCACATTCTAAAACCTTCTGGTATAATCATTGTATAAATATACTGTACCCAGAGGAAACAGATCATTATCTGAAGTGCATCCATTAATTTTATTACCTTGTATACTGCACATAATAAATTGCGCCTGAATATTTTTAATTGTGCCGCACCTTACATGGAAGTGCTTTGGAATTGCCACTTAATATGAAATATATCTTGTTAAATGCATCTGTCATTTGCACAGTTCTGTGATAGAATAATGTAATATTATTTTGTTTCTGTAGCTCTCGACTCTTGTGTAACTTACAAGATAATGTATTTCTTCCACAGAATGGTGGCATTTTGAAATTACATGTTTTATTGCAACAAATTGATTTGTATTCAATTTAATGCTTGCTGTCAAAATTCTCTGATTATTCATTTTGGTGTCCTGTTTATTTTACTCTAAACTATTATAATAGCCAAATGTCCATTCCAACTGCTAAACTACTTTACTTATGCATCAACAGATTTTTTATTCTCTTTTATAATATGATTTAGTAGAGAAAAACAAAACAGATTTCTTTTTTTACTACAAACACTGGTAAGCAGAATATATGTTTTCACTGATTTCAATCATCAGTCTTTGAAAGCATGAGCAAGGAGAGGCAGAGCACAGCCCATGAGGGTGGTTGGGTAAAGAAGAATCCACCAAAAAATCATCAATGATTTCCCTTGTGATGGGAAAAGCCCTTCAAATGACAATGTCCAGACTCCCTGCCTACAAACACAGGAACAGCTGTGCTATGGCAGAGGGCAGATCTTTCCAGGGCAAAAATACTTCTGCTGACAGTGGCTGACAATATTTACATACGACTAGAAGAATGTCCTGTGTAAATATGTTTGCTAAGAATATTTCCCTCTGCTAAGGAACAAATAAATTAAACCCTAAATAAACCAATCCAATTCTCTCCAGAGTCCTGTTTTTTTCACTTATTCTCTCTCCTACCTATCATAGAAAAAAAAAAAGGCAAGAAAAGAAATATGAATGATTCAACAATGGAGTTCACCACTATTCGGAACTTGCTCTTATAACCCACCAGAGGTCTCATCTTTTTATGCTCTTTGTCTGTTACATTCAGAATCTTGTTTATGAGCAAACAGAAAGAATATTTTAAGTGTTAAGTAAAGCCAGCATATTCAATGCCAGCATAATTTGAATCTTAAGGAATCTAATCATCATTAGTCCAGGTCTAATTGACACAGAATAAGTTAAAATTAACAACACACTTAAAAATGTCATCACTTGACTACTGAACTGATATATGCCTTAAATCTGTTTGCCTTCTGTGGTCTTTTAATTACAGATTATATTGCAAATGCATGACAATCATCAATTCAATCACTGACTCATTCCCCTAAAGAATAACAAGGGGAGCATCATCATTTTTGATCTGTAAATTGTGGTAGTTAGAAAGGTTTTTCATTAAAATGACATAGTACATCTTCCCTCCACTAGATGTTAAACTGCAGATCTCCCACAAATCCATACAGGCACACTAATTAATTCCAATTCCCTCCCATTTTATGGGATTTGCTTTATTCAGCAAATCTTTCATCTCATTCTTAGTGAATACAACAACCAAAAAAAATTTAATTTACACAAGACACAAACACTATAGAAACTTAGTTGAATTACTATGGAAAATATAAAGCTGCATAACTCTACTACCGTTTGCAATGAAGTTTTAAAAGTAATATTTTTATTTAACTTTTAGTTCAGTTTCAGTTGGACTAAATTGCAGCCATTAACTGCAATTAGATCATAATGATTGGAAGAAAAGGCAAATAGAGAGTATGTTGTACACAAAAGTACAATGGCTTTACAATGGCAGTAAACTTCCTTTACCCTCAAGGAGTAATTTTGAGCATCTCACAAGATATTCCATTTGCCAATTCTTTGTTAAAATCATCTCATAGTTCTCACCAGCTAATGTTAATTATTTATTCTACTCTCTACTGCTGGCAATTACTGCATTAATTAACCATTCCAAACACTATTCTTCAATTTGCCTTTGCATTAGTGGAGCAGTTGAAAGTCCGATAAATACTCAAGGTTTCAAGTCCAGAGGAACTGTTTCTCTTTTCAAAGGGAATGTTTCCTCCCTAAAACCATGACAATAAGAGATCTTCATTTTCACAGCCAATTATGTCAGCCACACTAGAATGTTTTTTCTACCAAGGCTAACACAACATAATGCATGGCACACACCTCAGAGCAGCTGACTAAGTTGAAGAAGTTGATAAAGTGATTTTAGCTTTGTTAATCTACCCTGCGCCTGCCACCCAGTTGGAAGAGGCGCTTCCTAAATAAAGAGGTGTGATTTGAGAAATACTGGAAATATTTACATGCACATCTAGCTACATGTAAAACATCAATAAGGATGGACCCATGGACTGAGGGAGACAAAAGCAGAGTCTTGAGTTAAAACTCCATGGGAATAATTAAGACAGAATTTAGTCTACTTGATACATGACATGGTAAGCACTACAGTGCAGGGTAAGCATTAGCTAAGATGGTAGTGAGTTTGACAAATAACACCAAAATTAGTCATCATAACGTACTACATAATCCAAAGAAAGTAAACTGGAATTCTTGAGGTGCAGGTCTGCACTTGTCCAATGGAAGAGTGGACATGCCTAAATATGCCCTGGACAGATTCTGCCCAAAATCAGAACCTCAATGTGTCAGCATGCAAATTTCAGATGCTTCCCTAAAAGTTATGTACAATCAATTCTCCCAGACAGAAAACATAAAAAGTCTGAACTTTTTATATCATCAACTATGGAAAAGGGCCCAAATTATTTCAAACAGGGTGCAGATGTTGCCAGACTGCCTTCAGTATATTCACAAAGTCAGGAAAGGGACTCATTGTAGCAATAGTTACAGTAATGATAACAAAATATGCCCTACACATTAATTATGGTCTCTTTTAAAATATTACACTTTCATAATTAAGCAAAATAATCCTAGGATTCCACCACATTTCTTTGACTTGGCTAGTCAGTACCTCAGACTTAAAGCATTTTTCTTTGAACAATTTAATTTGTTGTAACAATTTACGAGAAAATATATGTTCCAAATGTCACTTTACTCAGCATCTGTATTCCTGGTAATCATATCAGTATGATAGATATTTTAATTATTTGGTTGCAAGGCAAGATATTCCTTAATATTAAGAACAATGGCATGAGTTACAGTTTTACTTTCATGAACTTTTCCTTGGGTTTTGTTTTTCCCTTATTTAAAAGTTCAAAAGAATGGTGTCATGTAATAATTTCTTGGACAAAAGAAAAAAAAAAAGACAAAACTCTTGCAGCTATTTTTCTTTGTTCAAAAATTGTATAAACTTTGACAAATATTATATTCCAAAAACCAAATGCTAAAAATTTCTTCCAAATCTCAATAAAATGTTATATTTTCTATGATACAGAACATTACAGAAATATGTATATTACAAAACATACATTTGATATTAAAAGTCAGGAAGTATTTTTCCCCAACTGGTTAAAGTAATTCCTTTGGAGCTGTCTAACTCAGATGTGTTAAGGTACTTCAAAGCTTAGACAACTCAGAAAATAAGATTACAACTTAAGTCTCTGCACAGAACAGATTGTTAATATACAATTCATTACTGTGAGTTTCTAACGCATCTCTCTTCATGGTACTAAAGTGGTAATACTTTTTTTCTCTTCTCTAATTAACAGATTTAACATTCAGAAATAATAAAAGAAATATAAGGCAATATCACTTTACCGTTCCATTTAGACAGCATGTGCTAATATAATTCTTGTGATAAATATGAACCTGTTCGTTGATCAAATCCCTAAGAAGATTATCTAAAGCAACTCCCAAGTAATTACCATTCACCATCTGTTCCACCAGGGCCTCAGCTGATCTGCTGGCATCTTGCAGTTTTCTGTACTTCTCAGGCTTTTCTCGCTGGATGGCCTGCAGCACGACAGGAAAGGTGAGCATTTCAACAGAGGGGTTTCATACAAGAAAGTAATTAATTTCAGGGATGTCTTCTGATTTCTTGGGACTTTCTAACCCATCATATTGCCCTGACTGCCCCCCAGTTTGCAATGAAAGAGGCAAGTACCATAAACCACTACCAAGAAGGGAATTGGTCAAAGTCATATACAAAAACAGAGTCAGAACACAACAGAGCTGACAAACGACACATCTCAGTATTTTATAGGCACATAAAAGGCATAGAAATTAAGAGCTATTTGAAGCACAATATTTCAGAAAGAAAATATTCATTAACAGAAACGCCTTGTGGAAGAATAGATTTGCTTATTTTCATGTTAAAAGCAAACATTGACCATTCTCACCAAAGCACAGGGATTCACAGCATTCTTCAGTATCAAACCCACAAAAATTTGATTGCTTATATTACTGTTTTATTTGAAAACAAACAACATCTGTAAAATGCATATGTAAGAACACATGCAGCAGACACCCATATATGGGCTATTAAGAAGAAGAGTTAATTGCAGATTTAATACAGGCTTCTCATTATGTTTTGTACTTCATACTCTTGATTCATCTTTCTGTACACAAAAATTGCTCAGCACTCTTCAGGCCAGCTAATAAGGCCTAGTACAGGCCAGCTGCTAAAATTATAAGATATAGTAGGAATCTAAACTTAAATATCATTTTGGGTCAGTAGAAATACTGATGGAAAGTAAATTCATTTTAGATCAGACAGCCCATCAATGCTGTCTTGTAATTAACACCATGAAGTCACTTCATTGATTTTAAACTAAATTAGTTGCATAATTTAGGTGTAATTTAGAAGCTCAAAGATGCAACAAGCTCAAAGATGCACAGTCTAATTTGATACCAAAAATAAAAATCTATATATCTCCCAGAGATTCTGACCAACACAGGGTCCCATAAATCAAATCCCTCACTTTTCTGCAGCAGATACACACATACAAGAGGATATGTTCCTCCAAGTCCTACATGATGTATAAGGAAACATCACAATTGGCCCTGGTTGCAGTTTCCCAGGCTGGCTGATCCCACTGGGCTTCCCCATCACCCCGTTAATTTCCACAACAAATTTAGATGCTGCATGACTTCAAAAATGCTCCTTAAACTGAAAAGAAAGCTCAAGTAGGTGCCTAAGAATGAATTTAGTAAAAGAACCTTATATACATAAATTTGGAAATACTATTTTTCAAATAGATTGTTGCACCCATATGGAATGAATATAAACACCTTTGAAGAAACTCTTAAAATAACTTTTAAAATGGGATGTTTAAAACATCTTCAGTTTAACAAGAAGCAGCTCCCTGGAAGACACTGCAAGTGAGGATACACAGAAACTTGGAAGAGAAATTTTCAATTAAATTCATGCTTTTCCTCAGCCTACCCATAACTGCTATCCATTTGTGCATACAGAAATTATTAAGCAGCAGGCTTTCTAACAATATCAAAGATTCTTTTCAACACTGTCACTAAAACAATTTTGGATAAATGAAATATATAAAGAAAATATATATAGTGAATAATAAAATAGTTTCTATTTTAGAAACATATTTTAATATATAACTAAATTACCATTGAAATATTATGAAGTTTAATCCCACTAAGTTATAGATGACTGTATGAATTACCTCTCATTTTCGTAGGTCAATAAAATCTTGCACGATTACCCAGAGCAATTTAAATATTTTCCAAATTTAAAAAGTAAATTAACTCTCTGCAGAGTTCCAAAATCTCTTACAGAATCTTAATTAATACTACTCTTTCTATAATGCTAGGTATAATTAACATGAGAATAACTACTGAGAACTCAAAGGAATCATTAAAACACTAAAATATACTGAAAATAATTCTATTCCTTCTGTAACACCAGGTGTGTTATTATCATGTGTATAACTGTAGTGAGCAGAAAAAAATAATTTAAAAAACCAAAACCAAAACCACTTCATAAAATATGCTAAAACTTATTTTTTTAAAATATAAAAATGATAAGACATAAAAGCTTGTGGAAGTCAACCCTTCCCTGCCTAGCATATGTTATGTGTGCAGGAAAAGGTGGAGAAATGTCCACCTCTCTCCTGAAAGCTTCAAGTTCCCAGGTCCTGGCAGAAAATATAAGCACTATGTATAGAGTCCTTAAATAAACATATCAAACTTTCAGTCAACTCTTTTTCCATTCATTTTTATGCAATTGGCGTATATTATGCAAATGAAGGTTGAGCACTGGTTAGAGGAGGACAAACACACACAGGAAGCACAATGATAACCAAAGGAGGAGAAACTGAACTCTTGGTTCCTCCTACAAAGATAAATTATGTGGCCTGGGGAGAAAGGAGGAAATTCACTCTAGTTATTCAAAACAATGAGCACACGTCCCTGTCATCGCTTGCCAAACCTGCAAATTGTGTCTTGGGTTTTTAAGAACCTCTGAAGAAGTATTCCCATAACCCAGTGTCAAGTGCCTAGAAATGAATGGAACAGTTCTGGAAACACCTCTCATTTATCTCTTTGGTTCTGTTTCCTTAATTTTTTCCTTTACTGAAGGGGACCATACTCTTGATCCAAGTTCATTTATGTCACAAGTAGAATGGAGTGGAGTTTTGAAACCTAAATTCTGTATAATAATATTATACAGAATAATATAATAATAATATTATAATTTTTATTCTGTGTAATAGACACTTTTTGACAATAGTGGCTAAGCCACTTCAAAATATTTCAAAATATATAACTTCCCTCCTTTTTTTTTACTCTTTTTTGCTTCTCTAAACTATTTTTCAGAAAAAAAAAAAAAGACACCAATATTAGAGGAAAAGGTTAACTTGGTTAACTTTATGGGCTTTTGTCCAAGTAGAGATTAATTATCTTTTGGACTACTTTGCAACAGACAATGCAAATATATTATAGCTCAGTTTTAATTGATTGAAAAACATTATAAATTCATCTTTAGCTAAGTGCTAGCCAAAGGCAAAGGGGCTATTTTTACAAATCTAAACATTTTATTTGACCTTGAGATTTTAGTTGGCAGTTAATGACTTCATAAACTAGAAAATACTGATGGCTGAAGAAATTTGGATATTATTCATATATCAAATCAACATGTTTCTTTGAGAGCTCTGTGAAAGGATGCAGGGCAGCACTCCCTGACCTCCTGTGGTGGTGACCCACCACCCCTGAGGGCAGAGAGGGAAACATTATCATCCCCACCTCTGACAGTGATTCAGCTCTCAAAAACCCACGCCTAACAAAGCATGCTGGAAAAGGTCACTAAAACAAAACAAACATGAGAATGGGACTTCTGAGAATGCCAAGAGAACAAATTTAATTGTCTAGGATATCTGACATTTTCCCTTACATCTGTTCCTTGTGTTTATCTTTGATTCTGAATTTCTAGGTGCTTCCTCTTCTTGGGTAACCAAAACTTCTTTCAAGGATTTTTATTTCCAGTTTCTTGTTGGATAATCTCAAATCCAATTTACTAAGTAGGATTTACTATCTGAAATTGTGGAGGTTTTTTGCACCTGAACCTTCATATATTTGAACTTGGAATACTGAAAGCTCATTATAGCTTAAGAAAAACGTGGAAGTCCTGAGTCATTCTTAGGTCTGATTTTAGTAAAATACACACACTAACTGTAGAATATTTATGGTGGCATGCAGTATTACAATATTTACTACATTAATGTTTGGATGTCTCTGTTATTTAGGAGTATGGCTGTTCAACAAATTCCTTCTATTGTTATGGCTTTGCATTCTCCCTGCCCAGGTAAGGTAAATATCTTTCTTCTGTATCAGGGAAGGGTTATAAATACTTTTCTTCTCCCCAGACATAGGAATGGACCTTTTGCACATATCTAATATATTCAAGCTACATAATACATCTGCCAAAGGCTAATTTCCTGCCAGGATCTGAAGAGCAGCTGCCTTAGCAAATAGAGTCACTGCATTTCATACAGCCTGCTCTTGGCTCTGTGTCCCCCAGGACTCCTCTGAGCTGGGATGGGAGCAAGCTTTTGCACTTTATGAATCACCAATGATGGCAAAAGAGATTTCCTCGTGGATTTCATTTCCGACGCCTCTGTCCCTCTATCATGCAGCAGATGCACTCCCACTCCATCTTATGGATGTGACCCCTCATCCATGAAAAATGATGGGCAGGAGCAAGCTGCCACAAGAAAAAACAGCCCTGAAACTAGTAACTGTCCCCAAAAGAGCAGCAGAAAAGAAAGTCATCACAAAAAGGCTCTAGGACTCAGCACTGACCACAGCAGGGAATAAAGGGCAGTTTTGGCATCAGCCAACCACAGGTGTTCTGTGCTATACCAAATTATGCATTAATATGGGCAAAACCACCCAAATTATTAAGTAAGGGCAAGATGGGACTTCTTCACACATGTGTAGATGGTCACATGCATGCATGTACAACACTGGGGTATGACTGTGGATGTCAGTGCACGTCCTGGTTTTGGCTGGGATACCATGATTTTCCTCTCAATAGCTGGGACAGTGCTGTGCTTTGGATTCATTATGAGAATAATATTGATAACATTCATGTTTTGAGTTGTCTAAGTTTGGTCTATCCTAAGTCAAGAACTCTTTGTGCCTCATGCTCTGGCAGTGATACACAAAAAAAAAAAAAAAAAAAGCTGTGAGGGAACACAGCCAGGAAGGACAGGTGACCCAAACTGGCCAGGGGGATGTTCCACACCATAGAACAACATGCTCAGTGTATAAAATGGGGGAGTTACTGGAAGGGACTTATTTGGGTTCAGGGCGTGGGTCTAGCCTTGGTCGGCAGGTGGTGAGTAATTGCATTGTGCTTCACTTGTGTGTTGCTTGCTGCTTTCTTTCTATTATCTGAATTATTATTTGCTATCATTATTATATTTTACTTCATTTCATTCAACTATTCTTATCTGAACGTACAAGTTTTACTTTTGGTTCTCACCATTCCACTGGGGTAGGTTGGGGCATGTGGGCAGGTGTGGTGCTTAGTTGCCAGCTGGGCTTAAAGCACAACAGAACAATAAAATCTATTTCAATTATCTCTCACATATGTTTTCCTTTCTGCATTTCATTCTTTTTTTATATGCCTTCTACAACTTTACTAAAAATTATATAATATGTTAAAACACATACTATCTTGTTTTCCATTGATTTGAGGTAGATTTTGAGAGAACTAATAACTAAAAGTGTTAACAAGCAACAAAACTGTTCAAATCAATGAACTGAAAAGTACTTTCTGCTTTGTCTCTCATTTAATTGATTGAGACAGAGATAAGACCAGGAAAAGTCAGGTCAGGACAAGTTTTAAGACCTGGCATTTATAAAAATTTGATATTTTTCTTTACTTTGTTAAAAAGTGTGTTCAAAGACTTACACTGACTGAAAACGATTCAACACATAATCCGTGTAGCACTTGTCAAGCGTCACCTTTCAGAGTTCTCACTCTCAAATTAATACATGCAATAAAATGTTTTCTCCCTTAGAGAAACTAGAAACTTTTAAATGTAACTTGATTTTCTCTATAAAATGCTTATTTTAAGAGCAGTGACACTCTGTGAAATTAAAAGGGGTCTTGGCCCTTAAAAATATTTTCAATGCTAATGAATGATACATATCGATTTTTCTTATATCTATTTAGAATTACTGGTTTGTTTCAGACCTCTCTCATGACAATATAAATAACTAAAATTATTGCAAAAAACTTGAAATTTAACATGGAATTTAAAAATGTACACTTACAGACACAAAATTCCATATTATTCAAACTTATCATAGCTGATTCATGATGGAAAAGCAGAAAATGAGAAAAACCACCCGCAAATCTAAATTCAATACAATAACCATCTTTGTTCCATCTCTTTGTGTTCTAGGAGTATATATCAACATGGGTTTTAACGACGTTCCATAACATACTATGCTACTATCCAAGATATTTATAAAAACCACCCCTTTCTCATCTTGGAAAAGATGGGCATTTTTTCACTGGTCTACAAAAATAAAATAAGGAAGAAAATTTGTAACAGTTTAGTTTTCAAGGGCTAAATTCAGTGATTCAGTCTATGACACACAGACATGCAAACACAGCAACTTTTTAAGCAGTGCAGAACCATTCACTTTGTCGGGAAATAACAGGTTTTTGTTCTGATATGGTACTACAATAGAGTAAAAAAAAAAAAAAACCAAAAGGCAAACAATGAAAGCCCCGTGGAAACTGGTGATTGTCACATATATTTTACAGCTCTGTGAAGAAAATAGATATAGATTTCCTTTAGCATCCACTCCAGTGACACTTTTCATATTCTTCAGTTTTTGCATGTATAATGTCAAATTAAGCTCTTAGTATAGAATGCCGTTGCAAAATTTAAGTAATGATAACTTAATATAACTTTATAAATTTACATATGTATGTAAATTTATAGATATATATAAACCTTAATATCTATATATATATTTTGGTATAACTTTACCAAAAACTGTCATGGATCTACAATACCTTAATTAAATATGAATATGTATGAGCAAAAACAACAACAAAAATCTATGTGTTCAGACAGTCTGTGTAGTAAATTTGGTGCCAAAATCTGAAACTCACAGAAACAGTGAACACTTCTAAATTTATCTTGGACAATCAATGCTTGTCAGTCTAGATTTGAAATCCTTTAAGCTTGGACTCTGAAAGCGCTTTGGCAAGCAAATACAGACTAGCAGACATGCACACGAGTAGTTTCTCCTACATTGACTCTTTCTCTGAGGTCTGAGAGGTTCCCTTCTTTCCTGAAGATGGCAAACTCAGGGCTCTGCAGCAGTGCCTCGGAGCGGGTCATCCAGCTGTGCAGCTCCGTGGTATCCGAGTCAAACCTGAGGGACGCAAAAGTGCAACAGGACTTTCAGCTTCCACAGTTCCTGAGAACAGGATTGGCAGCCAACATGGTCGTTTAAACAAGAGAATAAACAGCAATCTGTATCCGCAAAATGCAGTTTTAAACTCCCATATCTCATCAGGGAGTTCATAAAACTATTCACTTTTAAATTTAGAAATGAGGAAATACTTTTTCATTTTTAAGACCTGATTTGACAGCTGAACAGATGCAATAATTTCCACAGTAAGTATTCTAATTTTTCAAGCTAATGTTTTTGGAAGATATGAAACAAATGTCTGTCAGTGAAGAAAGAGCATCACAAGTCCTCTTGGCTGAGCTGAGGATGCAAGACCTATTAGTCTGAACAAATGCAGCCTTCAAACCTGCAATATCACTATCCCAGCTTGTGATTATGTAATTATAAAGAAAATTCAAGCAGAAAATTTGATGAAAGAAGATTTTTCTGATTAACTCAAATTTGTTGTACAATGTAATCACTAATCAACAAGTATAATTTTCCACAGTTAAAGTTTTAAAACCAAAATTAGGATCCCCAACTCTCTGCACTTAATTTATAACTAGTTTTTACTCCACAGCCCTCTTTACTACATTCTGGATTCTTTCATCAACTCCTTTAAAACTGATCTTGTGTTAACCACTATTCAGGTGACGCCTCAAAATGCAAATATTTAAAATACTAATGTCTAGAATTTCAAATTGTGATTCAGCATCTACTGTAGTTTTAAAACAAGAAGCTTCTGACAGTATTTTTTGTCAGTTATGCCACACTTTCTGCTTGATTGCATTTCTTTATTGCACTGTATGTTCTAATATTAAATCTCTTTTGCAGCTGACTTTCGTTCTGCAGCAATATGCTGAACACAACAGAGCAGAAAGACCTGGGGGAAAAAATAACAAGCTGTATCTTTCAGTTTGCTTTATGACTATAGGCTGTATCATTTGCATACAACTGAAAATCAACTAAAAACAGTAACTTGAACAACAATTATACCCCTGGAGGAATTAATTATTTTATAAAAATACACTTCATTTATACAAGGATTTATACTTCTAAAATAAAAAGGTGTAAGGCAAAACCAGGTGCTACATAAATCTACATATGCAGAATTGAAAAATGAATACAAGAAAGTATTCCATACTTGAGTTAATATTTATGCTTCCTTTTTTCCCTTCTCCACTGTGATTTTTTGTATTCATAAATAATGAAAGCAAAAGAAAAAGAATCACAAACTGCCTTAGTCCAATATTCTACATTCAATTTTAAAATTCTTAGGAATAATTTTGATTTAAAAAAATTCTGATCTTACTAACTGAATACTCATTCAAGGAGAAAAAATTGCGACTTTGAAGTAATGGAAGGTGAAGGAATCTTCAGTTTTAAAATAAACTACAAATTCTAAGGCAAAAGACAAAATAAAATTCCCAGATGGTTCAAGGAATGTCTGTGCTGTTCTAATCCCTGAACATGAACTCCATAGCCAGTTGAGATCTTCCCATTTCAGCTTTATTTCTGATCATTAAATCAACTGCAATTCTTGAAATAAAATGCTATCCTTTGTTCTACAAATAATAACTGCATATTTGATGATTATAAACCACCAGACACCTGATAGCAATGAAGTTTACCAGTCCCTGAGTACTAAAGTTCCTTGGCTGCAGGTAAAATTGCATGAGCTCTGGAATTTGTTCCATTCTGAAGCTGCAGACAAGTAGAATCAGTGAATCCAACTCTGAAAAATAGCCTGGTGTTACCCTGGTACAGGATGGAAATTGACAGAAAAATGTTTATCAGTGATCAATTCTTCAAGAAAAAGGATTAAGCCCTTGCCTTTGCAACGCCTGGAAGAGGAATGGGAGCATTTGGGACAGTTTTGACAGTAGAACAAAATAATTAGGAACACATCTCATGGCCCAGAGAGCCATCAGATGGTGGCAAGTGTTAGACATAGATCTTTAAGGTCCATTCCAACTGAAAGCATTCTATAATATGATATGATTCTCTGATATGACCAAGCTGATCTCACATAACAGATTGCACTGTCACTTGCAGTTTCTTCTGGAGATAAATATAATTTCAGAAACAAAGCCTCCTGTTCAAAAAAGGGCAATAGTATGAAGGGCAGACAAAAATTAAAAATACATAAAAGTTAAGTCCAAGTAGCTTTTCGTTTTACATAAATATCATTAAGATAAAGACATCTTACCTAGTGAGGCAAAAAAAAAAAATCACTCTGTCATATTCACCTTGTGCAAAAGGAGGAAACACTGGTAGAAATGGCATTTAATCATTCTGTTTTAGTGATTGGATACTTCCTTTCTGAGCACAGCTGCAGTCAGAAATTATATTAGCTCTAGATTGATATCAAAGTATAAATAGAGTCTTTAAATCTCCTACGGACAAGAATAATTTAGACATAAAATAGTGCAAGACTGCCTTTCTGTCCCAACAAACTTCAGTTCAGGTAGAATTTATAAAAATAGATCAATGGAAGATCCTAAACCAAAAATCACCTGAGAAATTACTCTTAACTACTTTAATTTAACATGTACATTGTCATGCTCCCCACCTAAAAATTCCATTTGAGGTAGAATATTTATTCTTCCTGCAGCTGTCAAGCTTTTGTTTTCCACTTAGTCTTTTCTTTTGCTGTTCCATAAGAGAAATACTATTTTTACTGGTCCCACAGCCCTTTCCTTACATGCCAGCATATGTCAGCAGAGTTCAAATGGAGAATTGTTTTTATTGTAAATATAAACAATTTAACTCTTATTACTTAGTGATTTCCATAAGTTTTTTTCTATTAGATAGGGGACTTCTAGTACGACAAGAGAATCCTACTGTGGTAAGTATTTGGGTTGGAAATTCCATTAAGAGAAAAACTTGATGCAATTCAGTTGTGAAATGTCCCAAAGGTGAGGTTTACCATGTATTTAATAGAGAAAAGGAAAGCCAGAACAAAGAGTCAATTTTGAACAAATACATGGTAATCTAGTAAGAAAGTTTGGAATGGGAATATGAAGTGGGCATATGGCTTGGGATGATCAAGAAAATCAATTTGTGGAGGATTTTCCATGAAAATGTGACTGGCATAGATTAAAAACATTTTTTTTAAATATGCTTTGAATAAATAGATATAAAAACAAATTGAATCTTAAAAAAATTCACATAGGAACACGAGGCGTGAAGCATCTTCCTGTCATGTGGCCATCATGGTACATAATCTTATCTCTAAACTGAAGGATTTTCATCTTTAAGCTACATTACATTGCTTCTGCTATCATGGACAGACACTGGTTTCAGTACTTTATTCTTTTAACAGACAGAAATTGCCCAACAATTTCCTTTGTTCACTTGTTTCCTTCCCTCCCCAAACAAAAATGACACTGGGCCTGTCACCACTGTGTATCTTGGGCAGACATGAAACCATTTGCCTACATATTGAATTGGCAGGGAATGAGGCAACTTTGATCCAAGCATCACTTCACTGAATTATTTCATTTCCATGTCTGGGCTTAAATCCCCAGCTCACCAGAGTCTTTCTCAGCTTGTAGCTCTTCACTGCCTAGAACATATCAAAGAACAACTTTACAGCACATGGTGCCCATTGGAAGAATTATTCTGATCTAATTCCCTGCTGTCTTCCTTCCTCCTCTGTATTTGTAGTTGATGAGTCATTAGTTGATAAATAGAATTGTTCTTATCTTCTAATTCAACTGCCAATTTCTCCAAACATTATTTTTTACCTTCTTATGTTTTAGGTTTCAATTTTAGGTGTCAATTTAATTTCCTTTTGGAATGACATTTTGACCATCCCTCTACATTTGTGATACTATTAAGTTCAGCCTCATCAACATCATGATCAGTGCACCTCTGTAATGCATACCAAGGCATGAAAACAAATACCAAATCAATCCCAAGTGTGTATCTCCAACAGAAATTCAACTAGAACCATCAGGTACACAGTAATTTTAAACTCAATTAATACTCTGTAATATTGCAGGTAATTTCAGGTGCTAAGTGTAAAGAATATAAATTCTGTTTATTTGTCATTATTCCATTTCTCACCTCACAAAACTATAAAGGATAAATGCTTACTAAGCATTAGGAAGTGCCCATGTACACAAACCTCAACATACACTTCTTATCCTCCAAATGAAAATGTTTATTAATTATTTCACCTTTAAGCAACACAAAACTATTCTGTTGTGTCTTAGTCACCTATTCCTTTCCTCTGGAATTGGCTACAGACTTACTGAAATCAAAAACCACCAGGAAAATTAGGGACATGACTTTCTTCTTCTTGAATGTGTTACCTATCATTAGATAACAAAACCGGAGCACAAGCTGAATTTCTGTAAGAGGTTAAGGGTCAAACAACCCAATGGAGGGGCTGTAAAAGGGCTAAAAAATGACCATTTAGTCCTGACTAACAAAATTAATTGCACAGAAATAGGATCTATGAAACAATACCTATCAAAAAGACCATTATAAAGTCCCTATATGTTTTCCATTGATAATTGTTTTAAGAATCCAAACTTTTGCAAATAATGAAGGATTGAAATCCAAAATATTGTAATTTTCAAAAGAGTGAGGGCTTCTCTTTTTTCAAAAAGTTTATTTAACAGCTGTTAAATGATAAAAACACTAGATGGAGCAACTATCCTGTTTTAACACACCTTGCTCTTCAAAGGGCATCGAGTCTCTTTCAAATCTTCAGATTAACATTCTACTAATAATAATGTTATGAAAAGTAGACTTTCCTTGGAAACCTTAGAGAGCATGTAAAAAGATATTTACCAAATATCAAAGAAAGGTAACTTTGCTTGTTATTGAAGCATATTAATATTACAAATATGTTTAAATTAAATATTAACCAGTTCTTACTTGTCTGCTATTATACCCTTAGCATGAACAGAGTAGTTCTCAGAAGTTTTGTGATATGCAACTGACCTGTTTTTCCCAGAATATGCAAATACCATGAAAATAAATATGTTATCTCGCATCCCTTTCTCCTATTTACATTTTTTTAAATACTATAACCTCAGCTGAGTTACATTTATCTCTAGCCCTAATGCCTAATACATTCTTTTCAAGATCTTACTATACAGCTCCAAGTATTTCATCTTTCTCAGTTTCAAATTGATTCCTGTGGAAAAAGGAGCTTTTCTTTGACTAGTAACAGAACTTAACTCACCTAAGTTATTCTGGCATTTTGAAGCATTAGTCCTGAAGCAGTTTTAGATTTTGGGAGGGAGAATGGAGCGGGGGAGAAATAAGAAAAAAAATGACCTGGTTCTTATCTATGCTTTCTTCGTCTTATGGCAAAACTTGCTTAAAGAGGCAAGAAAAAATCAACAGCTTTCTTCCCATGGATTTGTGCCACATGAAATGAGAACAATGGAAAGGTGATATTCAGTCTTGTGGATGTTATTGGTCTACAAGTCAAATTGCTGCTTCTTAATTTCTTCAGTTTAAATGGAGATTTTTATACTTCCAACCCTGATAAAATACTTGGTATCAAACTAGAAAGTTTGATGCTTCAATCTTAGCCATCCATTTTTTGCCTCCTTGGCTTAGTAACTGGAGGCTGTACTCTTACACAGTACACTAATACAATATTCACTGAGTAGCCAAACTATTCTTCCTTCCTTCCTATAGTATCCAGTATTTCTAAAATATATAATTCACAGAGAAGCTAATCTGAAGCAGAAATATTTCCAAACCTCTGGCAATGGGGCCTGTTGAATTTATTTCAGGCACAGTCCTTTTACAGAAACAACACCAACTAAAGTCTGAGAACAGAGGAAAGAAGCTGGCAAAACCTGGGACCATTATTCACCACCTCAAAAAAGCCTCAATCCCCAGTGTTGCTTTCCCTTCCAGGCCTGAAAATATCAAGCAAAAGCAAGCAGTGTGTTGTATTGTGACTGCAGAAAGCAGCCAACACAAAATCTGGTTAATCACCTTTGGAAGGTTCTCACAAGCCTTCAGGAATTGCAAGGGCTTATTTATCAAACCAAAACTAAGGAGTACACACCATCAAGTTTTAGTCATTAAGTGCTCAGGGAAAATTTTGGTTGTAAACACACACAATATAGAATGATGTAGGAGAGGTAGGTTGAGAACCCCCATTTTTAAAATTTATTTTAAAAAAATCAAAAGGCATGCAGCACTATGGGCTTTGTGTATCTTTGGGTGCAGCTACAACTGAGTACAAACAAAATAACCCTGAGAGATCTTGTGGCCAACAATGCACCCAAAAAATAAATGACTGGATGTTAGGGAATATAATAGTTTTTCTCCTATCAAACCAAACATTGATCCAAAGGGTGTCTAGTCACCAGTGAACAAAGATACTTTAACTAAGCACCCAAATTTTTAGATGAGCTTTCTTCTTCCATTATTATGCTAATATCTAGTATAAATTTTTATTTCCTTGTCTTTGAGAGAAACAACAGCATTCTATAAAATGTGTTCGTTTCCAAGGCTGCATTTTTACATATTCATTAAGAAACATCACAAAACCTGTTATTCTAAGCTGAAACTTCTTCCCTAGACTTTACTCTCAAAGTGTTTTTCCAAAGCCATTTACTGACTGATCCTCCCACTGTAGATCACCTGCTTGGACTTTCTAGACTAAAGGTACATAAATTGTGGTATTTGGTGTTTTCTCTGTTCAGTTAGAAATGCAAAAAATATTATCTGTATGGAGAAACACTGCCTTCAGATAATATAACCATCATTCATCCTACTGCACAGATGTGGACATTTCCAACATCTACTTTGCTCATTTCCAAAATGCAGGTCCACTCACAGATATAACAATCACACTGGACTAGTTCTCATGTACTGGTGCAATTCCAGTGTTAAAACAAGACCAGTAATTTTGGCATACAAAACAATAGTTAGAGCATATTTTAAAATGTATGTGTATTAAAAAAATAACTCCATTTTTCTTTGTGAAAGTCAGATTTGTCTCCTAGCAGAGAGAGAAAATAAAAGTCTTACCTGTTCAGAAATGAAAAGGATTCTGATTTTAAATATCTAAAAGAAACCACCCCTTATTCAAATACCTAAAGTCACACCAGGCCAAGACTGAGAACTACAGATTGTTCCATCTTGACTCTTATCCAAAAGTTAAACAGGAATTATATGGTGAATGCACATATTTTAGATGGCATTAAAACAAATCAAAAACCCTTGAAACCGAGTATGCATGGTAAAAAATTATTAACACCCTGTAAATCTGGTAGCAGATCTACCAGTAATATATCTTAAAGCAATCCTAGTCTCAAAGTTGATAATACATCCTATTTTCTGTAGAAGAATCAATCAGGTTTCTATACAAACTTGTTAGTTGGAGTTCTTTAGACAGTCATCAGCTAAAGCACTGTAGTAACACATAATTATCAGTTTCTATAAATCAAAGTAGTTTGGAACAAAAACGGTTCCCATAATCCAGCTAATTCCTGCCCTCAGGCAGTCTCCTTGCATGATGAGTATCAAGTCTGTATTCTGCTGTACCCTGCCAAGTTTACTTTCAGTATTAAAGCAAATTAAAAGAATATAAGCAAGAAGGAAAATATAAGCTAACAGCAAATACGTAGCAGTTGAAAAAGGAACTTCTATGCCAATTGGTCTCCAGTTCGATAATAGTGCATATAGCAACAATTTTCTTGAAGAATTAAAAAATAGGTTTTTAAAAAATCGTCCTACTTCTTTTAGTTTTTACTAAGATAATGCTTTCTTTTATAACAGTCGTCCTGCACTTCGCTTCCTTATGAAGTAAGATCATTCCTAAAACTTTCAGCTCAGGGAAAATGTAAAAAGTTTTGAAATACCAATTATTTAAACATTTTGAAACTGCAGGGAAAATTTCATTCTTAATTTTTCAATTTCAAAATAAAGCAGATCATTATTTTCATTTCACCATTTTACACTAAATGTTTACTGTCATATATAAACCCACAGGGCCTCAATCCTGTTTCACATCTTTGCACATTACTACTGAAACATTAACAGGGGTGTTAAGGCTTATAATTTCTGATAAGCAACAGCACTGCCATCTAAAAATTCCTTCCACAAATTCAGGAATTACAAGTCTGCTGACAGTCATTGCACAGCATCACTTTGAGTGCTTGGGAATATATTAGCAAAACACAATTCTCACTTACAATCTAATGGTAACCTAGGATATGGGAAAAAACAGTTTCAAATGAGGACTTTAGAGATAGAACCAATTCATTGAAATTTAGCTCACAAACTGATTTAGACCAAGCACTTTCTGAAACTTAGCTCACAAACTGATTTAGACTAAGCTCTTTCCATAGAAATAGTTATGCAATTTAACAAAAAGGGGAGACTCATTCTTCTTACATCACATAAACAGCATTCCTAAATAACGATGCTGAGCTAGAAACTTACTTTTAGAATGGTTAAACACAGGTACAATGCCTACATATAAAAAAGCACCTATTTTTCCAATAACATAAAACTTCAATTTAAAAGAAGTCAGATTTCTCCTATTGTTTCTATATTTCATTCTTCTTAATAAGTGAAACACTATTCTACAAAATAGAAAAGTTGTCCTGGTAAACACATCGAACTAAACAAAGATATTGTATATAGAAATGAAAATGAAACTGAATGCAGTTTCAAATCCTTTTCAGTCTTCAAATCTATTACTGTGGAATTCATGTTTATCAGAATATCAAAAAACATTTCCAAAACAAGCATTAAAATGAATGTTTGAAATATACCTTCTTAGCATCTCATTTAGAATCTTAGTGCTTGAGCCAATTCTGCTTAAACACAGCAGAATTTTTTCTCCTGACTTTAACTAGTGTTCAGCATCAGTATAAAATCCCTTGTTACTTGTACTTGAGTTACACATGAAAAAAATCTGAAAGTAATAATAATGCATGTTTCACAAAATATTAACTGCCTCTGGAGAGCTACTATTTTTACTCCTGACCCATAAGCCCAGAAGAACACAATGAACTTTAGAAAAAGCAGTATCTCCATTACTAGTATTTAAACTATAATAAAATTCTTCTTAAAGAATAGAAAAATCTTAGAATTAATTTGGAATGCTCCTTGTCCATCACATTTCAAGACCCTAGCCGAATGGGATGCCCACAATGCCACACATAAGGACTTTAACTGACTATAATTAATATGCAATTGTACTGATGTAATCATTAATATTCTATACTGCTAAATAGGTGTAATAGAAGCAAAACATAATCCATAACTCATGCTGAGTAAAGAAAGATAATAATCAGCTGGCATCCTAGTAGAGAACAGAAATATAATTTTAGGCTCAAAATAGCATACAGAAAAACACTGCAATCAAATGACAATTTTTGCATTTTTGTCCAGACTCTATCAGTATTCCCTCTCTGTCTCATGATGATTCTCACCTCTTCCTAATTTCTGAATCCACAAGGAGTTGCCTTTTTTTGTGGGGTGGAGGTGGTGGGAGTTCCTCTTTAGCATGCTTAACCAGGATTTGCTCAGTTGTGGTCACCATAGTTACAGTTTCCATTACAGTTGTCTGTGTTAGTGATGTCTGAGTGGTAGTGACAGCCTGCGAAATCTGTGAGAAGTACAAAAAACAGAGGTCATACTTTATTTGAAAGCCTTCAGTAAAGATCGTTTGGAGGAGCAATAGAAAATAATGAGAAACTGCTTTCATCTGATCATAGGCTGACCTTCAGGAAGAAACATTATACGCAACTCAAGCTACATTGTTTTATCTGACTCATGCTGTGTGAATAAGTTATCTGCAAAAGCCAATATCAAAATCAGAAAGGATTCTAATGAACTTATAGCTCCCTGTAATGCCTGCTGAATGAAGAAAAGAAATGAATGGAATTCTACAAAGGAATTGAATGATAGCAAATAAATAATATGCTACTATCACTAAATATCAACTTCAGACTGCCCCCCATCTGAAAACTTCCTCCTTGAGAGGTGATAAAGGCATTAAAATGGCACTAAATTACCAGTTATTAGTCTTACCATTTATAAAAACTTTCAAATAGAATGTAATCCACCACAGCATACTTGCATGAAAAGGCAGTTAACTTTCTGGCTGGAAATCTTAAATTAGAACACATACATTGGAAGGCAAATTAATTTGCATTGGTTTTATTCCATAATTAAAAACCAATATTTAGGGGGTCAAACCAGATACTAATACCCATGGTATGTAACACTGTAAACACTTTCTATCTAATGCACTTAGCTTTGCTCTGGTAATATGAAAAGAAACCCCTTAATATAGCTCAGTTGCATTAAAAAAAGAATGGTCAGAATTTTTTTTGCTCATAGTTGTTTGTACACTGCTTATGCATGCACTGCCCATTTGTACTTTTTTCCATATAAAATTTTCCAACTCAAATGTGGCAGCTGCTCTTAAATCCCATAACTCATGAGAAATAGGCCACATCTTTTTTTGATTCTGTCAGACGATGGCCCATTTGTCAAAACGCTCTAGTTACAGCTCCAATGACCACTTTGCAGTTTAAGGGCAGTGAAATGGAAAATAAAAGAAAAAAATTATACCAGGACAAGAAAAAGTTGTATACCTGAAAAGCCCTGTTCTTTGCATTTGCTAATATGCAATATTAAGAGTGTCCAATTCAACAATAGACATGCCAGTATCTGAAAGTTCATGAAACTATAACCCATACATAAATTATCTATTACTTCTTGCATCAGAAACTCCAGTAAGAGAATTGAGTCAGCTTAGTTTTTGAGACATAAGTGATTCTATAAACAATGAAGAGGCAACCAGGTCTAACACCTTCTCCACAATGCTTCCCTGCATTGAAAAAGAAAAATAGAATGACAAGGAAAGGGAAACACTGTTAGCAGGCAGTCACTACCCAGCAGGCAATATCAGTAAAGCCAAGAAACCTGAAAAAAACCCCAACAAATTCTTGCCAACTCCGCTGAATTCTTCCCATTGCCTTCCATGCAAGTCTTCCTGTTCTTTGTCTAGGCTGACACTGGAAGTGATGAGTAGGGAAGGGCCTTACCACTGTAAACTGGCAGTATTTCTAGCACAGAGCAGTTAACCCAATGCTGTGCTTCCACCTCTGGAAACAGGCAGCTCTCTAGGTTTTAGAGCAGACTCTGGACTACTAAGACTAAAAAAATTTAGATTTAGAGCAGATTAAAAAAAAATATATATAGATTAATTATGACAATTGATTAAGCTGCTTGTGACCTGCAGAGATTTAGGCAACATACGAACTACAAAATTAATTGAAAGAGAAAAACACCTAGTTGAGTTTTTAACCACTAAAATTCTATGTAGTAACATTTTAGTTTTAGTTCTCTCAAAAAGATTTATTGATTTTGATACTTCTTTTCCTACAGAAATCATGATGATATTAAGTCAGCATTTACATACATTTTTTAATTGAAACTCTCTACGGCATTCTTTTCCATTTTATTTTAATTAATTAGAGGGCAGAAGGAAAAGAAAGTTAAAGTTTCTGATGTCTAGGGTTCCATGACATTTGAAGATAGAACCTAATGTCATCTCTTCTGAGCTCACTGTACATTAGAACAGAAAGTGTTTCTTGCCTATTATATAATTTTCAGTACAGTTTCTCTGTCTCTCTTTCCTCTTCTCATAAAATTTGTATTACACTCTGTTTTACCCAAAAATCAATGATAGGATGATGTTTCAGACACCCAGGGTCATATCCTGCCATGTTTTCATTTGCTAATCAATACCAGGGCAGAGCTTCCAGTGAAGAAGGTGTAACACAGAATAAACCACAGCTAGGGCACTGTAGGAATCATCTGCAGCATAATTCCAATTACAGGAGTAGCAGCTGGAGCTGGAGATGGGGAACTGCCCTTCCAGAGCTGGCAGTGCAATCACTGCTCAGAGCAGTCAAGGCACAATGCTGAGGCCGTAATGATTTGGATGTGAAAACAATAAAAAAGTATTTTTCATGCTTAATCAACAGGAGTGGAGGCTAAAATGTGCTTCAAAAGGAGAATGGAGATGTCAACTTGAAGTTCATAGTAATTCTAATTAAAGACAGGGTAAGACTAAAAGGTAGATTGCAACCTTCCATGCAAGATGAAGCTGGTTCACATTTAAACTGCATATGCTTTAATAGGAAAAGGACAATCATTAACAATATTAGGAATAACAAAAATAATAAGTATTTTTTATTAGCTTACCTGGTGAAAAAAAGAAGAAAAAAGAAAAAAACAAACAAAAACAAACAAAAAACCCCAAGACCAACCCCCCCCCAAAAAAATAACAAACATAAATAAAAAAGAAGAAAAATAATTCAAGCACCTTTTAATCACCAAAGTGGTGTGTTTCATGTATTATTCAAAGATAGTGCAAATAATAACTCTATATTTTCTTCATCCCTTTCAGTACCTGAATAGCAAATGTGATTCTGAAAAGGGGTAACATACACTAGGGTTTTAACCCACTAGAAAATCATACAGAAAGGACTAAGGTGACTCACAAGGGTGCACATTAAAAACTTTCAAAGCACAATGTTTGCCAGCAGTTTCACATCAGGCTCATCTTTGAAACATGTTAAAACCCATCTCTTTTCCTAGCAGACAAATTCAAATCTTTTTCATCATCTATAGGCAAACATATGTACAATGTGTGTATAGCACTTCAGTAATTTTATGGCATTTTATTTCTCATTTATACAGCAGCCTTCCTTTAATGCCAACATTTATTACTGTCTTTGGAAGTGCCCTCTGTCCTGATAAACTCATAATTTTCCTTTACACTCACTTTTGGAGCTGTCATCTGTTCTTTGATGAAATTTATCTCTGTGAGTGGGGAAGTTCGGATGAGGAATGGCGTTTTCTTTAGTTTGGAAAGATTTTCAGTACAATTTAGTGGAGCATAATGAGCTCAGCAAAGCTGGGTTTAGAGTTTCTGGAAGCTCCACATCTAGCCTAAACAAGCTGTCCTTGTCCTTGATTCCACTGTGTGGTCAGTGAAGGAAAGCTGACATTTTCACGATGAGGACAAACTGCTTTTTAGTTTTCTCTCTCTCTTCACACATCCTTGCCATCCAGTCATTTGCAGCAGGAGCTTCAGCCATGTGTTCTGATTAGATGCTTGAATTCAAGAGCAATTAATTCAGCCAAATGTGGGAGAGCTCACATTCCACTTTCTGCACTTTTCCTTTGGGATTTATAGCTACTTTATATGTCCAGTTGGAGAATCATCCTTGAACTGAGCCTGAGGTTGTCTCTTCCATTTAATTTCTTATTTTGTTAACAAGTTAATCATTTGGTGACACTTTATTAAGAGGGGAAATAACTAAGGACAAAAATGCAATTATGGGCACCCTATGAAAATTATTAATCATAGAATCCTGTAGGTTGGAAAAGACATTTAAGATCATTGAGTTTAACTATTGACCTAGCTCTGCCAAGTCCACCACTTAACCATGTAAAGTTAATTTTGAAGGCAATATCTAAGCTTGATGAATAAAACATACATTTTCTGATGGTTTTTAGTGGAAAATATTCTATTTTCACCCTCTTCAAAGTCTCCTCCTCCTCAGTTCATGACTAGAGAACATAATGAGATCATGCATTTTTTCTCACAGTGTAAACACATAAATGAGTTCTGTAATGAATACATGTAAAAAAACCTCACTTGCCCAGACAGAAACCCATGGTGACACGTACACCATCAGGATTTCACAGAAAATATCTCTGAACAGTGTGACAGTGCCTTAGGAACAGGTCCTTCAGCCAGGTCTAACTGTGCAGTGATTCCAGAAGGTGAAGCAGTATTCCCATGGCAGCACATCAATTCTACCCCAAGCAGAGCAGCTGCTCCTTGCAGGAAGAGCTTATCCACTGAAACATTCTGCTGTGATAGCACAGCTACACTGTCTTGGGAATCCAAAGCATCTCCCAGCTGTGCTGATCTATGTTTACAGCCTCAGGACTGATCACTTCATTTTCTGTAATCTAAGTTTCATTTTCAAACCTAGTAATTGCATTTAGGAGCCATCACCAATCTGAACAGGACTTGAACAATTTGGAGTGACTTGGAATAACTTCCTGAAATTGTGTGACCCTAGCCATACCAAATTTAAAACTGAATCTCTGGAATTTTCCTCTGCTTTGAAACAGGACGTGTTCTACAGCAAATATACTGCAATTAAATCTTATTTTCAACTCCTAAATGCTGTGTACACAATATGTGTTACTTTCTAACTAAATTTGTGCCCTTCCACAATTTTCTTCCCATACATTCTCCCAAACTGATTTCTCAACTTTAGCTGCTTTTTCTAACTATCACAGAGCAAGCAAAAATATTAAGGTATGAGTTGAAAGCAAGGTTACTAAGAGGGATTCAGATCACTACATGACCTATAGCTCCTTTTCTTTAATTATCCAAACATAATTTGGTAGAAGTACTAGTAAAGATGAAAAAAAAGGGCAGCATGCTCAAGGTAATTGAATCAAACTGACCAGAACTGTGAGAGATCTATATGGACAGGACAGAGGTATCTGCTGTAACATTCTGCTCTGTGCTATTTAATTAAAAAGCCTTAATATCCATTTCCATTTTACCATTCACACATTCACACAGTGACAGCTCAAAAATAACCCTATAATAGTGAGATAATGGAATGGAAAAAAGGGAGCTGATATGGGTTTAAATTCAGTAAGAAAGAGATGTTAACAAGATATCTAGGAATAATAACTGGATATGGGTTTGGCTACTACACCAGAGTGCTGAGTTTTATTACCTGATTTAAAAACTCAAATTTTTTTTTTAATATATTGCAGTTAACAAAGTGGTCAAAGTAGTAGCAGGTTACATTTTTTCATTGGCACTTTGGTTACAAGTACAGATTGAGTTCTTTATTTTTCTAAGAAATTTCTCTTTCTTGTAGCCTCTCTTTTTAATCTGTAAATCAGCATATCATATACAGAAGTAAAGTAGCAGTCAACTAGTAATTTTTCATGTTGAAAAAAAAAATCACTTAAACTAGCAGACAGCTCTTGCACTAATTTCAGACTACATGCTATTTCAAAGAGACAGCTATAAAAAAGTGTGTTATTATATGTTAAAAATAAATTAACTGGAAAGGTATTTTCAGTATGGTTTGTATCATCCCTGAAAACATAGTTAACAACCCAAGAAAGCAATCAACACCATAACTAGAGATTAAAAACTAAAGAGATGAATAAAATTCTAGAAAAGTGTATTATCGTTGTATTATGCTGTCCTAAAAATAAAACATGTCTTAAGCAATCATGCAGGGGAAATAATTAAAACAAGATGACAAACAGCACCAAAACTACTTCAAGCATTTGACTGTCAAAGAATCTGATTGTCATAAACTGATAAAACTGTTTTTACAAACCTGTTTAGAATTGCTCTCCACCTTCTGCACAAGGCTTTCCCAGCGCTGGGCAAAATTTTCAAGACGACTTTCCAGCTTTTGAGCCACTGCTTTATTTTTCACAGCTACAAGGAGATCTTGGCTGAGCAGCTTCAGCTTACTCATCATTTGCCTTTTCATTTCTAGATCTCCTTTTAGGATCTGTTAAACAAAGTAACAGAAGGAAGAACACACATTCATACAAAAAAAAAAAAAAAAAAAAGAAAAACCCAACAAAAGCCAACCCAAACCAAAACACCCACAAAAAAGAAAACCAACAAACTTAGAAGAAAAATCACAAGGAAAATATCAGAAAGAACTGAAAATGCGTTAAGGGCTCCTATAATTCCATAATGTTGTTTCCATAAAAACTGCTGGCAGAGCTTCCATAGCAACATAACATGGCAGGTGGAGCAGCTCCAAACTTCAGAGCAGGCTTCAGGTGATGACATGAAACAAAAAGCTAACAGTTGTGTAACAGGAATAACCTTAAAACTGCACTCATGTTAACAACTATATCAACATGACAAACAATATTTCTTAAGTGTCAATGTACTTTTTTATATATTGCATATTGAAAGAAGAGTTTCCTAAAAGAAGTAATGTCTGATCTCAATCCTGGATTAAAATATGCAAACAAAAAAACCCCAAACAAAAAAAACCCAAACAAACAAACAAAAAAGCAATAAAAACAACCCCCCCCCAAACAAAGAACCCCAAACAAACAAAAAATCAAAACACACTGGTGCCAAGGGACCTTGAATCTCTGAGATCTATACATGCAAACCTCCCTATGAAACAGCCTATTCACAGATCCAAGGATCATCCACAACTCCAGTTCTTACCTGGGTTTACTTTTGAAAGCCTTAACTGGTTTACTCCACTGATTTTCATTCCTTAAATATTTGTTCTCTATACCCTAATCCTGTAACTATAGCCAAACTTTGAATTTTCTTTGCAGTTGTGGATTGCATTCTAATCCCCAAGGCATGAAAAGGATAATCAAGCAAGTGGTTAGACAACAAAACTTAGTCTACATATACTTTCCTACAGCTATATAATCCAAAACTGTAATTAAAAATGCAACTCAGCCAAAGAAAGATTCATTGTCTTTGTAATCAGCACTCTTTCTAATCAGATTTGATTTAAAACATCATAATTACTAAGGGTAGGTACAGTTAATATCAAAATTTAAATTGATGTATCCATGAGAAGTAGAAGCTAACTTCATATTGAAGAATCTCTTTTCAGAGTAGTAGGAGACCTAACAGATGGACGAAAGTAGATGCAGACCAGTTTAGCATGTTAAATTTCAAGCACTGCTATATTTGACCTTTTTTTACGCCTACAGCACCAGAAAAAGATCATGTGGAAGCCACCATACGCTGAGTGGAATAATAAAAAATGATATCCTGTGTAACATTAGTTAGTTCTGAGGAGCAATGTTTGATTTCCAATCACCCCAGCCCACAACAGCTGGATAACACACCCAGAGCTCAGCATCAATCCAAGACACCTGGAGCACAAGCAGGAAGTGAAATAGCACAAAAAGAAGGATGCTAAAAATTTCTTTTAAAAATACTTCTCATAAAAATTTCTTTTAAAAATACTTCTCACTGCAAATTAATATGCTTTTGTGACAGCTACAGTCAATCTGGAAAACTATACTGGGAGATTCTGTTTTCACATTACTTCATTAAAAACCTGTCAGTGTGCCACAATAACCGAAAATATGCTCTGGGGTTTTTTTTCCAGTACAATAATAGATCTAAAATAATAACAGTAACTTCAAAATATGTAATTTTCCAATTTGGAAGATAAGGCATGGTAGTTTTTTTATGAAATTAATTATCATATATATCAGTTATAACTTCTGCTAAGTACATACTATAAACCCTGATATCAGAACATTATAAAGTGATTTCCTTATTTTTGGTAATGAGGTTCTGTTTTTTGGGGTTTAAGTTTTTACTTCTTGCTTTTTTATTTCCTTAAAGATCAAAAACTTACTTTGCTTACTGTAACAGTCTAACCAGCAACACCCACTGTAAAGTTAATTTTCAGCTGCAAATAAATTTATTCCAGTCTAAAATAGTGTAATATCTAACTTATTTTCTATATGTAAAAAAAGCCAAAAAGTTTGGGTGAAGCAAGAAAATATTTATAATAATGGAATATATCCTATAAATATATAGAGGTAGATCTTGTATACTTGCACATCTTTGCAAGAGCTCTCAGTATTTGTTGCAACAAAAAAAAAGACTTGATTTTACAGACTACAAAATTAGGCCATGAAAAAGAATCTATCAAGCTTGTGCCATACATGGCACCAAAATATCACCTCATTTCTACATTCTCAGTGCATCACATCTTCCAGCTATTCCATGTTCTGTTTCCCCCTGCAACTTATGTAAGAATTAAAGAGTCAATTATAGACTCAGTGAAAAAAAGGTAGGTGGAAAATTTAAAAAAAAAACAAAACAAAACACAAAAAGCCCAGTTGTTTTAAGGAATTATTTTAAGAACTGGAGCGACTACCCGCTGAACAGTTTTTCTGACCTTTAAACTTGGAAGATCCCAGAAGGGAGGTGATGACAAAGATAAATTTTCACATACAATGCTGAATAAATCCTTTGAAATAAACTGCAGTCTGTGGAGGACCCCACACCAGAACAGGCTGGTGTGCTCTGAAGGAAGCTGTGACCCTGTGGAGAGCCCACACTGGGGCAGGCTCCAGTCTGTGGACATTAATGTGATATAAAAGTCAAGTTTTTTTCCTACTGTGAACTGGATCTCAACAGACCTGTTTCACATCAGCCCCTTTAGAATGCTTAGGGCCTTGTAGGAAGGTTGTAGAATTTCAAATCAAGAGTCACAATGCTAAATGGTTTAATAAATTACCTTCAGAAATTTCCTTCCAGTTAAAGAGACTGGCTAAAGAACACAACCATAACCTGCCAAAATTCTACACATAAGTGAGGCAGAAACATTGGCTGGAAGCTCTTATGCCATATTACAATATCAACTCCAAAATTCTTAAGGTCTAAAAGGAACAACTAGTGCTGTCATTTTTTGCTGGAATGACTGGACAGCTGAGGGATCAAGATATCATCCTGTTAAGAATAAAAATGTCATTAAGTGAAAAGTTACATTTTTATTCTCTCACAGACTTGCTTTTACAATTCAGACCTAATTATAAGAGTGATCCTTGGTGACAGCTTCTCCTCTACTACATTCAAACACATGTCAAAATAAAATACACCAAAATACAGGCACAGTGTGTCAGGGTCAGGAGAGTATGACCCCATTTTTCCCTTTTTCTAAAAGCCAGTCCAAGAGGAGAATATATTCCCTTAAAAAAACCCATCATGTGGCTGACATATTAATAAAAATTCCTGAAGGTTCAAACAAGATTAAAGCAGTAAATTGTCAAATACAAAACTTCTAGCAATTTGGCATTGTGTGAATGTAAAAAAACATACTCACTGGAATTTGGTAATGACTGCTACTAGGTCTAAAACCTCAGAGGGGAATTCCAAAAGTAAAAGCTTCTGTTCTGCTCCAAATCACTAAAGAGGCAGTTTTATTCTAGGATACCACAAATATTTAAATACCTAAACTATTGCATTATGAATCATGTTTCTAAAAAGATCAAAGTTATCCTCGTGTAAAAAGGAGTAAGATGCAATTAATATCTCCACCTGTTCTTTTAAGGATGACATGATTCTTTTTGAAGGTCAGGGCTATGGATAAATAATTTTATTTATTATTTTTTGTTGTTCACTCAGTCTTCTGAAAGATCACAATTATTTCGTGACAATAATACTTAACCGTTTATACTGGTAGCATAATTTTTAAATAATTTTACCTTCATAAAAGGTTCATTAGTGAAACTTATGAAAATATTACAGAAGTGTTTCCTTTTTAACATCATATTTTCAAGCAACTCTAAAAGGTACTCAAACTGCCCTATCTTTAACACTTGCAAAACTTTAATAGTCTACTACTTCACAATTTGTGACAAACATCTCAACCCTCTGTACCTATGTCCTCTAGCAACCTTCTGAAATCCAAAAGTATACATTTTTTGAACAAATTTCAATTTCTTGTAATACATTTTTCTTCATGAAGGTACTCCAACACATTCTGAGTTTTCTCTAATCCATTACGTGTTAAAAGCCTGGCTTGAAGTCAGCTTCAAGACTGCTCACATGTTAGATTGCTAGAATTTCCAAGTATATAAACAGAGCCACTACGTTTTCCTTCCTTTACAAAGAAGTTTACTAAATCCTAAGCAATCTTTAATCAAAATCCAAGTCTGTACTTCTAAATGCATATTTTTACACCCATAAAGTGTTGCAGAAAGAAAAAGAAGGGAGAGGGAAAAAACCAAACATATGTAGCAGTGTAATAATTAGTGTCTCAAGATTATGCTAAAAATCAATCCTTTGGTTCTTAAATTAACTGAGTTATTCTATGAATCAAAGGAACATCTACCAGTAATTCTAGACCAGCTACAATGGAATTAAACAATTAGTCTGTGAGTTCATTTTTTTTAAGCTTTATACATTTGTTTATGTGAGGACAAAATGAAGTAAATTTTAGAGGCATCACAGTTACTCAAACCTCACAGACATTTTATCAACCCAGAGTCTGAATGCTTCTACTTTTAATACAGAATGATTAGAAGGAAATAAATCCTAAATTAATTTTTAAAAATTTAAGGCTGAGCCTTAGATAAATATAGCCAAGCTATGTATATCCAGTAAAAATATTTAATGAACAATATATAATTAATTGGTATTTTATATTTATTACTTAATAATTAATGATAGCTAATTAATAATAAAGAAATATTCATGTCTGAAAAGATCAGCAGGTTTTTTTTTCCCGATAAAGCAATAATTCACCTACTTTAACCAAAGCATGGACATGAGTGTTTCCTTTGTCCTAAATAGCACACAGAGTATTATTTTCTTTGCAGAAGTCCTACAGCTGTAAAGCCATTGGCAAGTGTAGGCTGCCACAAGTTTTTCACCTCTACAGAAACAGCCAGACCTACATTCCCTCCATAAAGACCACACAAGGTGGAGAATTTGCTGAAGAATGTGAGGTGGAGGATGAATAGGGTACATTTTGTGCATGTAACTCCATTTCTGATGCTGAGTTGAAAAGTAACCTAACTGTACAGTTCTAAAGTAACCTAACCTTCTGTATGACAGGGTTTGCTGAAGGATAACTTATTCATGTGCAGATTTCTTTGCGCATAAAGTCTCACATGCAATATATTCACCAACAGTATCAACAAAGCAACCTTCACTGTTAAATTATACATATTTTTAAGACAGAAAAATTTCATGAACTTTTGACCAAATATACAACCAATAAAAACATCTCTGTTGGTTCCTTTATCAGCAAGGCTATGGACCAACTATTCCATCACAGGAGGTGAAGCCCACTCCCAAAGTATGAAACCGTATGGTCTGAGAGTGAGGTAAAGCCATATCCATGCAGACTCAGATTAAGGAAGTGGAACATAAACCCAGAAAAATGAAAAATACATACAGCCAATTTGCTTAGATTGGTCAGCATTTCATTCTGATCTCCAAAGCCAGTTGCCTGGATTTTGCTCACAGCATCCTCTTTCTCAGTAAGCCACGCATCAAAAAGGCACTGGAATAAAATTGGAAAGAAAAAGCTTCAGTCAGACCTTGCCTATATATATATACAAAAATACAATATATTATTATATTTTCTATAATGTGTTGAAGAACATTCCAATCTATAACTTATTAAAAAAAAAAAAAAAGCTATTCACCTGCTCCTCTGCAAAATGCTGCCATTTACGAAGAATATCCTGCAGAAGGACCCATCGTTCTTCTGTCCATCTGCAGATGGCTGCCCACCGTTTTCCAAAGTGCTGGAGAGAAAGAAACACAAATGTGTGTTTAGCATTTATTTACATTTTTTTTCCTTAACAAGAAAGCTGTTTTCCCTATGGCATTACAAAATTTTTATGGAAATATTCTCCTTATTCACTTTTTTCCTCAGGCATTTGTCCTTAAAATATGTTGTATATCACACTGAAATGGATTTTAGGCCCATTTGAAATGAAATCAAAATGAAGATAATAGGGAAAGCAACAGATCTAAACACAGAATATTTTAATACTAATCTACAGATAGTTTTCTAGCAAGTCTCTACTACTACACTTTGAAAAAATCACTGTATTTAAAAACTTTAAGATGTCCAAAACAGAACTACTTGAAACATAAACATGACAGGCAAAGATGTGGCCACAGCAAAGACAAAAAGCTGGCTTTTAAGTTGCATGATCAATACAGTTGGTCAAAGCTCTTACCTCTTTTAAAACATTGCAGTTTAAAAAACCCCATGCTTATAAACTTCCACAGTTTTTAAGTTTTTCAGCACAAATCCCACTGAGGTTTCCCAGGTATTTGTACCATTTGCCACTATGCATGTATTTAAATTACAGAAACAACAACCACCTTGTTCTCTTCTCCCTTATTTTAGCTGATGATAGAAAATTTTTATTGCAATGATTTATAGTGACTTAATTACCCCTAGACATCAAATACAAATTATTCAGTTGCTCCCAAATAAAAAAAAAATCTTATAAACACCTGAAAAATACTCTATGTTACTGCGTTCTTAATTTTTCATCCACTTCAAAGCATATCCTGACAAAAAGATAATAGTTTTTCCTTTTTTCATACTCAGTTATTTACTTCATTATTCTTATGAATCCCTAATAACTTGAGATGTTACATAATTCTATATATTTTGTATTTCTATATTCCTCATAGACCATAACTTAATGCTTACAAAAATGCAGCAACCTTTTTTTTTCCTCAATAATTTGACAAGATCTTTTATTTTAATAAAGTAAGTAAAATGACCAAATAACTGCAGTCATAAAAGTGCCGATTCTGTTACCAACCTTAAACCTAGTTATATTGCTTCTTATAAGAAGCAATAACAACCATACACTGTTTGGTTAAGACACGAAGTTTCAAGTTAAAAATATCATGTTAGGACTGTTATTTATAATAATTTATTTATTATACTAAATCACATGGTGCTCAACTTTAACTCTCTATTCACATCAAACAGTAGCCTGTGCGATGCCCACAAACTCAGACTGCTTCAAGTGTTCCTAACATCTGGGAAAACAAATTTTCAGAGAAATAGATTGAATCCACACTAATAAGTAAAATGCCCTCCTGTATAAAAAAAAAAAAAAAAAAAACAACAAGCCTTTTCTTACAGCCCTAACAAGAATTTTTAGAGAAATTTGCATGCAAAAGAAGATTCTTTATTTTTTCTTCTCAGAGAACACTGAAAGAATATTTTATATGACTATCAAAAGCAGAAGGGGAAATATTTTAGTCTAAAAGGTCAAAGTAAGGAAGCACAAGAACATAAGAAAATGGGTAAAACATAACTCTTGGGAACTCTGGAATAAAATCATGTTCTGCAAGCCTGCAACTGACAGAATTTGATAAATGTTTTTCTAATCAGGTATTATTATCTACTGTTTAAAATAATGAGAAAAGGAGGGAAAATGTTTTTGCCTATATCTAAAATTAATTCTTTACAAGTGAATATTTAACCCATTCACAGAATTTCTACCAAAAACCAAGTTTTGTCTGCAGTTCTCAAGTGCTCAACGTTTCATCACACAGAGTGGGAGAAACAAACAGGAGGAACTGGGAGCACTGGTCAGGTCCCACAGCTGCGATATTAATGAGACTTTGTGGAATGAGCCCCATGGTTGGAAATCTGTGATGGAGAACTCCAGGTGGCTCAGGATTCCACAGGGAATTAGCAGAAATTTCTAGATCAATATGGGAGATTTCAACTTCCCAGGCATCAACCAGGAATACAGTTGTGATGAGCAGGTGTTGGAAATCCCTTTAGTCTGTAGGATACAACTTCCTGTCAGAAGTGCTCAGTGAGTCAACTGAAATAGCCTATCCATTCTGTAATATTCCTCACTTATTTTGATGTATTTTTACAAGAACAGCCCATATTTCATCTTCAATCAGTGGACAGTGTCCTGAATAATATGAACATATAATCATGGAAAATACACTCTCAGCTCCTTTCCCCCAGCAGGAGAATAAGCCATCAAGTAGTATTTGATACACTTTATACAGATTTCCTTCTAGCACAGACCCTGACCCTTGGAGCCTGGGGAAGCCTCTGATTTGAGCTAGACCACAAGAGTCCTTAAGAGACCTGTTATCTGCTGGGTATAATTATGGAAAAAAGAAAATCTCCCTGCACTCATGGTTTCTGTACGTTATCCAGCCATTTCTCTGAGCTGAAGATAATTTCCCCATTTTTCCTGTAGAGACGAGTCAAAGTACAGAAACAGTTTTGCTACTAATGTGGTTTGATTTTGCAGCACTAAATATAGATTTGAGCCTTATTCCATAGCTGCCTTGGTAAATCTAAGGATTGAGTTTAATTGGGGTCTTGGAGTTTTAAGTCTAAATAGTGGATTCTCAGTAGCAGCATAAACAGAGCCTCTCAATATGCCCCACATTGATATGGGAAGTAAGCAAAGTAACTTAAAAAGTAGTTTTAATATTCACACTCACCCAGTCTAGCTGTAGCCTCTCAAAGTATCTTAGAGGGACAGCTGCTTCTAAGAAAAGCCCTGAAACTGTGTTTAGTTTTAGTTTTCCAAGCAAGGGTAAATTTTCAATTAATAATTTGTTTCAGGAGACACTTTTGGCTTCCATGCCATTAATTGCCTCTTAAATAGATATGTTTTTGCATAGGCAATAAAACTTAAAAACTTTACTGTCGAAAAGTAAGAACTTTACTGTTGAAAGAAATGAACTTCACTGTTCATTTAAAATCAGCATAGATTCTTTTCAACCTTCTTGAGACATCTCAAAAAGTTCATTTTAGTCTTTAAAGAATTGTCTCATACAAATATTTGAAAAAAATACACATTATATGTGTAGATATTTATATGTATGAAAATATTTCAGGAATCACCACCTCGAAAAGAAATGCAAAACTGAATTGTACCTGCTTGGAAAATGCATCTTGGACTATTACGTGAAAATAAATGCTCATTTTATTCCTAATCGGATCCCCACCATCATCTCAGTGAGCCAGTCTTATTAAGCTCTTTTGTCTGATAGTTCATGCTCTTGTTTTGTTCTACTTTTAGAAGTCAAACTGACAGATACATAATCAAGCTTGGAACTTCTTTCCATTGTGCTCTTTGTGAAATGCTCTAATGGTTGTGCCTGTCAACAGATTTTATCTCCTGTGCTTATATTCAGACTGCAAGTGATAGGGGAAAAAAAATTTCAAAGAGTTCCTGTACACAAAAAAGAGGTGCAACATTTCACTAGGAGAGCAGGTGGACTGTGGTAACTCCCTTCTCCTGGGCATTCAAGTTAAAAGTTTCCACACCTCCCTATCACTCTCAACCCTGTAGCTTTATACCTGTACTTGGGTTTTATTAACATCTGTAGTGCTTCTACATATTCTTTGACTTACAGAGCAATTGAATTATGTTTTCTCTTAAATTCTTCTGTAAGAAATTATGAATAAAGGACATAATGAAAGAGCAAATGTTCTGTTCCACAGCTCCCCATGCTCTGCTCAGAGAGGCTGTGCTGCAGGGGGAGGGGACTCAGGAATTGTCTTTCTAGCATCTTTCAAGGAATGTACTTTTTCCAAGACAATAATTGGTGTTTTCTGCACTAGTACAGTTACAAATTGTGTATTTCCACAGTGTTTAATTTACATTAATTATTCATTATGTTTCTTTTAGTTATCGCAGTATTGTCTGAGTTCTATTTCATGCTTTATTCCAATATGGATCAGCCACAGATGTTGCACAGGATACTAATGGTACCTTTCCAATGATTGTAATAATATGGGATGAAGCTGTGTCATCTAACGTTCTTTTATTCTTCTTTCTGAAGATGCAAAATTAGATTCTCTAACAATCCACTAACCATTCATTTGTTTTTCACAATATTAAAAACTAATTTCTACATCTTTTTGTTCGTGAAGTGCCATAATTATCAAATACTGTTAATTATTTTCTCTGAAGAGAGAAAATAATAGAAGAAGTTCAATTTAAGACATTTTACAAGTTTAGTTTTGCTTCAGGAGCCAGGTTCTTGCTAGGGATCTTCTTTATTACACTGAACAGTTCCATGGAGCTGGCTGGCAAGATATTCTGAAAGGTTAAGGTTATTTTGGGCAGGTGCACCACAGCTCTGAAACTTAAAATGATGTCAAAAGGAATTAATAATTATGGATCAGTAGAGGCTGTATTGTTATCTTGGCTGGTTGTGCTCCTTGAGTGACTAAGCAGCTGCAGAAGAGAAAACTCAGAATTACATTTGAAGTAGGGCAGGGCTCAGCATCTTAGTAAAACCAACTCTGAATTCTAATTACTGATTTACTGGTATTGGTACCCAAATTAGCTACATTCAAGGCAGCATACAGGTATCTGTGCTACAGCTATACCTGCTGGAACGTAGATAGCTTCTCAAGAGAAACCTTGGGTGTAAATGATTTAGAACCCACAAACTCCTATTTCCTTAGGTAATAATGCAAAATTAAAGACAAACAGTTTCACCTTTCTGAAAGAGAAAACTAGAAAAAATCTTGGTTGTAATATTGCAATTCCTCTTGAGCTGTGTCCCTGGAGAGCTGACCACCAACTCAAGAGAACCCTCCTTCAATGTATCTCAACATTAACTATTGGCTTTCGTTTATCTAATTGCATTCAGAAGTTAAGTAAGAGCATTGGAATATGATTAATACAGCAACAGCAGAATTTTTAAGACACAGTTGAAATAATGAATTGTTTCTATGGTCAAGTTAATACTTTAAAAACTTTTAAAATATCTTGGCTGCTAGCCCTATCACAAATGTATCTCCAATGCGTCTTTTAAAGATACTCAAGTGATTGTATTTAGAAAATACAATTAAGTTATACTTCCCTTCTTTTCGTAAGAAACATGGCCATGAGAAATTAATGGGGAATAAATTATGATTTTCCCCTCAAAATTGCTTTAGGAAAATGCAGAATAATCTTAATGTTTCTTGATAACCATTATTTGTCTACAAATTATGATCCTATAGATCATGAACACATTTACTATCTGGTTTTGCTTTTTAAAATTTTCTTTTTCAATTTTTTGGGACCAGCATTGCCATACAGTCATTACCTGAAGCTGCTCTTCCAATGCAGCAGTAGCTCTGTCACCACTGTTTTCATCTACCACCACCACCATATGAGTTAGGGAATTCACTTTTACTTGTTCCTGCTCCAGATCTTCTTGAAATGCCTATAATGAAAGGGTATGTGTTAGAAAATGTATTCCAAAGTAAAAAAAAAAAAAAATCAAATAAACAAACAAACAAAAAAACCCCTACCAAATAAAGTGTACCATTGACTGGTTAACTTGCATAAATGCCTATGAGAACTCCAGAGCTTAAAGTTACTCACAAGTCCTGACTCATATACAATATTCCAGACTGAAAATTTTGCTTGAGAAATAATTTGTTGAGTTTATTTAGCTGATTTACAGCTAGTCACTTAATATGTATACATACCAATAGCCAGCAGATTTTAAATAGCCACTGAATTAAATTTTTGTATTTTATAATAATACATGAAAATATTTTTTTCAATATTGTAATAATAAAAAAAAATCACACAGATTTCATTAAACAAACACATGCTAACTTCAGTTTGGAACCTTTGGTAGGAGAAAACTGCTTAGGAGGTGACCTACCCTTAGGAAACTCATGCAGCACCCTACTTACACTCACTGCAGAAACCAGGAAACCAAGCAAGAAACAAAAGGATTTCATGATTTTTGCACACCTGATGAAAACATTGCTTGCCCTTTTGTTTTTTTGCCCCTAACTCACCATAAAAGATGGAGCCCCTCCTATACTCAACAAAATCAAAATCAGCCCAGCTCTGGCACCAGGGAACTGAGCTGCCAGACCTAATTTCTTCTTCCCTTGCTCTGGTGCAGCAAGAGGACACAGAACAAAAATGGAAGGAGTTAAAGTAGTGTTGGTTATGAAAATTAAAACTACAGAGAAGACCTCATACTACTCCCCTAAAAAAAGACCCAAAATCCCAAGGTATCCAGGACTCCATCTTGCCTGTCACACGTTTTAGGTGTCTCTAACTTGCTTCAAACAAAAAAAAAAAAAATAATTAGGGAAACCAAAGTCCTGGATTATGTTCTCAGTACTTTAGCTGAGTGTGTTCTAGGGACTAATGCGTATGTAGTGGGATAGGTACAGCTTGAAAAATAACATGGCCTTGTCACAAGAGAAACCTTGGCTGCGTTACCTACTATGCTGAATTTCACAATGTTTTGATTTTCTGCTGCTTTTTCAAGTGGAGTAACTCACTCATGTATGAAGTCCTTGCAGAACATAAGTTCATGCACTCTAAAACTCTTTCTCATAAGACATGTTACTTTCATTTAAAAATTTTAAAAAATTAAAAACCAAAACATAACGTGGTTATAAGCAATAGGAAAGGAATTCACAGAATACTTTGTTTTTAGGGCATAAATATTTTACAACCCGTTTCAGAGTTAATTTCTTTCATGGGCATGTTGAGACAATATAAGAATCCTCCTTTTTCTGACTTTCATGCCTGTGAGCACCATTTGCTTCAAAGAGCTAGACTATAAAATAATTCTGAAGGACTGTGAAGTATACTAAATTGTTAGAGTCATCCCTGGAATTTAGACTTCTCAACATTTTATGATGCAGTTTTTGAGAGGGAAGAGGAGGCAGAGCAGTCAGGGATTAGTGTGTATAATACAGCTCACTTTCCCCCACATTCAACCCCCTCTTTAAGCCATACAAAACAAATTCATTGCTCCCCAAGTCTACAGCCATGGACAAGGTGACTTTAATTTCCTTATTAGCTGGAATCTGACAGATGGCATCCCAGAACAAAGCCAGAGTTAGCAGGAGTGGATGGCACTTTGGAGGTGGGAGTCTCACACACATTGTGAAAGACTTGAGAAGTCAAGGAACAGATGAACCAGAAAGTTGACTCATTATCTAATCCTCAGGCAGATTCAATTTACTCTGAAGTAAAAAACTGTTCCTTATAACCCAAGTGTCTATTTTTACCATGAAATTCATTGGTGAGAATTGTTTGTTTACAGGATCTTGTTGGAACAGGAATTTATGATGGACAGTTTCAAGGCAGAAGCACACTCTGTTCAAATAATTTAAATGGTAATTTCTAACAAGTTGCCCTGAGCTTATTAGAGGAATACCAAATTTTCAGGGACTTAAAATGTAAAATGGACCTAGATGTTGATGAATAAAGATAGAAACGAGAGAAACTCATAAAACACTACAAGTCCTTTAACTCCTATCTATCAGATAACAATTTACACAACTCAAACACAATCTAGTTCAAAATTAATAAAAATGCCTACCAAAGTCATCCAAATACCCAAAGACAAATCCTTCTTGATATTTGGATGCTGTATAATTATCTCATTTTACCTTTGAAAATTTGAAGTAGTAAAAATCCTGGCACTAAAAAAGGCTTAGACGTTTTTAGAAACTTAAGGAAACTATAAAAATCTACCAACTATACATGGCACAACATTAATAAATAATAATAATATAAATGGTATGATAATAAGAAATAATAACTGGAATAAAAAGCCAGTGTAATTAAAAGCACAATTTTTAAATTTATTATAGTATTGCCAATACCATATTCTGCTTGGACATCTCAATAGTCCTTAGATTTTTACTGAGAATTAGCTTGCTTCCTTTACAAAATTATAAGGAATAGATGACTGTAACAGGAGAAAAAATACTTAAAACGCTACTGGGAAAAAAAAATTTAAAAAAATACTGAAATGTTTAACTAATCTTTCAAATATATTGACTATGCCAGATTTCCTACCATAACTCTGTACATTCCTAATGACATAAAATTTTCTTCTTCACCACTTCAGTCCACTCAGAAAATTTTCAGTACTATCAAGATAATAATCTCATCTATTTTGGACCTAAGCAGCATGCTGAGAAGAATGTTGTGTTCTTTCTCTGGTCTGATTTTTGGCTGCCATACCCAATACATATTAGTGGGGGGTTTTTTTTGTGGTTTTTTTTTTTTTTTTTTTTGTTGTTGTTTCTTTTTGATTTTTTTTAATACGTTCCATCAGAGAAACTGAAGCGTCAGTCACAAGAACTCGAGGCCAATATTTTGCAACATCATTTTAAAACACATAGAATAAAGAAATCTGATGTATAAGGGTAAAGAGAAGACAGAGGCAAGATGATAACAACCCAAACCTAACATGTTTGCTGGTCTGTTTCATTTGAAATGATGATTGCTTTTTATATTTCAAACTTTTGTTTCCTCTTATGAATTTACAAAACATTGTTTTCTGATTCAACCAGACTCATGTGAGACTAAGAGAAAATATGAATGGTTTGGGGTTTTGCTTTTTTATTTGATTGTTTAATAATGAAGCAATAAATGTCCTATTAAAAGTCCATTGTTTCAACTCTTGATACAGGATGTAGCTTTGCCACATGTAAAATACAATAAAACCATATTACACTTTCTCTCAATAACTGAAGGAATGGAAAACCCTGTTCTTACTTCTGAATAACACAAGGGATAGAGGAATACAAATGTAATTAAAATTAAATCCAAGCCATTTTATTTCCAGCATTTCTTGCTAAATTCCCCTTTGCACATGAAACAGATTGGAAAAGTAATACACATAAATAATGTTCACTAACTCAATATACCACAGTGAAGAACAAGCATGTGCAAAAGAGATTTCTGCATGTCTTCACTCAGAATCTTCAAATACAAGCTAATTACCTATTTTTCTCAGTATCAGAAAGAAGCAGCATGAAGAAATTGCATAAATACAGGTATTGCATTTTATGTTAGTATTCAAGCATAAAATGCATAGAAATAGGAGTAAAGTTATTCAAGTCTTAGTACTGATGTATTCAAAACCTTTCATGTTCCTTTCTCCAATTACCATTTCATAATTTCCTTCTGTCTTTTTTGAAAAGAAAATTTAATATCAGAAAGTGTCCTTAGCTAGCAAACCCACATACTGAAATGCATTATCTCCTCACAGGGCAAGCACAGACAGCACCAACAGCAGCAGGAGCTGCAGAATTTGTATTCTTCTTCAGTAGCACTCCTTAATCAGAATGCAAAGAAATCATCTTTAACACACAAGTGCATCATGATGTCTTTTGCAGCTTTTGACCTATTTTTAAAAGAACTGTAAAAGCTGATTTCAGTTTGAATTGTTTTTCAGGATGATCTGCCCTCTAAAACCTGGGATAGCACTGACACAGGCCAAGAAGCACCAGGTGTTAAAATCTCTCAAGACACCATGGAAAGGAACTGCTTTGAGCCATTGATGTAGAGACATTAAAAGGTCATCATATTAAATCTCCACCACCAGACAAATCACCTCTGTTTTCTATATTTTTCTGTGTTTCCTTATCATCATCATGTCCTGTAGACACATATAAAAATTTATTTTAAAATCTTAATTAATATGAAGCAAGGCATTCTAATCCAGTAAATTTATTCAAAGTACTACACAAACTACCCTCTCTCTCATTTTAGTTCTTAATTCTTCCAATTAAAAATTACCCTTACGTAATGTGGGATTAATTGGCCAAATTCCATCTTATTAAATTCCATCCATTCCTGAGTTTGGTTGGTTGGTTTTTTTTATTGTTTTGATACATTACAAAAAATTATTTTCTACTACTAGAAAGTAGTGCATTTTACAGTGCATAATATATATTCAGTGCAAATACATATTCAGGACCTCTGGAGTCCTAACAATATTATGTGATCTGACAACTGCATCATTGCTGCTACAACATGTAAGAGAAAACAACCAAGAAGAATACACAAGCATTAAAAAATCTGATATATTTTCATTCTAATGTAATGAAAAGATGTTACAGTTGCCTTGAATATTCTAGTATATTGCTTATACATAAAAAGAAAGCAATATTTTTTTAATATCAGAATAAAACTCACAGTTGTGATAAAGTAAGTCTACAAAAGCTTGTTAACTGTATAGAACAATAAATATTAAACCAAGATTTCATATTACTTTGCTATGCTCTAATGAAAAGAGTAGAGATTTTAAAATGTCAAACATCCAATTTGGTTTTTATGCCTTTGGAAGCCCATCACAGCATACCTTATGCTCTTCTATTTGGCGCTTTAGGTCCTCCAGATCTGGACCTAAGGGTTCCAAATCAGTTTTCTTTGTCCTTTCCTCTGTTTTAGTCAGCCATTCAGCTAGCTGGGCTAGCTGCTGATTCTGCAGATCCATTAGGACTTTATGTAAACTGTAAAACAAATAAAAAATAATTAGAATTTGTAAGTGAAGAAAATAACAAGCAGAAACATCTGCCCATATACTAACACATTTTCACAAGGTTACATTTGAAGGCAGAAGAGAAATATATATTTTTTCAATACATGCTTTGGAAGGGGAACAGGCTCCCCAGGGCAATGGTTCCAGCCCCCGCCTGACAGAGCTCCAGAAGTGTTTGGGGAATTCTCTCAGGCACTGAGGGTGACTGTTGGGGTCTCTGTGCAGGGCCACAAGTTGGACTTGATGATCCCGATGGGTCCCTTCCAACACAGCACATTCTATAGAGAAGGTAATTCAAACTTTTTGGAAATAGTTTTGATTTAGACAAACTGTTTTGAAGCTTTTTCTTTAGGAACTGATTACATCATATAATATTCTATCTGTTAAAGCTTTGTATTCCAGTTGCATTTCTATTAGAGTTGGAGTTCAATATTTCTACACTCTGTTTTTTTAAAGCTTGTTTTATTCACTACAAGTATTTTGAAAACTGCTCAAACAACTGATCTTACCAGGCTTCCTCTAATTTTAGGATATTAAATAGAAAAAAAATATTATATTTTCAGTTATTCAATGGAAAATACTCTGAAATTTTACCAGGAAATACTTCAGTTTTGCCTAATCAAATTGCATAGATAGATCCAAAAGGATCTGGCCAAAAATCCATGACAGATTTCCACTTAGACTTTCCTCTTCAGAAATTCTCGAAACTCTCCTTAACAAAAGCTTATCAACAGCATTTTTGGATTTCAGATTTGTTTTTTTCCATCTTTTTTTTTTTATTTTAAACCGGAAATTATATTTTAAAGATTTATTAAAACCACCAGAGGACTCATATAGTATTGTTTCCATCCTAATCTCTCTATTAATTACAGATAGAGTACAGAAGGATGATACCCTGTTTCAATAAAGCCCATGGTTTACAAGGGATTAGGGATCTTAGATCTCAGTCCTTCACTTTCAACTGTGCATTTTATTGTCTTGATGTTCTAAACTAAGCTATTATAAAGTACACTGCTTCATCCTGGAGATATTCCTCTTAGCATTAAATTAAATAAACTCTACAGAAAACCTGTTACAGTAAACTGAATTTAAGAAAAGGAAAATATGATGAAACAAATACTGTACATAATATTGACATTATTCTGAAGTAAGGAGAATAAACTTAAAAATTAAGTAATCACAAAACATAATTACAGTTCATTCCTAAAGCAAAAGAATGCTTCTTCTTTCTTACCATTCAACAGGTATTTCCTTGCTTTCAAAATACTTTTATAAACATCTGATATAAGGGTTTAATATCTATTGATATACCTCAGGAGATTATAAAAACTTTTGTTTTTATAGTACGGCCCGAATAAGTTTCAAATTAAAAAAAAATGAATTGAATGTGTTTTAAAAGTTGTTGAACTCCCCATAAAGGGGTAAATTGCATTGTTTTTCTCTACAGTGACATATTTATCACTGAGATGCTTTACTATAGAGAATACTGGGAAAGGCCAGGAGGAAGGATTAAAAAAAATAAAAAGACACTTTTCCTTCAGCACAGCTACCGCACTGCTTATTCAAAGAGTCAAATACTTTCAGTACATAGTGAATACATGAGAAATTCAATCTAGGCTGCTTTTACACAAAGGCATTTTAATGTTCCAAACTTCTTCTGACATTCTGACCTCCTAAATCACTTTTTATAAGACCCTTTCATTTTTATAGCATATTTATCAGTATATCTTCCTCCTGTCCTTGTTTATAACTTGCTTTTGTTTTCCTTGTGCTGTAAAGTGTGGTACCTTTTTTCACAATTCCTATTACCATTACAGAGGTCAGACAGTCTTGCTGTTCTCATCTTCACAAAAACCATCCCTGTTTGGCTAAACATGGCACTGTTGCCTTATGGACAAGATTACAGCAATCTGCTCAGAAGATTGTGCTTTAAATTGAAGTAGAAGATGGATACTGAGAGTTTAAATTATGTACAATAACCCAAAATATATTATATTGTGATAAGAAAACTTTTTATACTCATCCAGCCAGTTTCTTGAAACACAGTGGTTTGACCAAAAGGCCAGAGTTAACTATATCTAGGTATATAACTCCTGAGAAATTTTCTCTTGCCCTATCCCAAATCTCATTGAATTTATCACAGATTTCTTTTTTTGTATAGAAAATTAAATAGTAGTGCAACACTCTCTGTGAAGCCCTTATTATTTTATGTCTTCTACTGAACTCATATTACCCAAATATAACCTGCTTTAGAAGACACCAGGCCACTCAATTCCCCAAGCAATGACCTACAGCTGCAGCTGAAAGATGGGTTTAACAACTGGTGTTAAAGGACATTTCAAGTAGAAAAAGTACCACTCAAAGACATAACGACTTGCATGTATTGATTTAAAAGAAAATAAGTATGGCCAATAAAAACTCCCTACGGTAAAGAGTCATAGATTTTTTTTCTCTCCAAAAATATATGAGAATTGGAATAAGTTAGGTTGAAACTTCTGAAACTCAGAAACAATTTTATAGTCAAAGGAAGACAGAATAAAGGAAACATTCTCAGTACTCAGCAGCAAGCTGAAAAGAAAACAATTGTTTGGAATTGCTAAGAATATATGGGAAGAAAGAGAGTTATGTCATGCAATTGTTAAAAACCACAGTTCACTTTTTAATACAATAGGCAAACCATTGACTCCAAAAGGCAAGGTAGAACTGGAAAGAGCACAAAGAGGAGCAAGATGAATAACTGAATATGTTCAATATGTATTTATGAAGAAAGTAAGAAAATATATACTTTATCCCTGTATCCCATAAACCAAATTACTCCCTTGTGGCATAATCATAAGTTCTTACATTTATGGAATTTCTTATCCCAGATGGCACTATGTAAATCAAAATATCAAAATCAGATACAGTAATAATAAAAATTTCCAAATATTATTGTGAATATTTAATAGATTATTTCTCTACTTCTACTTGTAACTCAACTTTAAACTATAGGCCTTGCACTTTTTAAAATAGTGTAATTTGCACTCCAATAAAAGTGAGGTAGGTGATGCAAACTTTGGTTAAAGTGTTATCTGTGTCCAAGTTGTTGGGAGCTGCTGCTTTATGTGGCTCCCAGGCTACAAACAACATGCAAGGCTCAAAATCACTGCACATCAAATTTCAGGTTAAAAGATGGAGTTTTGTTTACAGTGAAGGAAAATCTCAACTGCTAGTCAAGTTCAGGATTGTTTCAGTCAAAATTAATTAATTAATTATTATATGGTGTAATAACACTTGACATATTACTTACTTGCTTTGTTTTTCCATACTTGCTACCCTGAGACTTTCCCAACGAGAATTAAGTAGATTCATTTGTTCTTGGATTTCATTCTCTTCTTCATCTGAAAGTTTTCCAGTTGATAGAAGTTGACTTCCGACTTGCAAAACATTACCAACACGTCCTTGGTGAGCTGTTAACTCCATCATAAACCCCTGACAATTAAAAACATTAAAAATTAAAAAAAATCCAGTTTTGATTTGCATTCTTTGAAATGAAAGAACACAATCGCACCATTTTGCGAACATGATTTTCAACCTTGGTTTCAATCTTTCCAAACCCTCATAAAAACTTGTAACATAAACTGGAAATAAACACTTTCATTTTCTTCAAAAGGCAAAAAGCTGTTTAGTCTGGAGAAGAAGAGGCTGCAGGGTGACTTTACTGATCTCTGCCACGAGCTGTAAGAAGGTTGCAAAGAGGTGGGTATAGTAACAAATGACAGGATGAGAGGAAATGGCCTCAAATTGTAACAGAGAATGTTTAGATTGGATTTTAGGGAAAAAAACTAATCTCCACTGAATGTTCCCAAACATTGGAATGAGCTTCCAGGGAAGTGGTTGAGTTGCCATCCTTAGATGTGTAGATGCAGCATTCAGGAGCATTTAGTGGTGGAATTGGCAGTGTTAGGTTAATGGTTGGACTTCAGAATTCTAAGGGTCTTTTCCAATCTAAACAATTCTATGACTGTAGGGCAGAGTCTCCAGTTTACATTCTCCAAATCAAAATTAATAAAAACAAAACAAATCCCCCCTAAATAATCAAAGACAATAGAATAAAATAAATAAATTTCAAAATATTAGTATGAACATATACCTCATGGGTGTGAAACTGTTCTTTAACAACTTCTACATCATTGGATATATCTCCTTGTGCTTGTAATGCATCTTCAGCAGAGAGAAGCCACGTGAGCACTTCTTCTAAAGCAGTTTGGTAGTTTTCAAGATCTCCAGCCCCCATCCGCACGGTGCTAAATTTCTTTTCTTCAACACTTGCTAACACCTGATCAAAACCAAAATTGTAAGAGCAAAGAAAATGGCACCTGCTTAGACAGTTCTACAAAGGAATAAATGGAAAACAATGTATTCTTAAAAAAAAAAAAAATCTGATGGTCAATACATGGACGTACTTTGCAATACAAAATCAGTTAACTAACCAAGATCAGTTAAGATTTAGGGGAATAAAAAAAATCTTATATTTTAATTAGATATTTCACACTGTTATTCAAAATCCCTATCAAGTGTTCTGAATAGTGAATAATGAGAACAATATTTACCACATATTTAGAGAGATATTTACCACAGAAGCTCATAAAATTATATATGAAAAAAAGTAGCAAGTTACGTTCTGACTTTGCAGAGAATCTATGAAAAACATGACATTTAAAAACCTGAATCAACAAACCTTTACACTACATGCAATGCTAGGCTTGAGCAATCCACAGACACATATTTTGTGAAAACTGTTCTAGGAAGCTGGAAAAGCTCAAAAACTCATGCGAAATTTTAACTTTTTAAAATCAAGCAGAAGTGTATTACTGTTGATTTCTCTTTTCTGCAAAGGCCAATCTTATAATTATTTTTTAGAAGCCAAATCTCTTTTGAGAACAGAAATTTCTGGTCTACTGCATAAAGTAAAGAGAAATCAACATGTACTCATTGATTAGTGTAACAGTGGAAAACAAGGACATAACAGAAGACAAAAATGCATTTGCTACAGAAGATATCATCCCATATGTTTTTCAAAAAGTTCTGAATAAGTTTAGCTAGTTTGTCAGGAATTTAATTTAAAAACAATCTATACATATAAATAAGGTTATGCTTCCATAAAAAAAAACAAAAAAAACCCCAAAAAAACCCAAGGCACTTAATGTTTTTATACTTGGCAAGAATTGTTCCTACTGACAAATTTGTGCCAATAAAATGCTCAAAGCAGCTAATAAAGCCTTTCATTGCAGTTTAGAACTGAAAGTAAAGTTTATCATTAGAACCACAAACAAGAACACAGAGAACACAGCAGGCTCTGAGTTGGAAGGGACCCAGAGGATCATCAAGCCCAACTCTTACGTGAATGGCCCATATGGGATTAGAGCCCAACCAAGTGAGCTGACTTCAGGGAGTGCAATGCTTGGAATGTAATAATTAAAAATGAAACTTCCAATCTTCACAACAACAGCTTCATTCAGGAATGCATAGATCGAATAATCACATGAAATTTATGCAGATCCCCAAATGTGATAGGCTAGGTAAAAGTCATGACTATCACCACTTGTGTGAGAAGCACAACAGTCAGTAACTGAATCCTCATCAGGAAAAGCAGGCTTGGAAATCTGATGAGCTTTATAGAGTGGGTTGTGTTTGGGTTTTTTTGGTTTTTTTTTTTTTTTTTTGGTTAAAAGGAAGTACTATATTAAAGAAATATAAATAATGAAGCAGAGAAAACATCACCATTTATCCCTTCAGCACAAATTAATTATTGACCTGTGTAATTCTAGATTTCAAACAATATACAATACAATAAGAAATTGCACCCAACCACATCACATTTCTGCAGCAAGATATATTTTTCTCCACTGTGGAAAGGGATAACTTGATCAGTGCTTTTCACAGGTAGTGTTTTTTTTTCTTTCCATAGCAATGCTTCATGGTATATATTCATATCTATTCTAGTGTAAAAATATGCTTTAACTGTTGACTGAGGTTAGGGATATCATGTTTGTAGAGATCTGTGATAATCTATGTTGTCTGAATTTGTTTGAAAAAGTCTTCTTTCTCTAGATTAGACACCAAATTGTCTCATGTATGCCAAGTGTTTAACTAAGGACCCCCAACAACACTTTGTCTGAGGAACAGCTACTGAGTATAATTTTTCCTAATAATCAGTACTTTCTCTGCTTTCTCTCATGCTAACATAAATATCATACAGAAGAGCATTGAAAAATCTTGGAATCATGACCTATGAAAAAAAATGGTGCCTAGGCTAATTTCAGATCTGTTGTAATAACTCAAAGAAGTATAAAAACTAAAAGATTCTTATAAAAATAGAAACAAAAAGAGTTTTGTAGGTATTTCAGGTATTTCAAATTGTGTTCTAAATAAAAAAAAAAAAAAGGGAAAAAAGGGAAACAAAGGCTATTTTCTGATGTAAGAGAAACAGAAAAAGACTAAGAAAAAAATACACAAGGATAGAATTCTAAAATTGTAACACTAAAATGTCTTCAAGGATAAAAAACACTCCTTGGAGGCAACCGTTGTTTTTTGACTTGTCAAAAAATACTTATAAACATTGTTATATCTCATATCTACTACTTCTGTCAGTGTTGTTTTCTCTCCAAAAGATAACTGGCCATCCTTGCTTATATTGCATATTGAATGAAAAACAGGTATCAGATCAGTAAAATTAGCTGTAAATGGAACATGAAACACTTAGAAGGGGGCAACTACTGACCCAATGCTTATGGCATAATCTTTGTATTAAAAACCAAAACCAAAGTAGAGTTTCAAAGATCATTATACCCATTATTCATCCCTTAATAAACCCCAAATTTAAGTGTGCAGATCCTGCAGCACTAAGAATATTTCTAAAATGAAATAATCCACATAAGACAAACAAAAATGGAAACCTCTGATACTTATAATTCACATTGGTAGGCAACCAAACAGCACAACCTGTGAGTGTTCTTGTTTATGAATTTATATGAAATCTCTTTGAAATTCTTAAGAAAGTAAGGAAAAATAGAATTTTAAGGTGTTGCATATACTACATGGATAGAACAGCTATTAATATGGATATCTAAGTTGTGATGGTTGTTTCTAACCATATTTTTTAAGACAATGAAAAACAATGAGGACAGGCTGAAGTCAAATTGTTATAGCCATATAATGCTAGGAAGGCTATTCTTAGGGAAAAAAGCTGCCTAAATATGAATACAGTTTCATTCTTAAATCAAACTCTATTCTTAATAAAGTATATAATGAGTATGCAACACAAACTTGATTGTCTTAGAGCAAAAAGAGTAATTTATTGAATAAAAACTTCAAAAAAATCTCATTGTGGTGGTGCATCCCTCCCTCCTCCTTGGTCTGCACAATCATGTCAGAAATGCATGTGAGCCTTGGCCTTGAACTTATCACAAATATTATCTGTTCCCATGAACTTATGTTGGCTAACAAGCCAACTGTTTCTTAATGAACAGTCTCAGAAAGTAATTTTTCTTCCCTAAACCAATGAAACAACCTGAGCAGAACAACAGTTTTTTATCCAACCTTTAAAGAAATTTACCCAAACTGTGGCCAAGATGGAAAGTTACTATGACTAAAGGCAATTGTCTCGTGACCCTGGAAGCAGCAGTCCTAAACTGAGACCTGTTGGGCTCTCCAGGACCGTGGACAGCGGCCTCCCGTGGCAGGTGAACCCGCCCGGAGCCAGTGAACTCCCAAGGTCGCTGTACTTGGGAGGGTGCTGACCAACACCAGTGAAAATGGCATGAGAAATTTAAATGTTTAATGAACACTACAGCACATGAAGCTGGGAATCAGTCAGGCAGTCCTCTCCCAGACTGTTTTGAAAAATCATCAGAGACTTTTCATGTAATAATCCTGGTTGTTCATATGGACTGATGTAAAAAGAAAAAATTGCTCTGGACCTATATGTTGTCCTCTAGACACTTTTTTTTTTTTTTCCTTTACTTTCTGTTGCACATGGATGAATTATACTTAGATAAAACAATGGGAGTTTAATCTCTGTGCATCTCACCATCTTCTGCTTGGGTGTAGGGGCAGAAAGATCCCAGGGACTCTGAAGATTTAATTTAAAGTATAGTAAGTGAAAGTAAAAATCCTCTGACCTTCAGAAGCTTGGAAAAAAAATTAGCTATTTCTGGCAAATGTATTAATTATTTCACAGAATTTAAACCATGAACTTGTAGCTCCTCCAAGGTGAGAAAATGAGGGGTCAAAGTGTTCCTCACCTGTTATTGCATTATGTTCCTAAAGGGAGGAGAAGGATTAGTTGTGTTAGCAAATTCCCAAAGAATGTTTCGATTAATACATAAAGACTGATTCTGAGTTTTAGAAGCTAGTTGGGTGGCTTTAGAAAGTAGTTTTCCAAGAAATCTATAGGGCTCATTCCAGCACTCTTATTTATATTATGTATTTCCTTACTTCAGAAACTGCCTGTCCCATTGTTAACGATAAAGAATGTGGCTCTGGACATTTAAAGCTTTTAAACTCAAAGACATAAAATTTTAAAGAAACATTTTTTATTAAAGGCCAATTTCAGTTGAGAGTATCTTTCTCATTTTGAACACCCCCTTTGCAGGATTAGTATCTCAGAAAATAGTTCACATTATTCACTCTCAAACTATGCCTCCTATCATCTAAGAATGAAACCACTGCTTATTCTTTTGGTTCCTCCAATTTTCTCATTACAAAATCTATTTTATTTGTCTTTGTATTTCAAAATTATGACTGTTAAAATACTACATGATAAAATGGTTCCTTCAACAATCAAGATTATGTTTTCTCAACAGATGAGTCATTTCTAGTAATAAAACTTATAAAATAAATTGGGTCAGACCACTTGTTATTATAACATTAACAATTTCATTGTTCTAAATGAGGCTAGAACTTCCATTTTATTAAGTATTTAAAAAATATAATTGTAAATTAATGTAGAGTAAGAAAGGTGGGGGGGGTTTGTTTGGCTTTATTTTTTTGTTTGGCTTTATTTTTTGATGGGGGGGTTTGTTTTGTTTTAATGTTTTTTTGGTTTTTTTTTTCTATTTGTCAAAAAATCCACACAGGTTTGGCCTTATGATAAATCTGAAAAATTGCAGGTTTTGCTTGCTCAATTGAGACAAGTTACATTTTCAGTACTTGATTTTCTCTGTGATTCTATTTCTGCTGCATATGTTTCCACCTGGATGAATTGACCTGTCCTTGCAACTGCAGTTTTGAGATGCAGCAGATTATTAGGTCATTAAAAATCAATGGAGCTTAGGC